TGCATCCGCGACTCCCTTGACGTCATAAATCACGGGAACTTTTCAATTTTTATACCCCGATTCTTAATAAGGTCCTCCGGAACTCCAACAATTTTCGCATGTTCGCCGGAACTTCCCGGCGTTTGCCTGAGCGGGCAACTTGGACCGAATTGCGTTTGCTTCTTATCGTCATGAACCCTGGGTACGATTCTGTCTAGATGCAGTCAAAACACCAAAGCTTAAAATCACCATGCGTTCTTGAATCGAGTTTTACTGTGAACAGGTTAGCAGGTTAAATAATAGAGGTTTTTGTCGGATTTCAAAAGCGGTTCACTTTTGCTTCATGCATATAATCTATTGTGTAAAGAAGAATTCCCTACATCACAATTAGAATTGTCTTTTGGAGTGCGTGCTTTCGACGTAGCTGTGATCTCAATCCAGCTTTTCTCGTTACATGGAGAAATGTTTATTGGGTTGTCCCAAAAGTAAACTCCATTTCCAAATAAATTGAGCCGTTTTTGTTTTCCAGAGAGACTTAGGGTAACATTCGATAGAGCGAAGCCCAGATATCAAAATTTTTCAAGTACCCTTTGAATCGGTCCTCCATTCAGGAAATTCCTACGGAACTCCAACTTGGTCATTCAGTTGGCACATCGAATCATCCAAGAATGTAATTGGTGGATTATTTCGCTCAAAACTGAGAAACAAAAGGTGGTCCGAAAATGCCAAAGTGCTACTTTTTTTCAGGTTTTTCATGTAAAACTTGGTATTTCTCGACTACAAGAGCACATAGGATGAAGTCTTAAAGGCAGCGTCCATCAGGACCCACCCACCCAGATTAGCACACAGTTGTAAAGCGGGCCCCAGGAGTATCGGATCTGCGTTGGTCCCATCCCTTGACGTGGCCTCTAAAAGGATATACGGGTCTGTGATACGTGTCACAACCGCCCCTGAGGACGAGTGACCATCGATCGATCATGGAGTGCATCCACCCATGCTGTTGCAGCCCCTCTTCGCTGGTGAGCCGAGAGGATGAACAACCCGAAGGCCGTCGTCGCCCTCAACACAGGGTGCCCAGGAATTGGGTTTTTTGAGGGTTTTGGACAATTTAAGTATTATAACTGTAATCAGGACCACTGAAAGGCCCAGAATGGCAGAAAATGAGAGGCGAAATTTTGCCCGGACGCTGCTTTTAAGTATATAATACTTAGTGATGCTTGTAGTATACAATTACATATGTGGGAGGGGCTGGGGTGTAGTTTGCCATTTTGGACCATCTTATTTTCCCTCGCTTCTATGCGCGAAAGAAAAAAAAGATAAACCAAAATGAGGTACTCCAAACAAGATAGTCCAACGCAAAAAAAAATCCAGTAAAAGCATATTTGGGTACTACTATGTGCCAGTGGCGTACCGAGGGAGGAGGCGGGGGGGGGGGGGGTCCAAAAAATTTTCGGGTTGTGTGGCTGATGCCACGCATTTTCATCCAAAAAATTTTTTTGCCCTCCCCCGAACGAAAATCCTAGGTACGCCACTGCTATGTGCCTACTGTACAATAACCAAGTTGGTCCGTAGGATTTTTCTTCGCAAGAATCCAAGTTTCAGCTAACAAAATTTTTCTTCGATTTTGGCTTCAAACTGTAGAATGCGACTTACAAGGAAAGGAAGGTTGGTCGAAGTGGCCTTTTAAAATGAGATGTATACTGCCTTGTAGAGCTTGGAACGCTGATTCCAATTCTACCTTTGCTATCTGCTGCGGGCTTCTGGGCGAAAAGTTATGAAGGTTTTTGTGAGTAATAACCTGAATGCAAAAATAGGGTGAAATCAGTCGTAACGTTTTTCCAATGTTCAAATGAGGCAGCAGCGAATTGATATATTTATATCAAGAATATTTGTTGCACCGAGTGACCCGACTACCAATTAAGTCTCATAAAAAATGTTACGACTGATTTTAGCCTACTCTTGCATTCAGATTTTTACTCACAAAAACCTTCATAACTCCCCGCTCAGAGGCCCGCAACAGATAGCAAAGTAGATTTGGAATCAGCGTTCCAAGCTCTACAATAAAGTATACACCTCATTTCGAAAGGCCACTTCGACAACCTTCCTTTCCTTGTTAAGCAGATCTTTAATGGTCCTTCTAGAGCTTGTTCGTTCTATCGAATGATATTCTGAGTTTACTTGGGAAAAGAAAACAATTTTCATTCAAAAAAGGAATTTTCTTTAAGGGCAACCTAATATATTATATCTAATCAATCGTGAGTATCCTATGCTGATACTTATCAAAGCAAGAAATGTTTGGCAGCAAGACTACTGACTATTGCTGCTTGTTAGCTTCATAAACCGGTACTATGAGGGTTTCATAGTTTTATTGCTACTCTGCACTTCATTCATGCAAAGAAGGTTGTAACCACAGCACTTCAGTTCAACTTCACTTTCAATTGCTTACAGGCAGTGGATCGGCAAAATCCAACAACTCAGGATTTTAACGCGGTAGATTCCTTATCGCTCAGGTATGAAAACAGTGCAATCTCGATTGCACAGCATGCTTTCCCTGCCGAGCAAATTGTTCGCAAACTTACACGCGCAGGCCAATCTTACACGCATCCGGACGAGTTGGCAATTTCCTTCTCACCATTGGAGGCTACCCGCCGCAACGCTATAACCATTGGGTCCTGCAACGATTTAGCGTCATCGGCCTTGCTTCACTCGTCCAGTTACAAAGGGAAGGGCATTAAAAAACGCTTATTTTCGCCGTTTTCAAACCTTCAAAAGTGGATTTTCGGAATCAGCGTATTGAATAACCCCAGGTAAGCGCAAATTTGACTAGGTTGGGATTTGCCGAGCCACTGCCTTTACGAAACCGCGAACGCATATAAGCGTGCGGCCATCATGTAGACAAAGCAGTCATGACCAGGGCTCAGCAGAGGTGGCGCTTTCACATACTGGATATCGTTCTGGGGGAGAAGCAAAAGGAAAATCGTAAATTTTTCAAGGGCTTTCCGGATCTGATAGGATAGCAAACACAATTCTTACACAATATAAGCCAGAATTTGAGGCTCTAACGTCATTCAACCACTAATAGGTCAATCAACATGTTACAAACACGATCAGTGCACCAACTTGTGTTCACGCAATTCCCAACATGTTAAATCCTGATCTTCGTGCACAAAAAGATAAACAATCCGTTTGTTTACGACGACTATCAATGTTGAGCCATCAAATTTGGCGTATAGCTTCGCGACGATGAGGAAAAGCTAAGTGTGAAAATTTATGAAAAAATTATGATAGTGAAGGAAGCTGTAAATGTTTTTTTTATTTTAAACTAGCTGCGGTCCCCGATCCCGCCCGGGCCAAGGGTCCAAAATGGCCCGTCTGCTTCAAGATGTTTTCTTACCATCACTCCACTTGCAGATCATATTTTCTCTTCCTCTCCTGCTTCAGCTCCAAGTCAGTTCCAGCAACGTGTAGTATCCGTGGTGAATTTGTCATTCTTGACACCGCATCCTCCTCAACGCAAAATGTAAATGATCTCTACCGCCCCTTACTACTTAAGATGGAGAAATGAATGATATAGCTTTCATTTTCCTAAATGTTAGTAAACAAATCAATAAATCGATAGAGGGACCCAATGTATCGTCGCAAAAAGTAGCCTATCTCCTGCGCCTGGCCTCATTCATAGGGGAGCAAAATTCAGCCTAATCGGTTCACAAACGAAGGAGTCTATAAGCGAGATACTTACATACGAACAAATTTACAGAGATTGAGTTTTATTCATGTACCAGTGCTTCACCTCTGCTTCGCAAAGGTTCGCACTGGCTCTACTATCTATGTGCCTTACTCATTCTCGTAAAATCGTGGCAGCACTGGAACTCACCGCGCTATGCCGACTACTACGAATAAAATGTAAACAACCACTCATTTAGAAAGTCTACGTGAGATCGGTGATTTCGCGTGGATGAAACTTTTCGCAGGAAGACAAACGCAAATTTGAATAGGTTTTTGGATTTGTCACGACCTGGAAGTCGCCATAAAGGTAATGATAACCGTGAGCTACATTTCTGTGCGAAAATCTTCTCAAACGCTTAGCTATGACCTTGGCAAATTGACCATTTACACAACCAATTCGTTTTGGCGCCGTTTTCGTTATGTAGTAAACTTTCGACCACTTTTCTGGCTAAACTTCATCGCTTGCACCTTTGCTTACCAAACTCATCCACGACTCTGCAAAAAGTGGTGATACGGACCGAATTTTGCGGTACAGAAGCCAGGTGGACCCGTTTGGCGCGCAATTTCTGAGGGATCCACTCAACGAATCTACTCGTGCTTTTGCATGTTGGACTTTCGTGAAGGTACAGGGCTCCTAAATTGCAGAGTCGTTTGCACCAGCGGTCACGCGACCGCGTCGCGCCTGGGCATTTTGCCGGCGCTGGCGCCATCGATCGAGGCGGCGCCATTGATGCCCGGGCGTGACGCGGTCGCGCGACCGCTGGTGCAAACGACTCTGCAATTTAGGAGCCCTGTAGCATGCGCTGTACAAAATTTGGGCTTAGAACGCTGGCTGGAACATGCTCCACGAATTTCGTAACAGACACGCACACACACACAAAGTCACGTAAACATCCTTAGCCCGTTATTATAAGTCATGATAGATTGTTCCCTCGCAACCTGAGAGCATCCTGAGGATGCCCGAGACCAAATAAAGTCATAATATACCCGCTTCCTCACATAATTTTTCAAGAACTTCTACATAAATCTATTCTTCAGTTTAAGCTCTGTCCATGAGTACTCACTTTAGCCCCTCTGCTTTGCTACGGCACTTGACGGTATAGAAAACCTTCTTTTTCGCATTCTGTTATTTTATCCCTAACTCTGGTTTTTTCCCAGTTTTATCCTCATCACTTGCTTCAGATTATAAGCCGTATTTCAACAGATTCACAAAAGGTTATTCGTAAATCTTCGCAGTGTCGAAGGGGACTTCGTTTCCAAGATACCCAAATGCCACCTCGTGCTGGGTCCTGATCATGGCCTCTCCCTACACGCTCATCGCTTTCCTCGTCGTCTTCGCACACGTGTAAGCAAGTGTAAGCAAAGTACTCTTGATGATTTCGTCCTTCAACACATTCACGACAAGGTCGATTTGCCGAATATTGCCGTTTCCAGAGCCTTTTTCGCTTTATAACTTATGACCCATCCGGTAGGCCGTATTGTCCGATATGGCAGAACACGTACGGCCCACTGGTGGGTCGTATTGTCGTGAATGTGTTAAGAGATATTCTCGAATATCTTCTCCCCAAGATTTAGTAATGATGGTGAAATAAGATTGTCTAGAATAGATATGAAACAGTGGCGTACCCAGGATTTCCATTTTGGGGGGGGGGGGGGGAGGAGGGGCGACAAAAATTTCTTTCTGATGAAGGTGCGTGGCGTTAGCCGCGCGCTCCGTAAAATTTTTTGGCAGGTTCCCAAAATTTTTGCGGGCCCCTGAGAAAAAGGGGGCGTGGTTGGCGCCACACCGCGAAAAAAATTCTTTATATGGCTAAACTGAATTTTTAAAAAATTTAAAGAGTTGTTTTACTTATTTACAAGTATAAGCAAGTTGCTTGCACATCTTTACTACACATGTAAGTAACTTTCAAAAATTTCGCGACCCATTCTCGGCCACCCCCTGCCACCCTCCTCGGTACGCCACTGATATGAAATTACATTTTTTAGTATAGATTTGCTTTTCAGATCAGATGGATTTTATCCATATGCTTCCTTTTATAGAGGAAGCAATCGTAGCATACTGTGCGTCCAAATTCTTGCGCTCAAGCTCAATTGTTCAGGTTACCCACTTCATTACGGTCTTCCATCTCCATTCGCCTATGGTCACGGATATCATTATGGCTACGTAGCTCTCAATCTTCATCGGTCCTATACACCAAGGTATACCTTACGGTTTTCAATGTTCACGCGATTTGGCAACGTGCCAATTGTTCATAACATAACGGATATCCACCGTACACAAACACTATTCGCAACCTCGACCTTCTCAGAACACAGAATTGTTACGCACTACCTAAAAGAATGTGCGATGCTACGCGAATCGCACTTTTCCAAATCGCGCGACGGTTGGAATCTCCTGAGGTTTGCCCGGGACCTAAGAACATTAAAGGCACCGTACCCAAAATGGGAGTTGATGAGGTTATGATGTCATACTGGCGTGAGCACCCACACTAGGCAAACGCCCACGTTGCGCAGCAAAAGATTGCTTTCGAAGCGAGAAATCCGCTCCGGAAAAGGCGCAATTCGGTGTGGTCATTCCGCACAAGTGGCCACCTTGCACACTTGCAGGTTTGCAAATAACGCGCCCGGTGTATATCAGCGCCGAAGCCCCGCGACTTGCAAGGCGCCCTTCTCGAAAAGAGGGTTTTTGGGAGTTCCGCGGATTCTCGACTCTATATGCGAAATCAGGACCTTTAGAAGGTCTGGAAGCGGTAAAACATGGAAGCCGAGAATTTGGGTAGACGGTGCCTTTAAAGGCGACAACTCGAATACCAAATTTCCGCATGGTTATCATTATCTTCGCGTTGTTTTCCACAATATCGCTAGGTCCTATCACGCAGATAGCTCACATTAGGCAGCATATGTTTCAAATGATAAAAACAGGACTTTTCTCATTCTTAGAAGGTGCCCATCTCTCAGCGACAGATGTATCTCACCATTCGCAAACTAAAAGGAAGAAACTATGAGAACAGTTTATTCAAATACAAGTGAACGGAACATATGTGCTTTGCAGGAATATTTTGCATCATCTTTTTTACTATTTATAATTTCCATTATGACAGCAATAAAAAATATTCACAATCTTTTCAGGGTGTTCTTAGAAGGAGCAATTGAAAAATAAGGATTAAGAGAACCTAGAAAGAAGCTTAGAATAAGATTTCACTTCTGTAAAGGTGTTTGCGTCAAGAAGGCGTCTCAGATTCCCGGACTTTCCATGTTCATAATTCTCTAGCAAGTGCCATTTTATTGCTCACATAATGTTATTTTCTCTACAGTACTTTAGGCAAGACCCCTAAAATAGTAATGACCCTTAAAATAAAGAAAAGGAGAAAGTAGAGGATTTATTGAGGTAGAGACATACTCATCTTCAGATTCATTAGACTTGCAAAAGTATTGTCAATATATAGGTCGATTAACAAGCTATTATTCAGATGTGAAATCCTTTCCAAAAACAGTATCTCTGATTCGGTCACAGTACTGTACCAGCTTTGGATACTCTTCTTTCAGCACCTCCTTTGCGTAATTATTGATAGGGAGATAAATCGTTGTTGCGAGCTGTCCAAAAAGTGTGCAGTCAGCCTGCAATTTTCACAGTGAGATTGTCCAAAATCCGATGTGGAAGTGTTTTACCGCAGAAATCTCGTCTCCGAACATGAACTTCTGTTGACCCAGTAAGGTTTGATATGCATCGTAATCTTTTCTAAGAAGGTCTTTGTAATTGTCATCGGAAAGCTTTCCGATACTACCAGCAACTTTTTGGGAAGCCTGAACAATGGTAATCGTAGAACACAAGGTACCGTTGAGTAGATTTTCCGTTCAATATAGTATATTTGCGGTGCCGAGAAAATGTGGTAAAATCTGCGCGTGAATAGCCAATAAATAGCCACGCCAGTAATGCCGGCATTTTGCGCACGCAAATGGCCAGCGCCACATGCGCAGCTAATCGTAAGTTCACGCGCAAGTCTTACCGCATTTACTCGGCATCGCATACACACTATATTAAGCGGAATCTACCAAATTGTAGTCACCTTTCTCCTCATCATATATGCCATCGGAGGCACGATAATAGGCAATATTGCTTCTGGAAATCCACCATCACGGAACGCAATTTCAACGAGACTGTTGTCGTTGTCAATCAATTTATATTGGTACTGTAAGCTGAAAAAATCGAATAAGTCGAGAATATGACGCCATCGGTAAACTCCTGACAGGAATGTGTGACTATCCATCATCCGATCAATCGCCCGGGCTATGGCTCGATCTTTTGGATTGTCCAGTTGCTAAATTGTATTGATCAGTAAAGAAGATTTAGACAGAATGTCCAGTTTACTGTCCATCGGACTATTACCGAATAATTACATACATTGGTTCATTTGGAACTTACTACTGCTGTCATTATAATAACATAATTTTGTTAAACGGAGCACATAAGTCTTCACAATCTCAAAAGTGCAAAAGTTCTTTGGAAACACGCTTTTAACAATTCGATATATTCTCCAGTTCCCTTCAAATGCAAACATATGCATATAATGATTGAAAAACAAAAAAAAACAAGCATATGCATATAATCTATAATTTTTAGGGGAAGCAAGGTTTTGTTTATCCTGCAATTCCACATAACAGACTGATAACTTGGTTTTGTATTAACTACACTGTTTTAATTTATGATCGTTTCTGCTTCTCCTTATCAGATTCTTCCTTTCGATGACAGCTGGTATCCCATTGGTTTTAGCTCTTTTTTTCTTTTTCTCGGTAAAATTCACGTGTAGTCATGAATAAATAAATGAATAAATATGCATATCACTCGAAACTGTAAAGCAAGTTTCTGTGTTAATCTTGCTCAAGCTATCATGGTTTGAGCAATACTGAAGCAAGATCAGAAAAGCAGCCTTTGATTCAACGAATTCCTATTCTTGCTTTTCCAAAGACTTTTGGGTCACTATTTGGCAGGGCAAATCAAGCAATACAAGATGGCCTTCAAAATACACGCGTAAACTTTTTCGGACGTGAGGGCGTCATCTAACATTTGAAGTCATATTGCTCTAGAAACTTTTAACAGATATGGCAATCATAACAAATAGCTGTTGTATGTATTCATGATTGAAAACTGAGAAACAGAACTAGCAAGCTTGGCTTGGACCAGTCGAGTCTCTCCTAAGTTATTACATACAACAAACCTTATATAGTACTACCGTGATTTTCTATTTTCGTACATATGTGGGTCCAACAATAATATTAAATCATAAAAAATACCAAAAAAGCGAAGTTTTGGCATTTCCGGCCTATTTTTGTTCGTCAAATTTTAGCCATGGAAAAAAGCAATATGATGGATTCTGATGTGAGGAGAATGTACGTGAGCAAAGTGAACGTGTCCGTAGGAGTTCCGAAGCGTAGATCCGCTTTCTTCTGTGACCGTGTAAAGCTTATTTTTAGCCTCTACGTTCACGTGCATCAGACTTAATGCGAATTTTGAAGGCCATCTTGTATAGCCTGCTTTTTTCTTTCGATAGGCCGAGTCATTGTAAATATAGAAAATCTAGCTTTCGTCTAAAAAGAACTTGATCATAAGACCACCCAATATTTCCCAAATTTTGTCGCTATTTTATCGTTTTCTGATTTCAGAGATGGAACGTAAAACATTTGAGCATTCCATTTTTTGTCACAAAGATTCAAAATGAAGGCACATAATTTTGCTTTAAAAAGTTGTGATTTTGATATGATGATAAACAAAACAAAACCTTGACGTTGAAGTGCTTTTGAAGGCGATCCATGATGATTTGGGAGTCCGCAATGTGTTCACCATTCAGCTCCACAAATGGTAGCAGGCCGTACTGCGATCTACCCATGAGTAATGGACATACCTGAAGTGCGTACGGGTCACTACAGAATTATTCACATTTCAGTTTTCATGCTGTTCTTATGTCGAAGTATACCAACGTCCTGAACAGAACTCTCTCAGCTACCACTTAATAGCCGCGTCCCAAGTAAAATTTATGCTCCTCGATTAGTTTCTAGTTGATAAGAAGACTAAAGGAGTAGGATATCGGTGTAGGTCCGGTCCTCTGATGTGGCCTCTGAAGGGAAAAAATTTGATTTGGAACCCGCGAAAATGTTTTCAAGCCACGCCCTATCAAGCTCCTCCCATCCAGTTACTGAAATTCCTCTATGCCTCCTAGGTAAAGCTCCCAGAAATAGAATTTTTTGAAGGTTTTTTGCATTTTGCACTTCGTATCTGTAATCAGGGGCAAAAGACCCCAGAATGACAAAAAAACAAAGAAGACGAAGATGGGGTGAATGCTGCGTTCAACGCTGAAAACATGAATGCTTTTATGACAACACTACCATAATGGAAAAGTAATCTTCTGTTAACGACTAGCTAGAAGGCTAAAAGTGGAATGCAATGCATCTCATCGGAAAATCTAATTTTTGAAAGCGAGAAAGCAATCAAATATAGAGAAGGGGACCATAACGAGCCATTCTCGCGCGAGTATGTCTTGTGCAGACTTTGCTGCACGTTTTATTCCTTCCATCCTGCACTATTCTCCCATCTAATGCAGGTCACTACTATCGTTCGATTAAAATATGTGGTAAGCAGTGGCGGTCCCAGAGTCTTTTGGAGTTTTGGGGAGTGCGACAAGCCCTCTGCAAAATTTTGTGGATGCTTTCCGAGATTTTCGGAGGACCCATAAGCCCGAACTTTTCCTGAAATGAATTCTTAGACTCATCTAAAGCACTTTCACAACACTCCCCCTCTGTGGACCGTCACTATTGATGAGATAGATTTTCGTGGTAAGGTAGTGAATTGGGATTTTCTTATAAGCATTCTGCGCAGAGAAAAATAATAGTTCTTTATTATTCTGAGCCCTGCGAGTGTTGATGGAATTAGAAAGATGTAATCCGAAAGTGCCAATGAACTTACTTCATAAGGAATTTTGTTGGCCCTGAGGAACGTTTCAATCTTCAAACAGAAAGGTGACAGATTTGGCAGAGCCTTCGCGCGAGGAAACTGATATAAGTAAACGGTGTCCTTCTTCCAGTCCTTCTTTAGAATCTGAAATAGTTGTAGATCAGGTGAAGGTAAAAAAGCAAAGATTATGTATTCAGACATTAAGATTTACTCTTTGACATGCAGGGTGTTTAGAAAGTTTCTGGCCTCATTTCAAATGCGTCAAACTCGGTTAAAGCTGTGAGTGGACCTAGAGACCACTCAATCGACAAGTAGGATTTTTTGGCTGTTTTTAGTTTTGACAGCAACCTTCTCAGCTTTCATGAAGAGGCGGAAAAGTGCGTTATCTGATTTGTTCTTTTTCGAACTGAAACTACTTTATCACAAAAATCCCGAGCCCAAGCTCTTTTCATATTCGGAATGCCGCTAAATTACGGCAAACAATCGTGCAAGTTTACATTGAGGCTTTTTGGTTTGGAAATTTTTGGGAGTCTCATTTTAATGTATATTCGTAGCAAACTTTGTACCTCTCATTGTACTCGTTCCCAAGAATTTCGCACGCTCGTGAACATTTGAAGACAAAATATAGAATTATTATAGGAGATGGATTTTTCAACGAAACAGAATCTTCTGTTTTTCAAAGTATGCTATTACGGACTCCATTCTACGAAAATAAAAGGTACATGTAAGAGATTGGAAAGGAAAGGCTTTATGGCGTACAAAGTTTTTTTCTTGAGAAATGTCTTCTTCTTTGTAACAAGCATTTCAAGGTAAGAGGCATGGAAAACTTTGGTTGTTTTTCAACCAAATGAAAAAATTGTTTTGCAATCAAATAAAAAATCAAAGGAACCACGAAAAAAGTTATCTGAACTGGTGCTTCTAGGTTTGATGCACAAGAAAACAAGAAATGGGTCAAAATTTGAATTGGAAACACTTTAGGCCAGGTACTTTCCAAACACTCTGTTCTATTGACACACTCAGCCTTCTGCTCAAAAATAACGCTGTCGATTGCCTCATCGGAGATGAAAAACAAGCGTCGAAAGAATAATATAAACAAGACACGAGCACATACGCTCCTGCCAAAAAACCCAGAAACATTCAGATGGTGGATGGATGAAAAAAGTAGAGCACAAGAACGTAATCGTTTTTAAAGATGTAGGATGGGAATTTTTCTTCATTTAAGCGGATATCGATAATGTCCCAACTAAAGTTGCAAAGAAACATACCTCCGGTTTTCCATTTTTTGCGGAAAAGAACAATTTATATACAATGTAAGCCACACCGGCCAGAGCGATGGCCGTCCAGAGAACCATAGCAGGTGAACAGCTTTAAAAACTGATTGTTGCCAGGTAGAGCTGAAAGAACGAGTTGTGTGGCGATGGCAGTCAATTTGCCGCTATCTTTCACTACGAGGAGAGCCCCCCCCCCTCTTCCCCGTATAGAGCAAGATCGCCGATCGACGAGACAACAAGCGATTGTAATCACTCTTTGCTGGCAGTGTTTGTACTCGTCTTTTATGCCTCACGGAAGCGGTGCAGACACTCATATCAAGAAAGCAAGACGCATATAAACATTAGCGAATGAAGACAATCGGGAAATGATAAGAAATCTATGAGCACAGTGAGTTATTTGTTTGTTTATTTTCTGACGCTCAAAGGCAGCGCCCACCCAAAATTTCGCCTTGCATGTTTCTGTCATTCTGAGGCCTTTCAGTGGTCCTTGGTCCTGATTAACATCATGAAGTGCAATTGTGCATAACCGTCAAAAAACACGGTTTCTGACAGCCCTACACTGAGGGAACACGAATAGTACGTGGGTGGGCGGAGCTTGAAAGGGCGGGCGTGGCTCGACGGCACGTTCGCAGATTCTAGGTCTATTTCTCCACTCAGAGACTACAATGGAGGACCGGACCAACGCAGATGCCCCCCTCCTGAGAGATATTTTCAGGCTACGTACTAACCGGAGAGGCTGAAATTTGGCCTGAACGCTGCCTTTGAGGCGTCCTCCGTACGTGCAAGTAAGATAGATCAGAAGCCTTTGGTGTGCAACGAATAAATGAAATTTAAAAAAAAGAAAGCTTGACCGAAGAACCTGACATGAAGCAAAGTTCATAATTTGGTCAACGGTTTGTACTGATAAGTGAAGGGGGGAAGGTGCTGTGATTTAGTTGATAGCACTCTTTAGTACATCTACGTATGTATTACTAGAAGGAAAGCTGATAATGCAGAGCTTGTTAACGACGATGTATCAGAATGAAAAATCTATATTTCTGCAGAGAGACGCATAGTCGGTAAACAAAATCGAGATTGTTGATCGCTGCCGTCACTGCGTACACAACCTAGCCTCCCCGTGACCTTGGCAATTACCTTTAAGTGACTTTTGTTTCTTGGCTCTTTTTTTGGAATTCTTCAGGACTTGCTTCGTTGCAAATGCTTTAGTTTTCTAGAACTATAGAGACAAGCTATAGAGAAAAACGGAAGAAGTGTTATATGGGGTGGAGGGAAGAGGGTTGTGATGGAGCAAGAGCATTATAAGTACTCTTTGCATATTTCTGCAGCATGATTTGACCAGTAGGCTCACACTTCGATAGAACAAACTGTGATTCACCTGATAAGGGATCCATGTTTAGTCAAAGTAGCCTTTAAGAAATGCATACCATGTTGAAGAGCATAAAATGCTAATTCCAAATCTTCCTTCATTTTTTGCGGAGCATTGTGGGAGGGGGGAGTTATGAGCGTTTATTGGAGCAAAAATTCAATGTGCATTTGGGCTAAAATGGGCTGCTAAAATCCCCCTAGATCTTATCTTTAGATAAAGCAAGCGAGTGTGGTATGTATATTTTCTATCCAAGAGTATTTATTGCACAAGGTGCTCAGACAATCATTGCTGCTCCACTAAATCGCTAGAAAAAATATTACAACAGTTCTTGTTATATTTGCACACGCACTTTTCTGCACTTATAAAAGCACATAAATCCTCGTCCAAGTTCCAATCAGCGATTTATGCTCTCCAATATGGTATATACTCCATCTAAAAAGGCCATTTCACTGAATACGGTTCCGTTGTGTGTTAATTCTCGAGCTATATCGTGTTCTTACACACAAAGCAACTGAGGATTGCTAGATAAAAAACCAAAGATGTATCTACTATCTACGATCCAATCTTCGAGATATGGAGATTGCATTATCTCACTTTAATGTTACTAACTCAACAGAGAATTATAATTGTGCAGTGCTAATGTGAGGTAGAGAAAAGCATTCCCAAACTCGTATGAAAGTCACATAAGATTCTAGGGAGAAGATGATTCACATCGAAATGTAATAGGGTAAAAATTGTGAATCAATGAAGCCCAATGGTAAAAATGATGTTACTGAGCAACGCGCTTGAGTCTTCTGCAAAAAGCGGTGTAAGGTCGGTTATCATTAGAGGCCACTTTTATATGGCCCTCTACAAACAAACGTATCAACAGGTAGGATAAACAACACACCCGAAAGAACAGATATGCGAAAAAGGTAAAATTTCTCGTATACGATACTGTGTCCCATAGGTACACTGTACACTGTTTGACTGGTGACGTTTCTCTTTCCAAATAGTCTTTAGTCGACCTTTATTTAGCCATTGTGTAGAGCTGTCTTCAACTCAGGTGTACAGTATGGGGTGAACCACAGAGCCCAGTGGAATTTGGAACGCTCATATTATTGCTAACGTCGCTTAACAGAGATACAGGCAGTTTTGGATCCTCCATCACATTGCAAACTATTTGGCGATGCTTCCATTGTTAGATTTATAGTTTGGAACAATTCACCGATTGCTCCTCATTACGTAGAATTACGGAAGGAACTTCCAGCACAAATTACCATGAAATAGGGTAAAACAAGTTTAAAAATCTGCAAAATTGCGTACCTGGTTTTCACACCCCATTTCACTACTCAACTTTTTGAGGGTTCTGAAAGCTTCCAAACAGAATAACTTCCAAACTAAGCATCGCGATAACGATAGTTGTTAAAATAAGGTAAATTCATATTTAGAGTCAGTGTGAGAGATTTTGGTTTGTTCGGTTTTGTTTTTTTCTTCTGGAGGCAAGATACGGTTTCCAATGGCTCTCAGAGGCTCATAACCCTACTTGAAGTTCTTACGGTAATCTTACATCAACGGAGAGCAAATAGGCTCGCTCTACCCTGTAAATTTGAGAAGCGAAGTACTCGCATGGAAACACCAAGGTAAATCGAAGTGGGCCTTTCCGTACAAATGAGTATAAATTTATCCGTCTCAAAACACTAGTTTTAGATCTTTTTCCTCTCGAAAAGCCGTCTTCTGGAAAAGCTATGAACGATTTTCGATAACGTAGAGTTGTATCGGTGGAATTCAGCCAAAATTGCGGGATTTGCGGAATTTGCGGTATTTAGTTATAACTTCTTCCAAATCAATTTTACTTGGATTCTGCAAGAAGATTTGGTTTCATCTTGATGAGATGAATCATTTAGTATACATTATGCCCGCTTTCCATAGTGCCTCTGTTGTATTGGCATGTGTTATGAGATTATCAACATGTATTGTTGCTCATATAAACAAATTTTGAAAATAACAAAGTAGTATCATATGTCTACCGTATCACCATGGACTACGGGCATAATGTATACTAAGAGATTCATCTCATCAAGCTGAAGCCAATCTTCTTGCAGATTCCAAACAAAGTTGTTTTAGAAGAACTTTCAACTAAATCCCGCAAATCCCGCAATTTCCACCGATACAATTGCAGTTGCATTGCAGAGAGGCAAAATGAGCACTCTCAACAGTAAACGTTACTAGCATTCAGGTAAGCATCAAATCACGTTTCTGTTCTCGGGCTGTATTTCTACGAAAAAATACAATAATGAGTGAATTTTTGACGTTTCTGCAAATTTTTTGTTTTTGCAAGTTCTTGCTAGATTAAAGTCCTCCAAGTATTGTATGGACAAATCTGCGGAGTTTCATTAGCTATTAAACTTTATCCAATTACAAAAACTTTCGTGCCAATCTAATATAACTTTAGACAAGAGAAATGTCAGCTGTCCCTTGGAGTCATCAGCCCATGATGTATTAAGTTGTGTAATAAGTTCTGTCCCATTTTTTCTTTCGATTTTTTCTCAGTATTTTGCGCGATGTTCTGCAAATTGTTTATATGCATTTGATAGCTCTATGCCTTTTCTGCTAAAACTTTCATCTCGGTTTTCTACATCAGACGACTTGAAAAAAATTCACAGCGACAAATTTGGAAAATCAAACAGGGAAAAAGTCCATTTTCGACAGCTACGTTATGTCGCCCACCTAATTAGTCAGAATGCCTAGGAATAAGGAATTTGCTACATGTAAGCTAAGAATGCTCTAGCTTCTACTGCGCTTCAGAAGTGCTGAAACTTTTCAAAAATCATTTCTGTAGACTTTAGAAAGGTCTTCTTTCTAACGCCTTTTCAACGTTGGTGTTGGACATCATCTGAAGGCATCCTGAGGGAAGACGGTAGGCGGATTATCCAGAAAAGTTAGAAGGGATGGTTTGTAGCTTCAAAATTATCGAATTCGTAGGTTTTATACTCAAAATTCGAATTTTGGGAGCTACACAGCTTGGGTATGCGAGACGGCGAACATTGCCGTGACAAACTTGCCTTGCTAACTTTCAAAAGAATGTCATTAAATAGCAGGGGAAGGAAGGAAACATGCGCAAACAGTGATAGAATAAGTGTAAAAGTCTAATGGATTGTTTTGGTTGTTGTCAAGCTTGTTCAATAAGTTTCACCAATAAAAATCGAGGAAAATTTGGAGGAAAAAAGATGGCGCGAAAACTGATTTTTCGGTTCTTTGGATTTTTGTATCAATAATATCTTTTTCAATTTCCTGCTCTATTGGGGAATGATGCATATGAGCCTGCAGAGCAAACTTACAGCTTTCAAAAGCATATGCACTTTATCTCAAATATAGTCAATGTTGTCAAGAAAAAACTAGAACAAAAATGGGACAGAATTTATTACACGACCTTATATATGAAATAAAAGCAATCCTATTTTGCTGATTTTCCTAGCAACAAGATCGATATAGTATGAAGAGAAATGGAGAGCAAAATGGTATTTCTTGCCACCTTGTGGGGATACTTATATGGATCTCCTGACAAAGCGCTACCAAGAACTCTTGCTTTTGTACGGAAAGTCAAATAAATTGAAGGTTTATTGAGGTGATTTATTTTTAGATTCAGAATTATCTGAAAACACAGCGGTTATCGATTATAATTTACACGTCATCAATCGGATGTGAATTCCTTTCCGAAAACAGTTTCCCTTATCCGGTCACAGTACTGTACCAACGCTGGATACTCTTCTTTCAGTACATCTTTTGCATAGCAGTTGATAGGAAGATAAACCGTTGTTGCCAGCTGTCCAAAAAGTGTGCAATCAGCCTAAATTAAGTAAAATTGCAATTTATTAGAGATCGTAGTGCAACTTTTTTACCGCAGAAATCTCGTCTCCGAACATGAATTTCTGTTGACCCAATAAGGTTTGATATGTATCATAATCTTTACGCAAAAGATCCTTATAATTTTCATCAGAGAGCTTTCCAATACCACCAGCGATTCGTTGAGAGGCCTGTAATAATCTTTTGAGATTTCAAAACACGATCTTTGATAAATCACCTTTCTTCTCATCAAATAACCTATTGGAGGCATGATAATAGGCAATATTGCTTCTGGAAATCCAGCATCACGGAAAGCAGTCTCGAAGAAACCGTTGTCGTTGTCGATTAATTTGTACTGGTACTGTACGCTGAATTTGACTACTCAAGATAATTGTCATGAAAATTGTATATAAATTTAATACTAACAGGAACGTATGGTTGTCGGCCATCCGATCAATCGCCCTGGCAATGGCCCGATCTTTTGGATTGTCCAACTGCTGAATCACATTTAGTTATGGAAATTAGCATCCTCCTCGTATTTTGAAATTATTGGACCATTGGCGCTAGAAAGTAGTACATGCGCTATCCCACGTTCTATGTACTTTGTCATTGCTATATTGTATTTTGCAATACGGAGCACACAGAAATGAGGGTACTCAGAAGTATTCTTTACGCAAAATTCTAATCTTCACTTCAATGATACCAAGAGACTGAAATGCAAATTCACCTAAGTGAATGTAAACTATTTTAACCAAAGCCGGATAGCAAAAAATGGTCAAATTTTGGAATAGGGGACAGGATTTTGCCTCTTATCGTATCGGCGCTATGTGACGCCAACTAACTAAGATTTCGGAGGTGTACAACAATCTAATCTTTTTTCAACAATAGGCTATTCACTTTGCAGGATTGCATATGGGTATGCGACTTTTTCAGAGCAACAGCTTCATGAGCAAAACCTTCTTTAGTGTACGAATTGATTCATTCAAATTGCTCATATCACATTTCGTGCTGTTAATGGACTTCCTAATGGACTTTCTCGACAGTAGAAATGCCTGCGGAGCTGGGAATGTGACCCACTGAGGTCTGTTGCTAAAGAGTTCTCGAATGCGCGCAGACGGGAGCAGAATAGATAGTAAATGGTGAATAGAAGGAAGATTAAAAAAGACAGATAAAGGTTCGATCTTCGACACCTTCTGCCGCATGTCCACGCATTCTATATGCTTCAGCTCGCTAACATATGAAGACAATGCCTATCAATTGTCGAGCACCAACCTATGCCCCTCTCCGCAATTCCTTGCAGCATGGACTTAAGTGCAGAAATTGAAAACTGATATTCGAATATGTAGCACAAAATAAGGTATTTAGCGTGGTCAGAGACACGTAATTTTGCTTTTTGAACTTGTCGTCCGCCACAATCGAACTGAACGTAATAACATCAGTACCTTAACGCTGAAGTGCTTGGCGAGGCGATCCATGATGATTTGAGAGTCTGCAATGTGCTCACCATTCAGCTCCACGAATGGTAACAGACCGTACTGAGATCTGCCCATGAGTACGGGACATGCCTGAAGAGCTTAGGTATCGTGAGGATTTGTTTTCGGAATAGCTGTATTGGAATTTCAGTACAAAATAAAGCAACCTCACAAATCTCATAAGATGCGCTGGAGAACAAAAAATAAAAATATTGGCTCTGCGCTACTGTAACGCATTGAGCACCATCTGCACATTCCATATGAGGGTAGGGATATTGAAGATTAAACTTTTCTTCGAAAAAAAAATCACATTTTGGAGAAACAAGGGATGTTGTCCGGTTTCAAAAAGTGGCAAGAAGAAGATTCACAAAGTCAAAGCACATTTGGAGCATGCTTCGAGTGCTTTTAGTCCTGCACGCTTTGAATTCCTAGGGGGAGTCTCTAACAACACGATAATGGGAATGAAAATTGTTTTGTCTAGCACTATAGACGATGCTCTTGTTCGTAAATCCTTTGAAAAACCTTTGATGGAATATTTTTATTGAGACTTTTGCAATTAGCCGTTCGAGATAATCAAGAAAACGCAATTAAATGGTGTAAAACTTACTTCGTAAGGGATTTTATTGGCCTTGAGGAACGTTTCAATTTTCAGACAGAACGGTGACAGGTTTGGCAAAGCCTTTGCGCGAGGAAACTGATATAAGTAAACAGTGTCCTTCTTCCAGTCTTTCTTTTGAATCTGAAACAGCCTTTTAAATGGAATCCTCACATGAAATCGGTTGATGGGAAAAGCAGAGAATTTACTTATGTTTAGGTTTACAAGTAATGTAGGGCTCGGCACGAGGTGGCTAGATGAAAATGCGAAAAACGAAGTCCCCTTTGATTTGCGAATTTTACGAAGTCCCCTTTGACCCTATACCGAAACGTCGACTAAAAAAAGTCGCAAATTTTCTCTGTCTTCGGCCACAAAAACGAAAGCCCCTTTGCTTTTTGTCAAACGATACCCAGCTTGCTTATAAGCCACCTATGCCGAGCCCTGAACTAATGTTATCCAGTCTTGGAATGGTGATCAATTATATTGAAAGAAAAGTTATTCAGCATCTGTTTCATGAAATGTCCAAGGCAGAGTTGCCTCCCTGCGTTCGATTATCGGCTTTGGAACAAAGGCAACCGTCTAATATGAAGTGAAGACTGCCTTCGCGCAAAGGGCGTTCGCGTGATATTCAACAGATTTTACTACTAACCTCAAATTCTTGGAAAATCCGTATTGTTAGAACTTTGCATAAAATCACGGCATGTTGGTTAAGAAAATGATACTCTTTTTTGATACAGTTAAACCCGAAATTGTTATAACCCTTATTAGGTGATGTTCGGCTGCGTCGCCTTCATCAAATGGAAGCATCGCGAAGACCTCTCAGATAGTTTCGGTTCTGCAATTTTTAATGTCTGTCGCATACCCATCGTTACACCAGAGAGCTGTTACACCGGTTGTGTATCATTCAAGTAAAGAGTTTGAAATAGGACTTACACAAAGTTTTAAAAAATCAGAAATTAAGAATTTTTGGGGTTGAAATGGAATAGCGAATAGACAATAGAAAGCGTCAAAATTCTCATCCCTGCTCGAATATAAAAGTGCGATTTTTGCCCCGAAGAGTGTTAAATAGATTGTTCTCTTACGTGAAGATTTCTGCCCTCAGAATACTACTGTTGATTACCACATCGTTGTTGGAAAATAAGCAGCGAGCGAGTAATACAGACAAAAGCAAGCACATATAGTTCTGGCAAAATAACCTCAACAACAATAAATGGTGATGGGGAGAAAAATGGAACTCCGCTTCTTCACATTTTCTTCCTTGTGTTTTAGCTAAGTTGACTGCGACGTGATTTCTTATAAGGATACCATTTACGTCAGGTTGGTCAAGTATTGGTTAAGTTCTACCCGTTGTTTTTACCTCTTTTACATGCTAATTTTGAAGAAAAGCCATTTTCATGAACAATGCTTACATCGCTTGTAAGCTCATTTCTTGTAGTTTTTCATGCAACTTTCGTCTTCTTAAAGTTCAATTCATTCTGTTGTTCGCTTTGAAAAAAAAAACTAAAACAAATATAGAAGTTTTTCTTTTTTGCTCCATTGTCATGAGACCTAGTCCCAGAAAAGTAAATCTTTTTTTGCAACGTATGTTACGTTTGCTGGACTTGTTCGGCGCAATGCTTAACGCGATATTTATACAAAAATTTCTAAATCTTTGAATTCCAGCTTAAATATGACCTGTTGTTATGGTTCCTTTGAATTTCATTTTAAAAAAATGTTATCGCAGCGCAGTCACGGTAGTTTTGTTTGTAAAGTGAGATCACACTCAGTACATTTATTATCAGGAAAAAATAAAAAATTTTTCCATTTTCCACGGCGAACAAGATTAGAGAACCCAAAAAAGGATTCTTCTGCCATATTAGATAGAGCGAGATAGATGAGTCCTTCCGAATTTTCCTGCAATTTTTTATGAAAAGTTTGGTGAAATCCAAGGTTAGGAGTGCTCCCATCTACAAATTTACTACACAGTGAGCAGTGCTCACGAATTCTACTACATTCCAAGTCAAGTAACAGTTTCTTAGAGTGGAGGTTCCCTAAAAAGATGATTGGCGACTTTGGCCTAACGAAGGTTTCCTCTGTTGGCAGAAATTTTTGAGTATGCGTAGAATTCCCACGGATTTGTAGATTATAACATAATTTATTGCGCTCGCAAAAATCATTTCTATTATAGATAGGGCTATGGCAAATCGAATTTGAATTTTGAAAATGGGTACAACTTTCAACCAATAATATTGTCATTCACAAATGTGACCGCCCTTTCTGAAGCAGTGAGCCGTCCAGACGCTAGTTGGTATTATATCCGATTGGGAGTGAAGTTTTTCAAAAGACGACACGATTTACAGAAAAAAAAAGAACGAAGGGAGATATTAAAAATTCTCGGAGGAGCTTGTCAAAGAAAGGGACCGGCCGTACTATTCCAGGAAGTGATTCCTGCGACTCCTGTAATTCCTGCAATTCTTGCAATTTCTTGACTTTCGATATGCCGCACTACGGAACGCTTTGCGAATTTCAGACATTCTTTTTTCGCAATATAAATTGCTACGGGACCCGTAGTAATCGCAGGAATGCAGGAATCACAGAAATAGTATGGCCGGTACCAAAAAAAATGAAATGAGAGAAGATGATAAGAAAGCACTGTGTGAGAAGGTCAGTGAATTGACCTAGTAACGTCAATATGATGGGATCTGGAAGAAGTTAGGATTCGTAGTTTCTAGTTTTCATTAGCGAGATACCTAGTTAATGAGGATAATATATGTAAAAAATGTTGAAAATGTATGTACCTCCGGTTTTCCCTTCTTCTCAGAAAAGAATATTTTGTACACAATAAAAGCGACACTGGCTAAAGCGATAGTGGCCCAGAGAACCATAGTAGATGAAGCAGGTGAACAGCTGTAAGTACTGGGTTGTTGTCCGTTAGAGCAAAAAAAAACGAGTTGCCTAGGCAGTCGATTTGGCGCTGCTATCTTTCGCTACGAGGTCGAGTCGGCACACTAAGAGCAACGATCACTGGGACAGCAAGCGATTGCCATCAACCATGCTGGCAATGTTTGTACTCAGAGCTCGGCACAGCTGGCACCGGGTCAAGCTGGTTACCGTTTTGGGGACAAAAAGCAAAGGGGATATCGTTTTTGTGGCCGAAAAGGCACAAAAATTGCGACGTTTTTTTAGTCGACGTTTCGTTTTTTTTTTGAGTTTTTAACGTTTAGATTAGGGTCAAAGGGGACCGTACGAAATTTTCAAGATCAAAGAGAACTCCATTTTGAAATATTCCTGGTGCCAGTTCGTGCCGAACCCTGTTTGTACCTATCTTTTGTGTCTAAAGGCGATGCAAACACTCATATTAGGCATGGAAAACGTATAAGTCAGCAAATGTTAACAGCTGAAAATAATAAGCAATCTGAGCAGAGAGGAATACTCATCATTATTTTCCTCCCATATGAGTGCAACGAAAAGAAGAGAGTGAAAAAAGAGATTAAAGGCACCGTCCTCCCTAAGTTAGGGATCTTGAGCTTTTGGCAGCTTATGATAGTAGGAATCCTTATCAAGCCAATGCCGAAGACGCTGCGCAAAATGTTGCTTCGAAGGCTTGAAAATCGCTTCCGAATAGCAAAGAAGCATGAGGAACCCAAGTCGGCACCGCCTCCTCCAGTAAACCCCGCCCCTCCGTGCGCCTTCATCCAATCACCGTTCCGGAGAACGGCCTGAGGTTCTCCGAGACGGAAATTGTTGGAGTTTTTGCTCTCAACTTCATATTCGGAATTAGAACATGAGAAGGCCCCGAAACGATCAAAACATGGAAGTCGAGATTCTGGGTGGACGATGCCTTCAAAGTACACAACCGGAAGCCACACTATAAGGGAGTTCTTGACGATCAAACAGTGTGCACATTTCTTGGGACACCCTGTACTAGTCACTCAAGAATAAACATCGAACGTAGCAGTTGCACGATTTACTGCTAGCTGTCTAGTTGAAGCTATCTAAATTTTAGCTCAAATCTTTACAATCCACATACAACACTTCTGCGCTCCAAGGTTTGCTGTTTCTGCATCTCCGCTGCCGCTCACATTTATACCAAAAAAAAAAAACGAAGGACTTCTAACAGAATTTATATCTGCACCGCCAACCTTCAGATATGGCAGGTAAACGGTACGAGGTAATTTCGCTTGCCTCCAACAAAGCGCTTACGAGTTCAGAATCATATCTTGTTCACAGAATTGTGATTGAAACAATTGTCTCAAAAAGCTCTCAAGCCCCCTTTCCCTTATCTTAATCTGATGATGACTAGCTGGCATACCCGCCCGGCCCTGTCAAAACACTATGAGAATGGTCACCATTGGAATCAATGAAAATACTAGATCTCTCTGAAAACTAATATTGCATTCGCAATCAGCATGCTCACCTACCCCTCTGTACCAACTCCCCATGGGTCAGTTTGCAAAAAATCGATAAAAATTGATATCGATCGAGGATAGCCTATGACACCCGCTCCGCCCCGAAGTACGTGTGCTCTGGTCCTGATCGGTTCAAACAATCAGCTTTATATATAAGACTAACTGGTAAATAAACTCCGCCCGGTCCTGTCAATAATACAGGGTTTCCCAAAAAAATTGCTTACTGTTTCATTGTTAAACTCTCTTGTCATTAAGTCTTTAGAGGAGCTTTAGGTACCACTTTGTAGAGCTGGCTTTAACTTAGATTTAAGTACAAAGCGAGTTACCGACTCTTCTCATTACTGTAGGATTACGGTAGGAACTTTGAAGAGGATTTTGCGTCATTAAGGGTTATATTTTACCTCTAGAGAAAGATTAAAGAAGCTGAAAACTCTTATACTAGGTTAACCAAAGTCGATGATTCCAAATATGAAACTTGCATTTCACCACAATGCTTTTATTATAAGTTTTGCCGGATATAATGTAACAACGGATTTCTGAAATTCGTCGAGAATTCAACTGAGCCGTTCGAAAAGCTCTGCGAACACGCAAAAAGTTATGTAGTGAGATCAGCAAGCATGGAAATCTTGTTATACAAATTTTAAGAATGAAAGTTTTTTTTGAACGGCCTATTTCACAATGGCGCCATATGCTGCTAGTTTCTACCGTATTATTAGGTCGGTCCGAAAGTTCTTTCCGTTTTTTCAAGCTATCCTGTAAACACGTGGAATAAGGGCAGGCAAATGCTTTAAGCTCTATCGGATGCTGTTTCCATTCCTCTCTCCACCAGTCATGTTTTAGGATCATTTGCTTTGGTAGCTTCTGAGATAATTGCTAAAATTCCAAACAATGGTTTTTACCGTGCCCAACTTTGACAATTTTTCGAAATTTTCATTTTGAACTTCTAAAGCAGTGATGCAGTTAGATAGCGTAAGCAAAGTGCAGTGCAATGCAGTTTTCTCGCACCTCAAAATAGCTTCTTAGTATTTTTTGAGAACACTTCTTCAAAAGTCTTCATTTTCGCGAAATGGCGACATACGCAAAAGCTCCGAACACTAACAATCGTGGGAATTTAAAACTTGCAGAGATGAATTATGATAGTACATCAACTTTACAAAGCATGGGAGTGTTTGCCGCTTCGAAATATCAAATTTTGCATTCTACGAGTACAGCATAATGTGGGTTGAAAAACGGGAATTTTTATAAGTTTTTCGCCAGATACTCCATGATTTGGAAAGTAAAAAGGCCTAACAGGAAGGGGAGGAAAAGCTGCATCGAATGACGCCTTAGTGCTCCATTTGATGTTGTGTGATTTTTGGAACGACCAAAAGTGGAATTTGATAGCATCAGAAATATAATTTCGAAATTTGAAAGCCAGCTATTGGGGCCAGAAAACTTCACTGCACTACACTTTGCTTACACTACCTAACAAAGCTATCAAAGCTCTCCCAAAGGTTAAAATGAGAGTTTTGAAAAAATACCAAAATTGGGCATAGTAATAACCATGGGGTTGCAATTTCGACACTTATCTCAAAAACCACCGAAACAAATGGTCCCAATGCATAACTGTTGGAAACGGAAAGAAAAATTGCGTTCGATAGTGCTTACAGCATTTGCCTGCCTCTATTTCATGTGATTTATGACAGCTTGAAAAAACGGAAAGAAGTTTCGGTGACCCAATATTACACTAATGAAAGAAGATCGGTAGTGCGCCCCAGACTTTGAATCTAAGTTGAAGCCAGCCCTACAAAATGAAGCTAGTCCTTCCCGAAAGATCTCGTGACAAAAGAGTCATTAACAATCAAACAGTAGGCATATTTTTGGGACATCCTATACTCGAATCAGCATGTTCACTTACACCCAACCCTGCACACCCTGCATACCCTGCACACCCTGCACACCCTGCACACCTTGCACACCCTGCACACCCTGCACACCCTGCACACCCTGCACACCTGCACACCTGCACACCCTGCACACCCTGCACACCCTGCACACCCTACACACCCTGCACACCCTGCACACCCTGCACACCCTGCACACCCTGCACACCCTGCACACCTGCACACCTGCACACCCTGCACACCCTGCACACCCTGCACACCCTGCACACCCTGCACACCCTGCACACACACACACACACAGCTTTATATCTAAGAAAAATCGAGGGATGCGATAGGAATGGTATTTTTAGAAATTTACTAGGTTTCGCAGAGATTATAGCAACATAGCTCAGTGCAATATAATCTTTACTCTCTCTCTAAGTGTGACCCGTTTTTCAACGTCTGTTCTGTTTGCATCACGTGGTGCAAGATTTCCACTGCGGACGATGTTTGTGGTTCTCCGCTGGCATTCCGCCCTCGCAAAAAAGAGCATAGCTCACTGCCACCCACAGCTCGTTCTTCTTACTGTCCGATTCTACTCTGGCAGTTATAACTGGGGATGATTTATTGGCTCATTGCTGTGATTATTGTCGGCCTCACTGTTTATAAATTCTTCCTTTCTGCAAAGAAAGGAAAGCCGGAGGTGAGATTTTAATCTTGTTTTGTGAATAGGGGCTGCCCTGGTGAAAGAAAATCTAAGCGTTTAATCTTGGAATACGTTGTTTTCACATTGGATTTATGCCTCAAACAAAGCAAGTACTAGTGAGAGTGAATAATAGTATTTTACTTATTGAATAATAGCACAGCAAATAATAACAAAAGCATCATAAGAAAGTGGACTTAGATGATGTATGGGATTCCTCCAAAACAATGTTTTCTTCCATCAATATCCGAGTCGTTCGGTGTTTATCTCTGCTTCTGTCTCTCGTTTGCACTATTTTTAGCTCAGCGATTTTTCCTCGCAAAAACACAGACAGGTGTCTCGTCTCTTACAATTAGAGTGCATCTTAACAAAACATGTAGTCTTCAATGGTATGCAGAAGTAATATTTGTAGAGATTATGCCGAAAGAAACCGCAAAAAAGTTTCTTTTCTTATTGGAGCGGGCAGATCAAGGTCATGATCAAATGCAACAAAAGTGTATCTTGACATACTTGCAAAATTCCGAAAAGGAAAAGAACTTGATGATCCTCGTTATTTCATGCAATTTGTACTGTAAGATGCATTTCGAACCGTTGATCCACGCTCCTCATTAGCTGGACAACGGTTTTCTAACAGAAGTTTTGTACACTTTTTCCATTAAAATGCATCTACAGGGAGCGTGAAAATTATCGGCGAAATTTGCAGCAGAGTTATAAAATTACAAGAGCCGAGTTTATGCCATAGAATGCTGTAATCGCAGTTTGGAAAGACCTCTATTTGCGAAGGTGAGAATTTGAAATCAGTGTGCTTTGTGAAAGCGAAAAGAAATCCACCCTTCATGTTTTGCTTTTCAGCTGGGTGATTCAAGTCTTTCCCGAATCGCTTTAGCTCTCATTATAGAGTACGTTTCGTTCTCTTGCAAAGTACCGTTGCTTTTTTATAATGTAGATTTCCTACCAAATATGAAATCTCTTTGCGAAATTTAATGGTACGAACAACACTTTGTGTTCAAAATTAGTGATGAAATCTTAGGTACGCAAAATCTTTAAGCACAGAATATTTCTTCTTATGAGACGTACAGAAGAGCATCCAGTCATGACCGATTGGTGAAAAAACCAAAATACTACAATACCACTCTCATAACGTGCAAAATTTCCGTGAATGTCGCGAAATTCCGAAAATTCCGCGAAATTTCCGTGAATGTCGCGAAGTTTCGCGAAATTCACGGAAATTTTGCACGTTATGAGAGTGGTATTGTATCTGGCTGATAAAATGATAAAACAGTAATTTTCTCATCTGCTGCTAGCAGGTGAACATTAGAAACGGCTTGTGAATTTTTTCTCTCAAACCTTCGTGCTGAAGTGATCTATAAGCTTTTCCACAATTATGACAATGTCACAATTATGTTCGAATGCATGTATGAAGCAAATCTTATAATATCCGCTTACATGTATTACTCGACGTGTTAACAACATTTCTTATATTGTTTTGTTGCAGGTTGCACATTGTAGGATAGGAATATCTGCCAAATTACACGACTTTCGAATTTGAAAGACAATTCATGAGAAGGCGATTTTGTAACATCATAATCTGACGAACAATGCAGATAAAGATCTGCGCTAACAATGGTCCGGTAGAGGTGTTCACATAGTTTTAAATTCACAAAAATATGCAGACAATTTCCGCAATAGATAGGCAAAAAGTGCAGGCGAATTTGCGATTTTGGTGAGTTGAGCCACTTCTATCCCACTTCAGCTTTACTTTAAGACTTTCTAGTGCAAAATAAATAGGATTTTCGTAAAGATCGGGACCAAAAACCACTATGAGCGAAGTTTCCGGTCAATCCGAGAACCTCAATATTTTGAACCAAATCTTGCGCCGAGGCCAAGAGTGAGGAGCGAGAAGAAATCAAGTGCTACTAGTTACTTAGAAAATCAAACCATAGATGTTATCCGACCCATTGATTACAAAAAACACATCTGATTAGCGAGATAGCTTCATTCTGTAGGACTACGGTGGATAGATTTTAGAGATGTGTGTTTCTGTATTTCTGTCCGATTTGAATTTTTGAGTTTAAAATGTCATAACTTCTTTCAGAGTCAACTTTTTTCCAAGGTCTTAGTTTCTATGTGTTGAGCAGTCCCTTGGCTAAAAAATGCATATTGAGATCTGCGCAAATCTTTGTTAAGGAAGAACCAAGAATGCAAAAACTTCGCAGCGTTTTTCTTCGAATCTGTCTTTTTTGACATGGTAACGCTCCCTTATGAAAATTGATAGGCATCTTTTCTAATAATGGATGGATAGAGAAATTTTCGTAGATTATTATGCAACATAAAAGAGCCCATAGGGTTTGCGCTGCCGAGAGATTTTTTTGACCGAACAAAAAATTAGCCACTTTTTGACCTCGCTTCAGCACATGTGTGCATGCCTATTTACGAATTATGAAAATTTTACAACTGACGTGAGCGCCGAAAAGGAATTGGTGGATGGGCCCTGTTAGCTCTTGCTTTGCCCTAGCACCTCCAACTTTGAGCTTGTCGATTACTTCTATTCGCAGAAAGTTATTGCTTGTAAAACATCTATACCAAAGATTTATGTTCGAGGATAAATTTCACTAGCAAGACGTATTCTTCATGGGACCGAACTTCTGCATATACTAGCATTCCATACCCTTATTCCGAAGCCAATGAAAGAACCTGACTTGAAGGGCGCATTGTGGAGATATCCTCGCAAGGACATATTTCTAGGGATAGAACGTACCTCGGCCACTTAGAGATTTTAGGCCTGAAATCTCCGTACACTAAGAAATTTATTGACATCTGATATGCGTTAGAAAGCGCAAGGAAAGCACTTTTCAATGATACCAACCGTATCGAATTAGAGATGAAATTCTCTTAGAACAGCTGCTTCAAACATGAGGCAAAAAAATCGGACAGAACTTATGCAACAGCCTAGATAGAGATCAAAGATCAAATTAAGAAAAACTATCTCCAGATACTATAGGGCAGCGCCCCTTCACATTCATGCTGCTGTCCAACTTTCTTCATCAGCTGATAGCGCATCAAAAGTTGTATCGAAATATTGCTATGCCAGCGCCTTGATTATTCTCCTGGAATTATCATTTCATTTTGATCTATCATGAAGTTTTCCGAAAAATTTCCAAGTCAAGAACCGTTTTAGATCAGCCTCTTGTGTATTTAACATCCATTTCTTCTGTAAATTTTTGGGTATAGCCCCTTCGAATATAAACACAAATACGGGTATCCGGACACTTCGTTCCCATTCTCCACAAAGATATGCATAAAAATGTACATTGGCTTTCTTATAAACCCTCGCTTATAAAAGAGTTCAAATCCCGCTTTTATCATAGAAAGAAAGAGCTCACAAAGTTGCATATAAATGACTTCATAGCATTTGCCCATCAGCGCTAGTCGCGGTGATATGCGGTCACTCTCGCACCGTAATTAGCAAATCTCGCACCTCGGCTGTCAATTATAATACCACTCTCATAACGTGCAAAATTTCCGTGAATGTCGCGAAATTCCGAAAATTCCGCGAAATTTCCGTGAATGTCGCGAAATTCCGAAAATTCCGCGAAATTTCCGTGAATGTCGCGAAATTCCGAAATTTCCGCGAACTTTCCGGAATTTCGCGAAATTCCGGGAATGTCGCGAAGTTTCGCGAAATTCCGGAAATTTCGCGGAATTTTCGGAATTTCGCGACATTCACGGAAATTTTGCACGTTATGAGAGTGGTATTGTACTGCTGTCCAAGATTCTGCTGCACGGGCATGTTTTTCAAACTAAATGTCTGCACTTGAGGTCAAAAAGATTTCAAACCTTCTATTATCAAAGGAAGTCATGCTCTATTTTACTGTGCAACTTCGGGACAAAAGAATGGGTTTCTTATAAAGATTTTTATGGCGAAGCTGTGCCTATGTACAGAGATGAAGGCAAATCCATGCTTGACTCGTTTTCAAACTCATCTTGCATTTTTTTGGCACTGAAACATATGCGGGCCGGCAATTTTGGCATTTTGTAATTCTAGACGGGTAGAGTTTTCGAGTTGTTTCAAGCTGACGATTTCTAGTCCGGAGCAAATCACTGTATTCAAATTGTTAGTCTGAAGTTAGTAAATAAACGCATGAAGTTTTGATAGTTCTGCGATACTACACTTGCGAAAGAACGACCAGAATCACAGACAAATGTTTCGATGTCAAAACAAAATTCTGATAAAGGTAAAAGGTAGTTCCCGGCAAAACTTCGTCTTCCAGTTTTTCAAATTTTTGGAGCCTCCTTGCCAAGACAAACTTTTCAACGAATCAAAATTGCGAAAATAAGCCCTTTTTAAAGCTTTTTAGATCCGCATTCAGCGGATATTAGGTGTATGGGCGGAGTCCGATACGAGGGAGGCGGGGCGCGGAAGACTTTCGGCGTATTTTCACTAAATCGGACCTGGAAATCTTAAAGCTTATTTTCGCCATTTTCACGCGCTGAAAAGCCCAGATATGGATGATTCCTCATGGCGAGAAGGCTCCGAATAGGTGAAAAACTGAACAGAGAAATTGCCGCGCTCTAAATTGAAGGGGCATTCCCATCACCACATTATGAAGGACCACGATCACTAGTTTCTTCTAAAATCTTAGCAGTTATCAGTACCACTGCAGATTGTAAAGTTGTAGCTGAGCGTGTTATCTGAAAACAACTACAAAAGCATTTTGGAAAAAAACCGTGAAGAATTTTTAGTGGCATAGTTGAAAGCCTCGTACACGCACAAAGGATCAACACGTTTCTGAAAATTCTTTACTACGTTGTTTTGAGCTATTCGTTCAAATTCTATTTGAAACACAATAGCTTGAAACTTTTGAAACTTATATTCTGGTGTTTACTGTAATTATTCTTTTTAAGCTTGTACTACTTCATATGGATCTATTTATTTTAGATACTAAAGAAGGACTGGAAGAAGGATGTTGTTTATCTGTATCAATTCCCCCGTGCGAAAGTGTTGCCCAACTTGTCACCGTTTTGTTTGAAAATTGAAACTTTTCTCAAAGCCAACAAGGTCCCTTACGAGGTGAGTCATAGAAGCACTTTCCTCTCTGTTTTATCTCTCAAATGCTCCTAAGCTCTTTCATGATTAAAATAATAGAAACAGTATCTCTGTTATATCTGAGTAAGTTAAATTTCTTTTCCAGGTGTCTCCAGTCCTCATAAGCAGATCTCAATATGGCAAGCTACCATTTGTGGAACTGAACGGTGAACATATAGCCGACTCTCAAGTCATCATTAATCGGTTAACAAAGCATTTCAACCTCAAGGTACTATCTTGCTTCTTTGCTTCTACCCTGGCTATAAAAAATTCTTCCTCATAGATTTGCAAGAGGAAACTTTCTTTGATGTCTTTACACCAATTCACAAAACAAAAACCTATTCTGGATTGAGCTGGCTTGTAATGAAACTTCAGAAAATCAGTCCCACAAAGATAATTTAGACTTACGAATTTCAACAATTATTTCGATTATTCGAAGGCCAAAACAAGTCATTTGTAACTCCCTACTTTTTCTTTCCATGCTTTTCTCAATTTCATACTGATAGTCTGTAGCCAAAAAGCAAATTTTAGCAACTGAGCAATCCAAGAGATCATGCTATAGCCAGAGCTGTTGAACGAATGACAGAAATTCATACGTTCATGTTAGTTTTTTTTTTGTTAGTCCTATCGTTAATGAGACCTTTTGCAAATTTTACCGAATTCAGGGTTCAGTACTACTTTAAAATAGTCGATGATGCTAACAGTCTCGCTGAGATTGGATGTCGCGATGCGAATTTTCCGGAATGGCTGATACCGGTAATTGTACCCATAATGGGATTTTTCATAAAGAGAAAAGTGAGTTATTATTTTAAGATTATTTTAAGACTACGGTTTATCAGCTATCTGACTACCTTACAGGCTTTGCAACGAATTGTTAGCGGTGTTGGCGGAATGTCTACTGAAAATTACAAAGAAGTTCTGAAAAAAGACTATGATGTGTATCAGGCCTTATTAGGTAAACAGAATTACCTATTTGGAGACGAGATCGCTGCGGTAAGTCCAGTAAAGAACATGTTTCACAAAATCACCCTATAAATTCAGATTGACTGTTCGGTTTTTGGCCAATTGGCTACAGTGCTCTATCTTCCTTATTCTTGCTATGCCAAAGATCTGCTGAAAGAAGAATACCCAGCTTTGGTCGACTATTGTGATCGAATCAAGGAAACAGTATTTGGAGATTACAAGCCAGAGTAAAGTGGAAGAAAGAAGCAGCCTTTGCACTCAAATTAGAGATTTAGATGGCTTCAGTTTTGAAAGTATATATTTGTTAATAAGTAATGGAAAATGAACTTCGAAAAAAATTGGGGTTGCTTCTTATTCCATTGTTTGTTTAAAGGCACCATCCACCCAAAATCTCGAATGCAAGTGGGCGGGGCGACCATGGTCTACTTTGCTACTTCCGGAGCGGATTTCTCGCTCCGGAAGTAGTCTTTTGCGGCGAAGCTTGGGGGTTTGCCTAGTGTGGTGGCCCACACTAGTATGCCATCATAATCTCGCCAACCTCCATTTTGGGTGGACGGTGCCTTTAAGCAATCTGAGGCACTGTCATAATTGTGCATTACTTGTATCAAAATTCTGGCACAGTCATTTTTCGAGTTTTGAGACTTGGATTACTGGCTGCAAGTCCATTTCTTCAAAGACATGCAAATAAATTACTATTTTTTTTTGAACGCAAGATGTGCTGCAATGTTTGGAGCGCCTCTCACTGGGCCGTGATTTGTGATGCTATTATGTCCAAGTAAAGAAGAAGCGTTTTGGAATTATATCGGCCGTGTTTGGCTCAAAATGCCTGTTTTACGAGATCTCGAATCTTTATTTAGCGTACGAAGGCAATAAAATAGCCTTTTGAAGAAATGTGGTGTCTAGGACTTGACGTACCCTTATGTAACTGTTGCAAATCTAACTCAGTCTCATTCTTATCTTGAAATCCGCATAGTTTGGAGCATCATTTTATTGCTTCTGAATTTTCAGTGTTCTTTAATGCGGTTAAATATGTGCTAGCCTTTTTCGATTTCAAACAAAGCTAGTCAAGGGGCTGAAAAGAGCTGAAAGGTATGTTTGAATATATAAATACCTAAACATATGTGAATATATGCACCCTTGTTGTATTGGCCGAACAAGATGCTCTCCGTTGCCTTTTTTCTAGCTAAACACAGATATCTAGCACAAATATACATGCGTGGTGCTTCATCAAAAAAAATCAGCAGCAAATCGAGTTCGACGCTGAGGCTAAGAACGTGGCAGCTCTGATAGGGGTGAGAATGGGTTGGGACTGTTACTCTTATAAGGGTATTTTTAATCACACAACACATTTTTCGACAAAGCTTATTGTATCTTGAACACTTCGTAAAAGCTGACAGAGGCTAGCAGTATCGTTAGTGATACATATTTTTGGAGTCGCGTGCATCCCATGGCATTTCGAGCAATGGAACAGGAGTGGTTGAATTGCGGAGGTCCAGCGTTATTTGAGAGGAAATCCTTTGAAATACTTTGCGACAAGTTTGCGCTTTTTTAATGAATAATTGATCATTAAATAAGCAAGACGGAACATCTCAGACTTCTACCTATTTGAAACTATGAATGTCTACATCCACTACACCCTTTTGGTAGGGATGTGTAAGACTGCTGAGTTCTAAAGCTCTGAGATGTAATGACTAAGTGAGCAGCTGAAAGTGAAAAGACGCTATGCCCGTAAAAATTGGATACAGCCATCTACTATAAGCTTCAAAATTGGTTGATTCAGAAACGCTTGACTGTTTGCTGTGGGAAGTGGGATAAGAAGAGATGAAGTTACCTAGGAAAGAAAAAAGCGATTTGGAAATTTTTGAGAATCCTAAGTGGAGGAAATATTGTGGGATCAGAGAATCTTTATTGAGCGAAAAGGGACCATTAGATTCTCTGACATCTGAAATAATTTCATGGTTTGGTACTTGTACGGTTAGAGCCGAGGTTATTGATGAAAAATCAAAATTAACAGTAATTTACCCAGGATCTTGGGGTAGTGGAGGTTCGAGGAAAATTTGGAGATTTAAGGTGAGTGAGAACTTGCATGGGCAATTAGTTAACGAGTAAATGAATTGGATATCTTTGACACGTTGACGACGAGCCGAATTTTTCATGTCTGTCCCTTGGACGAGACATTTCAGTGCACTTCTAGGCATGACTGCATCTGTATACGTGTGCATCTAGGCACGAAGACGATCATGTAAGTGGGCGGGGCAGTCCCCCCCCCCCCCCCTCTCCTCTTTGTGTGGAGCTCCGGCCACCCATCAGAAATGCTAATTGCTCAAATTCCAAGATCTGTGCAAATTCCATTTGGTGGGCGGACGCCACTAACAATAAGAGGGTGGAGCCTGCCTGAAGGAATCTGGGCCGAGGTTAAAGTCGCTTGAAGTTCCGCTGTGGTTGGTGACCTTTTTTATCCCCTTTGAGCGCGAAAAAAAATTCCTGTAGAAGGCAAAGGTGTGGGCGGACTTGCCAAGAGAGGGGCGGGCCAATATGACGAACTTCTGACCCTAACTTGATTGCATGAATACAAAATGGCGATTGGGCATATTAGAACTAGATTTTAGGATGCTGCGCACCATTGCGCGACTCACGGGAAGCTTGAAATTTTAAGAAAGTTTCCGATAGAGGGTAATGGGATACAGTGGTTCCGATAGCTGCAAGAATGCCGAGATACGACGCATTTGTTATGAACGAAAAATTGGGAAGGAGAAGGATTGTGTCAGGAAAGTTTGAAAGGAGCAGGAAGGAAAAGGAGTGAGTTTGTTAGAACTCTCGCTAAAGAAAGCCTGGAAACCAGATTTACCGGAGCGGCACTGGAACGGTGAATGAACTGAGATTGGCGTAACGTTATCCAAGTTTGGCCTGTTTTAGTTGCCAGCTCGGGTTTGACGAAAGGTCAGCAGTTTCTTTTGCGAAATGAGCTCTCTTTTACTACCAGCAACATTTCCAAATCCAAGATAAACATAATTTAAGAATAGTTTCGCCACAACTCCAGTGCGTCTAGTGCGAAAATCTATGACATAAAAGACGGTAAATAAAATGAATCCAAGAAATACAAACTTCATTTGCGACAAATTGGATATCGAAATGGCCGTTACTTGGGTGAGACTAGACTTGATCACATATGGTACTTATGGCAATGAAGTGAGATAGCAGTGTTGAACGCAATAGCTGTCGAGGAACTCACTCAGATATGAGTCTTCGGAACTACTGCATTTTTGAAAACTTTCCGAGAATTTTCTTGGAATGTTAAAGGCACCGTCCATCAAAATTCTCGACTTCCATGTTTGGTCGTTGCGGACTTTCTCATGTCCCTGATTCCGAATATGAAGTTGAGAATTTGCGAAAACCCTGACATCCCTGATTCCGGAAAAACCACAGGGCGATTCTGCGGAACGGTGATTGGATGGGCGGGCGTTACTGGAGGGGGCGGTGCTGACTTGGGGTCCTCATGACTCTTCGCTATTTCGGAGCAATTTTCTCGCTTCCGAAGCGAAAATTTGCGCCGCGACTTGTTCATTGGCTTAAAAGGGGGTCCTACTATCGTGAATTGCCGAAAGCTCAAGTCCCTTAATTAGGGTGGGCGGTGCCTTTGACTGCGTTGTTTTTAATGTCATTTTCTCAGATCTTATGCGCTCCCAACCACTTCAATACTGTTCAAGCCCACAGGGAACTTGAAAAATGAGCTTATCTTCAAAAGTTCCCTTGGGTTGTCTCAGTAGGTGCTCATATAATAATCATAGACTGCATAATAAGCGCTATGCTTACAGTGCTTTCCTGCGGTTGGTACCGGACCTCATTTTTGGACTGCTTACATATACTGTTTTCAGTTTGCTCAAGTAAGACTGACGAACCTCAGAACCGAAGTGTACAGGGGAAACCTTTGTGTTTTTCTAATAAATTGACAACAACTCGACATCAACGATATTGACCCATTCAGCGTTCCACTAAACAAGAGAGCGACTTAAATCTTTTTCTCTTATTTTTTTTGCAGTGACAGTTGCTCAACAACCATTGAAACGCCCTGTATCGAGAGAAAAAGAGAGGTTCAATTTTTGAAAACAGAGAGGGCTCAATCTTTGAAACACATGTGAAAGTTCGACAAGACTAATTTGTCTAGATGATCCACAATATCAAAATTCGTTTAAACTTGGTACACAGGGCCTTCTAGCGCTCTAATTACTGGAACAATATTCATTCAGCGCGATAGGGCCTTTTTGGCATTTATGGTAGAAGCACGGTGATGGGTAAATACCCCAGAATGTGCATGGATCTTGCACTGGAAGCTTCGCTGTTTACGGTTACCTTGTTCACTCTTTAAGGTGATCCATTCATTCGACTCCAGCGCGACATTGACCCATTCTCTCCCCCCCCCCCCCACCTTACAAAAACTTTCAATAATTATCAGGTTGTCCCATAAGTTCCGTCCGTTTTGAATATCAATCGCAATAAATCATGAACTTCTAGTTTCTAGATAGGTTTCAAGGTACCTTTCTATAGAGCAGAGCAAGCTCTACAAGATGGCTATCTCGCTTCTGCATTAGCTCTGATCCATCTCGATTTTCAAGGCGAAAACTAAAAAGACTCAACTGCCCGAAAAATCGAGAAAAAATCATAACTCCATTTAAAAAAATCCTACAAAAATTCTAACTTGCTCGCGTAAACACTCTCCATCTAAGACATTTACATACGCTGTTGTCTTATTTTTTCCTTGGTTAGAAATTAACAAAACGAAGATTTTCATGTTTTTGCTAAAGCGATGATGTGCTGTTCCTACATAGATAGTTGTATACTAAAAGCCTGTGGAAATACAAATGTAACTTTTCAGCTCCCTGCAAGCTTTAATTCTCGAGAAATATCGAATACAGCTTGCCTTAGTTGGGTGTCTTAACCTAAAATCCATATTTCTCGAAAACTAGTGCCTGTAGAGAGCTGAAAATTTACATTTGTACTTCTACGGACTAGTAGTATACAACTATCTATTTAGAGACAGCACAGCATCGCTTCAGCAAAAACATGAAAATCTTCGTTTTCTTAATTTTTAACCAAGGAATAAATACGGCAACAGCGTATCTAAATGTCTTAGATGGATAGGGTTTACGCGAGTAAGCTAGAATTTTTGTAGGATTTTTTTAAGTGGAGTTATGATTTTTTCTCGCTTTTTCGCGCAGTTAAATCTCTTTACTCTTCGCCTTGAAACTCGAGATGTATCAGAGCTGGTGCAAAAGCGAGATAGCCTTCTTGTAGAGCTTGATTTGCTCTATCGAAAGGTACCTTGGAACCTATCTAGAAAATAGAAGTTCATGATTTATTGCGATTAAAAACAAAAACGGACGGAACTTATGGGACAACCTGATACTTTCTTCTCTAAACCCAATTTGATTTATGCATCTTGGCTGCGACTCCCCCCCCCCCCCCACCTCCATACTCTGTTCTCTTAACAGACCATTCTTTTTCCTTCACCCAAGAGCCACACCTCACAAGTGGCCTTGGTCATGGCTCATAAGAAGTACTAACGCACAAGATATGTACAGGTACATTGATTCGCAAAAATTGTGATCCTCGAAAAATCCACCTCTGGTCTATTACAATTTATATTTTGACGCTAGTCGTCTTGTTCACATTTTGTCCCATTGTAGCCAATTTTGACTTCAGTTCCTAATTAGAGTGAATTTACTTCAAAGGCTCATCCACAGTCGCACTTAAGCAAAGCGCAGGTTTTCGAGATTTCAATAGAAACATCGCAAATAAATTCAAAGGGTCGTGATGCTTTCTTTTCTTAAGGTCTAGCAAACACTACGCTGTCTGAAAACTATAGCAGGCACCAGGCACCAGCCCGAGATGGAAAAAATACTGCACTTGTGTGAAATCCATTCTCCAGACATTTGAACAAATGTTTGGTCTCCCACTTCAGGGCTCGGCACAGGTGGCTTATAAGCAAGCTGGATGTCGTTTTTGGGACGAAAAGGGGGATATCGTTTTCGTGGCCAAAAAACAACGGTTACGTTTTTTTTTCACTTAGACTTTCATTTTTTAGGGGTTTTTCTAAGTTTATGATTTAGAAGGTCAAAGGGGACTTCGCAAAATCTTGGGAAAGTCGAGGAGAACTTAGTTTTCTTGCATCTTCTGAAAGCTACGTTGTGTAGAGTCCTGTTCTACTTGCATAATTTGACCATACGAATTCTGTAGGTCGCTCGCGCAGGGCGCAAGGTATGTATCACGCGTCACTACTCTTTCCCCGTGCACTCTCGCTGCCTGTTTTCTCTGCGCTTCTTCCAATCATGAACTATCTTCAATGGACGCAACACCGTTGCTCATTGTGCTCAGCGCGGACAGCCTGTACCTCTGATGCACCTAGGAACAAAAAGCCTGCTCTTGTTACTTCCTGATCTCCCTGATGTTACTTTATTGGCTAAAAGGAGATCTGATTAGAGTCGAAAGTTTGCCAGAGATCAACTCACGCATCGTGAAAAATTTTCTGAAGCAAGTATGCTTCTAAGGCCAGAATACTTTGCGAGTAGTGGCGGACAGAGAGCGGATGGGGCGCGGCTGCCGCCATGCCCACTTTTTCTAAAATTTGAGGTAGGGGTCCGCAAAAAATTTGAATAATCCCAAAAAATATCTTTGAAGTGCGTGGTTATCGTCACGCTTCTTTAAAAAAATTTTGGCACCTTTCCTCCCCTTCCCCAAACGAAATCCTGAGAAAGCCACTGCTTGCTAGTGGTGGCCTACCTTATACAAATTTTTTTTTGTCTATCAGAAGAGGACGAAAGCCCTCATGTTCAGTCTTTGCAAAACTGAAATGACTTTTCTTTCACACTTCATGTGGGACATCCTGTGTAAATAGGGCGCTCTGGATATGATGGACGCAGAAGCACCTTGATCGATAATTCTGTAGTGCAGAAATCTTTGTGATTTCTTCACTGTTTCTACTCCTTAAGAATTCTCTCAAAACTTGTTTTTCAATGATACTGGTGCAAGTGATAAAATCTACTACTGTTTTCTCCGCATCGATTTTTCGAAAGTTTTTTCATCGTCACGGCCTCGCATTTGCACTTTGCACGTCGACGGTCAGTGTTGGTGCACGTGTTCTCGCCGACGTTCGCTTCTATTTTTACCAGCTCCGTTGCAAACGGTCCACCTCTTTACAGCTTTTGACTACGCACATTGCAGTATCACTTGCTTCCAACTCAGAAAACTGTGTATCCTATCTTTTATTGCTAAATTTCATTATAGGCAACGTCAGAAAAAGCATGAGTATAAATTGCTCACTAGATTTTGTTAAAGGTGTTTGCAAATGTTTCTTCCCGACCTTCTCTGAGGTTAACATTTTTAAAAATCTCATCTTGCAATCAGCTTACTCATTACAGTTCGTCTATCTAACTAAAGCATAAGCCACGAGAACTAGAAAAAAAAATTCCCACTGATTGAAAAACTTTCGCATTTCACATCAAATTAATGCAGTAAAACACAAGAAGATACGTAGAACACCAAAAAAACACTTCCAAAAGCGCAATGAAGTTGGGGTAGAGCTTACAAAAATCATATAGAAATGACTGAGATTCACCAGTTTTGAAAGGTACACAATGAAGAGCGCCGAAGACAGCAGCAATGTCTGAAGAAAAATCACATTGGGTCCTTCAGAATGGCTTTCGACGTTATCTCGAGCTGATCTGTTAAACACCTTCGGTCAATTTCGCATGAGCAGCCAAAAATTTTTTTTGACTGTAAACTCGCCTTTTTCACCACTTCCTGTAGAATGGCTGTAAAAAGCCATCAATTTAATATTTTGGGAAGAGTTACTTGAGTGCTTTCGAATGATTTGCAGCTACTAATTTCCTGCACTTTGTGGATATCATATTTTGGAGTCAGAGATTCTCGATTTTACTCATCAGATACACGCAAAATTCGGTGTAATTTCACCAAAAAGCGGGCGAAACTTTGTTTTGTAGTTTAAATGCAATCTCTACAGTAAACCTGGCTTCACTTGAAGAAACCGTGCTCTGCATTGGAATGAATCGATGCGTTACATTGCAGCACCTACGATGATTGTTCTTCGACAAGAAACACATTCTCCGTTGAAACACACACCTACTTCTTGTAACCGCCTCCTTCTGGAACACAGCAGATTTACTGAAACTTTTACATGGTCCTCTAGTTGTTTGTTTCTTGCAGTGTCTGATATCTACTCTCCTTACAATCGCAAATTGATCATGGAATGTTGGATTTGCATGACTGTGTGGGCAGCGGCCATGATAGTGTTCCTCAAGCTGTTCTTTGGCAGGAGAGGAAGCAAAGAGGTGAGCATTGAGCTGGGACAGGGCAATCGAGCAAAAGTATAATGAGATTGTTCCAAAAGCTTTGCATATGAACAAAATAAATATGAACCATTTTCTTCAAATGCAGCGTCCAGGCAAATCTGGACCTATGGGACTCTCACGTGGGAAGTAATCTTGAGGCCCCAAATAAGACTCTGCCCAAGCGGCAGTTCAGATAGTGCACTCATGGTTGAGATATTGGGCTCCAAACTATGTCCCGTGACCGTATTCGCATGGATTCATAGCAGTTTCGTGCGAGGATCCACGCTTTGCGCCATGAATCCATGCGAAATACGGTCACGGGGCATAGTTTGGAGCCCAGTTCCTAGCCGTGAGTGCACTATCTGAACTGCCGCTTGGGCAGAGTCTTATTTAGGGCCTCAAGATTACTTTCTACCTGAGAGCCGCATAGGTCCAGATTTGTCTGGACGCTGCCTTTAGAACCGAATATGAAAACAGTTATAGAGATAAAATTCTGTTTATGTAACGACTGAACTTCTCACTAATGGGGAAGAAAATTTGTATTTTGCTTGACACGCTTGGCCAAACATTTTGAGACTTAGTTGAATACATTTATGAGCTTCTATACTAATATAAGTACCTTAATCTCATGAGTACAAGACGCACCTTTTTTGATTTTCTAAGCAAGCCGCTCAGTCCCCCGCGTGTTTCGGAAAAAAACTTATGCTACACGATATTCATGCGCAATACGCAGCACTGTATAGGTTGCTTTGGTCGCGAAATTTCGTGGTGTTCAAGCTGGTCGAATTTAGAATAAAAATGGGTGCGTCCTGTACTCGTAAAATTAAGGCGATTTTACCGAATTCTTTGACTGAACCAGTAGCTCAGACAGCTGGCCGGAACTTCCGCAGCGCTTTCGCAGGGTTTCCGCAGGTGACCCGGCGGAAATCCTGCGAAAGCGCTGCGGAAACCCTGCATTCACAGGGTGCAGGGTTTCCGCAGCGCTTTCGCAGGATTTTCGCAGCACTTTGCGCTTTTAATTCGCGATCCGTTCCTTCCATATCAAACTTCCTTTTTGATACTAGATTTTCCTTTCCAATACTAGGTTTACGCTTTTTACTAAGGCATTATTCCTTTGATGTGGAAATTTCTCTAGACTTTCTAGATGCTAAGAGACGAGACAGCGAGATAGTTTTAATGAGAAAGCAAATAGCACAGTGCATTGTTTTATGCAGATACCATATAGAATCACAATAGGCCGAAGTTGGTAAGTGCAAATTAACAGATCAATGAAGTGTTCATAAATAAATATACATAAAATCAAAGAAGCATTTGAGTATATATGCATAACCGAATAAGGGAAAAAATCGGCAGATATTAAGAATTAAAAAACAATGTTATACTGATGGAAGAGTAAAGAATTATGGAAGAATAGAATAAAAACAAGAATAACAATCTCATTCACAGAAGATAATATGCGCTTCAAAGGGAAGATGGGCCTTTGGGGAAATAAACCGTTTCACTTATCGGGTGCCACTTTGACCTTGTCCGCGCAACTGAAGCCGGCTTCGGCCTCCCTTCCTTTCTGTAATGAGAATTATCTCTTGATGTAAATCATGCCTTGCCGCAAGTGTTCCATTTTGCAACTTCTTCGCCAAGAAATACGAAGCTTTGGACGATTCATTTGAAATTCTGTGAAATTTCGAAATCTCAACAAGAAAAGCTCTGAGACAGATTTGAAAATTACAAGAGTTTTCTGCAAAAATCATGGCTTTACTCGATTTGAATTTTTTTTGAAATTTTCAAAATTGGAGAGACAAAACTTTTGTTTTAATCTAATATTCCAGCGTTTTCCAAACAAAACAAGTATATGTCAGACTCTAAGGCAGGTATGCGTAAGTAAAAGTTGTTATAAATTATCGTTGAACTAGCTGGCTTACCCGGCTCCGCCGTATGTTCCGAATAGAAAATTCCATTTCTGAACCGATCCGGACCAAACTTGGCACACATACACTTCGGGCCCCGGCGTTTTTTTTCAAAAAAAAAATGTTTTTTTTTTTGATATAGTTAATGGGGTGTGGCACCCCTTAAAAGCTGCGGCGACCACAGCTTTTGAGGGGTTGTACCACACCTCATTAACTATATCAAAAAAACATTCTTAGGGAACATATATGAAGCGCGGCGCGAGAAAATTATTTAAGGGTGGGGAGGGAGGGATTGAAAATTTTGAGTTCATGTGCGTGTGGCCACTTCCAGCAAAAGAAAATTCAGGAATGGTTAAATTTTTGCGGTTACAATTTTTGTACTACCTCGATTTTTTTAGCACAGCTCCTTCGAAAACTGTCCACAACTATTAGGTGGGACCAAAAGTACATTCGCCAGTTTTTTAAAAAATCATACTTTCCTTGCGACTCGACTGATCTTTTTGATTTTATATTCATCTAAGAGAGAAAATCATTCTTTTTACAACGGTATCTCTGAAACGAATTGGCTTGAGAAAGTTCTCGAGTTAGAAGCAATTAAAGAAAATTCTCAAAATTGGTATTTTTCAAGCAGGGTCACCAACAAATTCTGGAAGTATTTTTCGATAGAAAAAATTATGTTTTTTACTATAGTGCCTTTTCCAAAACAAAAGAGATTGAGAATTAGAAGCAAATAAAGAGAATTACTTCAGTTTTCCAATTTTTGAGCATGCTCAAAAATGCCCAAAAACGTGACAGAAAAGACGGCATTTTTATGAACATGGTTTTTGTGACCTCCTTCTAGCTGAGACAAATTCGTGCCAATCGAAAGCAATTTTGATTTTCGTAGAAAATCAGATTCGAAAACTCGGTAATATTACGAAAATCAAAATCGCTCTCGATTGGCACGAATTTCTTTCATTTAAAAAGAGAAGGTCACTAAACTCATGTTCACATGACTTTCCCATCCCTCCCGACGCAAAACTGAAGCAATTCTCTTTACTTGCTTCTAATTCTCAATCTTTTTTGTTTTTGAAAAATGCACTGTAGTAAGGAGCATAGCTTTCTCTATCGAAAAAATATTAGGTTGAACAGAAAGTTCGTTCGCACCATTTTCCAAAAATCATAACTTCTTTTCGTCACGACGATTTGGCGCAATTTAAGCTTTACTAGAAAGCGTAAAGCATGTAGTTTCCAATAGTCCCCTGGCGACTTTCCAGCATGTTCAGATTGCAGAGATAAAAATGAAAGAACGAAATCATCCGAAATTCGGAATTTTTGAGAAACAATTCCAAAAATCTAGAAACTGCGTGATAAAATCCAGAAAAGCCATTATCCTAATTTTTCTTATATTTGACTATTAAATGAGTTAAATTTGAGCTGATCGAGCTTTTCTTTCAAAAGTTATGATTTTTTGAAATAAAATTCCGAAAAATCACTTTCCTAAGAATTCCTATGAAATTGATTTTTCGGCATTTTTCTTCAAAAAATCATAACTTTTGAAAGAAAAGCTCGATCAGCACAAACTTAACTCAGTCAATAATCAAATATAAGAAAAATTAGGATAATGGCTTTTTTAGATTTTATCGCGCAGTTTCTAGATTTTTGGAATTGTTTCTCAAAAATTCCGAATTTCGGATGATTTCGTTCTTTCAATTTTATCTCTGCAATCTGAACATGCTGGAAAGTCGCCAGGGGACTATTGGAAACCACATGCTTTACGCTTTCTAATAAAACTTGAAGTGTGCAAAATCGTCGTGACGGAAAGAAGTTATGATTTTTTGAAAATGGAACGAACTTTCGGTTCAACCTAATACTTCCAGAATTTTTTAGTGACCCTGCTTGAAAAATGCCAATTTTGAGTAATTTTCCTTAATTGCTTCCAACTCGTGAACTTTCTCAAGCCAATTCATTTCAGAGATACCGTTGTAAAAAGAATGATTTTTTCTCTTAGAAGAATATAAAATCAAAGAGATCCGTCAAGTCGAAAGGAAAGTATGATTTTTTGAAAAACTGGCGAACGTACTTTTGGTCTCACCTAATACTTTAAATCTGAAAATTTTTGAAAAATTTTCAGTATTCACCAAGAGCTTACAGATCATTTTGAAAACTTCGGTGACCCATTATTCTCCTCCTCCCCCTTCGTTTTGATATATTTCTTCCCAATCACCTCTGCTTTTTTTAGATCCAGTGCATATTTTCTGCAAAGTGATAGTTTTAAATTACTTGCGTTATTATTTCAATCGCACATAAAGCAAAGAAGTTCGACATACCTGAACAAGGGCGTTGTGCTTAGACGAAGTCCCTCCGTTGAGTCCTTTTCCAGCACTCTAGCAGCTTGGTGATGGTTGTACACATACCTGCACCGATGGCTGAAAATATACTTAGAATATGGATGAGTATAGGTTTATAGACGCCAACATTGAAGAAAGGAAGAAAAAAGAGAAAGAAAAGAGGAGGAACAGAAGCGAAACAGTATGGAAGAAAAGAGTGCGCTATGCGCTGTTGATGTTGCGTTTGCTATTTCGCAATCGCAAGTGCATGCGCTCTCAAAGTCCTGCGGAAATGCTGGCGGGTCAAAGCGCTGCGGAAACCTTACGAGCCTCACTGCACTTTCGCAGCGCTTTATGGAAAGTGCTGCGGAAGTTCCGGTTTACGATCGCTGTGACGTCAATTTCTTGCGGAAACCTCGCATTCTGGAGCGTGCACTTTCTCAATGGTTAAGAAAGTGCTGCGGAAACGCTGCAAGTTTTGCTTGTCCTGCGGAAGTTCCGGTGAATTGTCTGAGAGTTCATCCACATTTCTTTTTTTAACTTTTCCTTTTCCAAGATTGGGAAATCTGAGGTGTAGTTTGTTTGATTTTGATTGTTCTGCTACCTTGATTGGGACAGAATTGTATGAGTTTTCCAACCGACAGTAGAAAAGAAGTCTATCAAGTATTGGAGCTCCTCCTTGGAATAAACAGTTGCTAAGGACGATGCTGGTCTTTACGTCCAAAATGAGGTTTAGTACTTGGACTTTTTCTCTACTGTCAGTAGACGGATGCTGAATTAATAGTCCCGCGCAAACTGACCGCGATGCTTGTTTTCATATGCAGAAAGATCGAGACGCCAGCATCAAGATGATAAAAGAGAAGTCTAAAAATGGGTACCTATCAATCCTCAACGTGCAAATGACCAAAATTTATCGAGCATTTCACGTCTCGATCTCGTCTTGTAAGAATATTGTCCAATTTTCAGATAATCAAGAAGGATTGGCAAAAGGACACTGTGTACCTGTACCAGTTTCCACGTCTTCCGACAATTCCCAACATCTCTCCTTTCTGTTTGAAAGTTGAGACCTTCCTCAAGGCTAATAATATAAACTACGAGGCGAGTTACGTTAACGCAACTTTTGATAGTTATGGAAAGCGGTATTCGCATCTATAACAACGGCAAAGTCTTGTAAACTTTGTACTGGTTGGAAGCAAATTTCTTAATTACTCTGTCTTTTATATCGATTTTATCAAGGTAGTTGCAACAAAGCTGAGTAAGCACTTCTATTGAAGACAGTATTTGGGCAAATATGAGTGCCTGACCTTCATCTGCGATACTTATTGAGAGGCTTTAGCTGAGCTAATGTCCAAGGCTCGCCAATCCATGAAATTCATTCGTGACAAGAAAATGCGGCTCATAGCTCTTGCTGAGTACGACTTAGGGCGCTGATTGGTTTTCTGGGAAAGTTTGCTGCACTCAAGAGTGCAGAAGCAAAGTTCTCTACCACGAATGAAATATCTGAGCTGCCTCTCAAAGCAATTGAGGCCCTTAAACGCCTTTCAATAACCTTGCACACAAAAGACCGAGATTTTCTTGTATACTGCCTCTAAACAACGACCAAGAACTTAATTACAACTTTACAATCTCTAACTTCTCTCAATAGAGCTCTTCTTTCATTAGAACTGTATGTGTTTGCGATGTCTACTTCTCGCAGTGCTGGTAGTTCCTCTGCTCCACGGTTCGCGATTTCGCAAAATGACGAATGGTTTTGGCAGTACTGTGCCAGTCATTACGAAAACATGACTGGCGGACAAAGGTGTACGTATGCTTTTTACATGTAGAGTTTGACTGAGCAGCCACACCCAATCTAACATTACAGCACAAGGCGTGCAGAAAGCGAAGTTTTGCGGGAAACAACGAGCCTCTTAGCGTCAGCTAGAGCTCACTATGCACGTACTTGAGAAGAAAAAAGGGAATTACCCCGTCTTGCGACGTTCTTTTTTGTTTGATCACTACCAGGTGACCCTATGCGCAGTTTGCCTCGATGAGTAAAACCGAAAAGCCGAATGAGCTTCAGTATTTAGCACTACACGGCAACCATAGCCCCTTCCGGACCATGTGCTTTGCCTAAAGGGTACCTTGCTGTGCACATCCAATTTCATCGCACGACGAACTTTAGTTTGGGTAAGCTTTCATTCATGCCAGCCAACCGAATATATCGATAAATGGGCCAGTTGCCACCAAAAGTAGCTTATGACATTCGCTTCTACATGGGCAATGGAAGCAATATTGGTCCGCTTACAAATCTCATAACGAACAGATATTTTCATTTGAGTTCTACATAGGTTGAACAAACTTCTGCCACATGCTACCACGGCAAGATAATGGAAAAAAGGCCCCCCCCCCAACGAGAATGGGTCGCGAAATTTTTTGAAACTTACCTACATGGTTTATAAAAATGTGCAAATGACTTGTTTACTTTTGAAAATGATTAAAAAAATTTTAAAGTTTTTTAAAAATTCAAATTAGCCTTGAAAAATTTTTTCCGGGGGTGTGGCTGCCTTCACGCTTCCTTTTTCTCAATTTTGGGGGGTATGGGGCCGCAAAAAATTTGAGAAGCACCCCAAAATTTTTTTCGGAGTGCGTGGTTAACGCCACGCACCTTCATTCAAAAAAATTTTTCGGCGCCCCCCCCCGGACCGAAATCCTGGGACCGCCACTGGGGGTAAAGTACTATGGATAGCAAAAAGCAAGCCTTACAAGAAGTTCATTAAGTATTTCCATGACTAGTGGTTTGATAGTGATGATCCTAACCTTATCAAAATTTAAACTTGTCATTACTATTTACGCACACACTTTGACCACCGGACCAAATGGTGCCAACTTCGGTCTTGAATAAAATTGTTGGTCAGCTACTAAACAAAGCTCCTCATCTGACCTCTACACTTACGTTCAAAATAACGACGGTTGATAATGCTTACTTGGGTGAGTACATCCGAACTTTCGGGCTCTGAGGACGACAACTCATGCTTCTGGTCAAAAAGTGTCTTTCTTGGACGATTTTAGAGGAGTACATACCATACTCAGTTTACAGGTACGCGATGGTACGGAGACTTGCAACAGTATCTGCGGTTTGCTACAAGAGTAGACATCCTAGTTAGCAGTCCCACTATATTTTACGCGGCTAATTTGGAAACGACTGACTTTCCTACCACCGTTTCAACCAAACTGTCCAACGGCGCTGCGAATGTAAAACGGTCTCGTGAAAAATTTAACATCCTTTGCCCTTTCTAACATCCCAGATCAAAAGAACCGTAGCATTCATAACATGCTCAACACAGCTACGAAGGTATGCGCAGAGAATGAAGAACGAGGGGGATGGACTTGCAAAGTGAATATTGCTCCGATTGGCTGCATAACATAAAGGGGCGTGGCAGACCATTCATAATTGACAGGAACAATCAGCACTAGCGTAAGGTACCTCTCTGCTTGTCTTTTGTTTTTGGGGCTAGTGCTGCAGTGCTACGATGAATCGCGAGGAGTCAAAAGGCAATGCCATTGCAGAGAATGGCCCGTAGTAAGCCCCTGTCAGGGCCTTTTTCCTGAAGCGGATCTGAGTCGATCTCTTGACGCCAAAGTCCAGCATCCAGCGAGCCATCGATCTGGATGCTGATCGTTACGTAGACATGTTTGATTTCAACGCAGGAACATCTTGTCTGTCTGCGCAGGGTTGTTCGAATGGATAGCAGTTCTGCATATGAACGACGCGACCGCGAATAGGCAACGTAAACGTTTTTGCTAAAAGCCAATACATCTTTGGCAGCGGCCTCATCAGAAATCGACTCGCCTAAAGATTGGACAAACAAAGCAAATTCATGATAATTCAGCATGAATCTCCATTGAGAATAAGGAATTATTCAATCAAAATTTATTCATTTACCGCTTTCCATTTCTGATCGGACCATCTGTCATGACTTAATCGGGGATGATCTCTCTGCTAGACTTGACATGAGCTCACTTGCCAGATGACATCGCATACTTACAGCATGGACAAGTGGGCGTTATTCCCCCAAAATTTTAGGGGCAGAATTGGAATGCGGTAAATGAATAAATTCTTTTTTAGGAGATTTCAAAAAACAAATCTGAGTAAACTCTGCAAAAAGAAAGAACCCGTTTTTCTTCTTTTGTGGCTGCAATCAGCTGTTCATCATACTCTAGTCGCAGGTCCCTGAAATGTGTAATTGGGCGCTTAATCTGTGTGCAATATAGGGTGCCACGACTGTATTGTAAGTTAGTCAGGAGCAACTTACGAATTTTTTTGAGTCTCCTCTTTAGCACACTATTTCGGGAGATCATCGCTCGGACCATCTGTCATGACTTGATCGGGGATGATCTCCCTGCTGGACTTGACCTGAGGCTCATTTGCCAGGTGACATCGCATACTTAGAGTATGGACAAGTGGGCATTATCTCACCGATGAAACCTCACATGAGGGCCTTTGGGAAGATGCCTTCTAACAGAGCTTTACTGTGGCCCAATATCCCAGGTAATAACATTGGGAAGTGGCTAGTACACAACATGCTTTACAACAATTACGGCATGTTTACAGATAGCGTAGTTTGTCTTATGGTAAAGTTGGTGACCGTGGTAAGACTGATATAATATATGAGATCGAATATATAGAGTGCAGCCACTTATAGCGGAGAGTCTGGGAGGAAAGAAAATCTGGTTAGCAAGAAACGATAAAGCCTCACCACCCTTCCTGGCAGACATAAAGTTGAATGTCATTGTGGTAAGGCCACAGTCAGAAGTCTGATATGCCTACAAAATGACGCGGCTATAAGAAGGGCTTAAACATTAATTTCTCGAGAAAGACGTTTATGGACAGCCGAAATGAATGCTTGTCAATCACAAATGACTTGTCTTTTGTACCTTAAGCGAGCTATCGATCAATGGTACATATATGTGGGATACATTGCACTCCCGTAATATTAGTGGCGCTGAAGGTCGCACTTACTTCAAAACACTTACTTCACTTAACGCTTAAGAGGAGGTGGGCACGTGCACTTTGCTTGATTTTGTTTGCAGCATCTTGGGTGTATCGAGAAAGATTAGAGGAAATTTTGTTCGGGAAACATAAATTCTTAAACCTCTTGCCACTCTAGTTCTTTGCACAAAACGATTGATTGAGACATTGGACCACAATTTCCACACAGGGTGTCCAGAAACATAATTTTTGATAGTTAATAACTGTCTTCCCACAAAGCCTTTGCTTAGCCTTCAAGTTGCTTTTAGTAAAGCAAGCCTCAACTTAGATTTACGAGCAACCTCTCGAAGCGTGATTTTCATACTCATAGTAAGCGATCAGGTTTAGCCTAATGATAATTAGCTTATCGAGCCATTTTTGGGCAAAATATAGCCATTGATGGCACAAAATCCTCTGAAAGTTTCTACCGCAGTAATAAAGAGCGATGGATGGCTCGCTCTATATCGTAACTAGTTGGCTTTCCCGGTCCAGCCCGAGCCATTTGTCATCTGCACCGCGACCCCCCCCCCCCCTTTCATACGTTACGGATGACTTACCCTGGGACATTCTCTTTGAAACCGCATTCTCGTGATCTTGAGGTGAAAATGAGCTTCACAGCCCTCCTTTGCATGACTATGGGAAAATGCTTGACTAAACATGATAAGCCTTCAATTTATTAGACAAACGTAAACAATTCAACAAATCGATAGAGGGGCCAATGAATCGCAGCAAAAGGTAGCCTATCATCTGCGCAGGGATCGAATTCAACTGAATCGGTGGAGCGGCGCGCATTTCTATAACGCACATAGCCTCCAAACTGACAATCTTAGAGGCAGTGACTCGGCAAAACCAAAAATCTTGAAATTTTGATATGGAAAGTTGCTTGCATCCCAAACATCCGAACAGAGCAGATCCGAGCGCACTACATGCTGCCTCTGCCTAGAAAACTGCCTCTAAACCCGTGCGCGCAAGCCAATCTTACACGCGTTCGGACGAGCTTGCGGGCCCCCTTCCACCGTCAGAGGCGGCATGCCGCAGTGCTATACAAATCAGGGTTCCGCAACGACTCTACGTCTCTAACCATGGCGGAGAGTGATACACTCGTCTAAATTCCATATAAGAAACCGTAGGAAAATGCTGGTTTTCGACATTTTTGTGCTCTTCAATGTGAATTTTCGAAATCAGCGCGTCGAATCGCCCTAGGTAAGCGAAAAAAATTCAGGTCGAGGATTTCCCGAGCCACTGCTTTTAAGTTTTATATATATTTCAAACTATATATAAAACTGAACTGTACCTTTGTTTGTTGGGATGTTTGTGCCTTATAGACTCCTTTGTATGTGAACCGAAGAGGCTGAAATTTGTTCCCCTATAAGTGAGACACGGGGCAAAATATAGGCTCCTTCTCGCGACTTTTTGCTGGCTCCTTCTATCGATTTATTGATGTGTTTACTAACATCTAGGAAAATGAAAGTATATCATTCATTTTTCCAAGGTAAGTAGTAAGGGCGGTAGAGATCGTTTACATTTTGAGATGAGGAGGATGCGGTGTCACGAAACGAGGCTGTGCCTACTGTTTGATTATCTGAACAGCTTTGTTAGGATGTTTTGGTTAGGTTTCCATGTGAAGAATTTTGGCCTGAAAAAAGTTATTAGAAATTATTTTTTGAAAAAAAAAATGAAATTCACTAGGTTTTGAAGTAACCACTACCTTGTCCTCGATGAGTTCTATGATATAGTATGCTTATCTGTCAGGACATCTTCTGTTTTGCTCCTAACAAAGATCTGAAGGAAAATTTTCGTGTTTGAAGAATTATTGTAAGAATTATTTCTGCGACGTTGTGACGCGGCCATTGCCAGATTTTTTAGAAAAAGATTTTTAAAATTTTTATAATACATGTTTTCCAGAGAGCGCAATGTGTGGATTGTAGTTCTTGAAGAGCTCTATCATCTCTCGCAACCCAATGCTTTTTTCACTTTTGCTTTCCATACGAAAATGAGCGATGGAAAAAGGAAAGCGGCTTTTCACACTAATTTCTCCGTGTAGACCGATCAAGATAAAACTTATCGTATTTTTCGACCCCGAAGAAAATGGCAAATGCTTTTTGCGGCGATTTGCTTGGACCATTTGTTTAATCGATATGTTTACTTACATCACGAAAATGAAGATTATAATATTCTAACCATGCATTTTTCCATAGTCATGTAAGCAGGGATGAAGCTCATTTCACTCTCAAGGTCAACATGATGGCAATCTGAAGCAAAACAATACGGAGGGTGAAGCATCTGTCATGTTTCGCCTAAAATTACTCAAAAGCTCTTGTGAGCGCTTTGAGCAAAGTGACAATTGCCTGAGTACTTGCCATTGGAATGAGTAGTGAGTGGTGAATGGAAAATGGTAGAACAATGGACACGAAGCGAAGCTTGGAGAATTGGGCGAAAACAAGAGCGAACAATGGAGTGATGAATCTGTTTTGTATGGTGATCCGGTATGAGGCTGGCTTCTTACTGATCCGTAAGTTTGGGAACAGTTTCAGCACAGCGCACAATTCGAGCACTGTGCTGGAACTGTGTCCGGAACTTACGCATCAGTATGAACCCAGCCTCAGACCTCGCAGCCAAAGCACTACAGCACATAATCCGGAGTCTGGAAGGGGCTGGGGTTGTCGGCTTACTAATAAAATTTGCTAGCCTCCTTTGATCCTCTAACTAGATATTCCGGATAGCGTTGCCATAAGATCAAGAGAATATGTTTGGGTGCACAAAGACAACAAAAGTATCTGAAAAAACCATGCGCTTGCCTCACCATTCGTTCTTTGTTTGAAACAATGAAGCATTTTCAGGTATGCCCTGTCCTTGCTCGCAGATCTCAATATGGCTACGTGCCTTTTGTCGAATTGAATGGAGAGCACATTGCTGATTCGCAAGTCATCATCCATCAGCTTAGCAAGCATTTTGATGTTAAGGTTCGTTCAACATCATTCTTCTGGCAGTAATGGTGAAAATATTCTTCATGCTACGAGTATTTGCCTTATCACTCAAATTATGATCTGTCTGGTTAGGGAAAGCGCAGCTCTTTGCTTTTTTAATTTTTGGTTTCCTCATTCCATGAGAGCACTATCTGACACTTGTGTGTCTCCTTCGATGATCTTATTTGTCACAAGTTGACGTCAGTTCAGATCTTTCTACGAAAACTTTGTAAAAATTACTCAACCTTGGAAGACAACTTCACAATTTTTATAGCTGAGCGGAAGTCGTTCAAAAAAATATAGGGTAGTATAGCACCGCCAAAGACATTCAGCGCGTATTATTTGGAGCACTGAGAATAAAGGAATGTGTACAAGGCGTCCTGAAACTCTTCCAGCCTATCTTAGCAGCGTAATAGATTGGCTAGTATTGTCGCTTTTCATCAAATGTTGTACTTGAGCTCGTTCTTCAATGCCAACAGTCCCACAAAACGTTGTAATGTTCAATTAGTGCATACTTCTGCTCTTCGGTCGAGTCTGCCGTTTTTGTGAAGGCCAATGGGGGATTTTTTGTTTCTGAGTTTATATGGTTGCTTTGGGCCGAAAAGTGTACCAAATTTCGTCTGTTCATGTTTTTCGCTCAAGATTTAGCCGAGAAAATACAGCCTCTAAGATTTCTGGGCACCCTGGCCAATAGTAATCTACCCTACCCTGGTGGCATCATAGATGCCGGCAAGTTGGCACACATCGCGGAAAGATGCCAACTCCGCCGGCAGCTCGCGGAGTGATTGTAGGTTTCAATAATCCTATGTAACCTTGGCACGCAGTCATTTCGCACATTAAGTTTTGATGACGCAGACAGCCGCAAAATGCTACCTTGCGCGCGGTCGAACCTATGTGCGTTAGCTTGAAGTGCCACCACGTTAACCATTCGACCATTCGGTCAGCCATTGCCTTTTGCACCAGCAATCGGAGGAACGCACTGGTGAATGGCTGCCTATAAAGGGGATCGATACATTGCGTGAGAGACTTTGACCTGAAAGAACAGCTGATTGATATGAGCGAGAGAGGAGCGAAATCGGTGCAAACTGAGATTTATAAGGGATTGCCAAAACAGTTCGTGTTCTATATGATTCTAAGGCATTAGTGGATTTTTTCTCTGTAAGAAAATCGTTATTTTAAAAAAGAAAAACCCATATAATGAGAAAAATGATAGTTTTTTCATGAAAAGTAGAATTTTTGATTTTTTCGCCTGACGTAAATTGTGTGATATCGCCGCAATTCGCAAACTCGCAGACGCCGTCGGCAAAGGTGCCACCACCTCGACGTGGTAGGGGCACGTCGAGATGCCGGCAGCTCGCTCTCTCAAAAGAGCACGCTATTTCCCGTGCTCTCTGACCTGCCGGCAGCTGCCATCTCGCGGATTCCGGCAACCTGCCGGCAGGTTGCCGGCAACTGACATCGCGAAGTTGCCGGCAGCTCCTCCTGGAATCCCAGATATTTTACTAAAGGAGGAGTTCTGGAGCCGCAGATTTTTATGAAATTTTCTACAGAGTCGAGGCGGCAACTTTATCGAGAAAATTTTTTGAAAAAAGGCCTGGGACGGCCTAAATTTCGGTTCTTTGTTTCTGGCCATCACCTTGACATCCTCTATGCGCTTGATTTCCTCTGTCACCTAGAAGATGAAGGTAAATCTTGCATCCGAAGGATCTCTCTTTGCTTCAATGAGTCATTCATTAGCTATAGGTGCTTGTAAGAACGGTTGCTAAAGTTTACCCTTAACATACAGAGTCTAACCAACATTCTTTCAGCGACATCCGGTACTACCACAAGACGAAGCCATTGCAAGAGCAGTCGACCGTATGGTTGATACACATACTTTTTTGTATGTTCATCCATTCATGCTTCTAAAATCAGAATTTTACACCTTTCAGCGTTCTTCGCCATTTTGTAGTGGTCGAAAATGCTGTCGAATTCTGTTCGCTGATATTACGTAACATGAACTTCCCTGCGTCCTTAATATCCATCGCTGCTTCGGTCTTGTCATTTTGCATGAAAAGAAAAGTGTGTACTTTTTTATGGGATATCATACTGAACATGTCTTCATGTAGGTCATAAATCGCATAGCTGCTGGTGTTGGTCTGATGTCTACGGATGATTACAAAGAAATACTGAAAAAGGACTACGATGCATTGAAAACACTGCTTGGAGAACAGAAATTCTTGTTTGGGGACTCAATTTCTACGGTAACAACACCTCATTCTTTTGTTGTTGTTTTTTTTTGATATTTTATAAATAGAGATTTAGGTGGATTGTACTGTATTTGGACATTTGGCGACAATCTTCTATATCCCGACTGCTAGCTATGCTAAAGACCTTCTGAAGGAAGAGTATCCGTCCCTTGTTGCATATCTCGAAAGAGTCAAAGAAACCGTTTATGGAAAAGACTTTGCCTCGGAGTAAGCAGGTGCAAGAGTGCGTTCAGTGCGAGATCAATCTGCGGATGAAAAATTTGCAGATTTGCTCGAAACAACAAGCATATTATGTTGAGTTGTATCGCTTTTGTTTGCCATTGTAGTGCCTTGTTATGAAGTCTTATCGAGCGGTTGCAATAAAAGTTGCTTTTCTTTATTTAAAGAATATATTTAATCGATAATAGTAGTTAAAGACAAGGCTCGGCACGAGCTGGCACCAAGGAAATTTCAAAACGAAGTCCCGTTTGATATTGAAAATTTTGTACGAAGTCCCTTCTGACCTGTTTTGAAAACCCGTCATCATTTCTATATTATGTAAAAAAATGTAGTAGTGTTTTCATGCATTCCTGATTTCATGAAAGAACTTTTCACAGCTTTCTAAGCTTTCTAAATGGTTGAATCACATCTTGAGAAGCAGAAAAAGCCGATTTTTCGACGGCGGAGCGGACCGAGTGGTTTTCAAATTGCTATAAAACGCTGAAAAGAGAACATTATGAAACTGTTTCTTCTCCGTATGTAATCTTTTACAGTGTAGATACATTTTATGTAAAAAAGTATGAAAACTTATGTGAGCAAAGTGTCGGTGCCAGCTCAGCTGGCACCCAGCTGACACGGTGCCAGCTAATTCAGAAAAAAGTTGGGCACAGCTTTCATTCACATAAGTTTTCATAATTTTTGGCCCGTAGTTCCGCTCCACCAACGCGCATGCACACACCAAATTTGGTGTCATACTATTGCGTTTTGGCTGAAAAGAACGCCTTTGTTTGTTGATGGACAGCTTGCCAGTGGCATGCCGGTGGCATGCCGGCGGCATTTTTGCGGCAGTTCTCCGCCTCGGCCCCTGTAGAAACGATATCCCCTTTGCTTTCCGCGCTAAAAACGATATCCAGCTTGACCCGGTGCCAGCCGTGCTGAGCCCTGGTTAAAGATGACCCACCTCTAGTTATTGTACTCATTTCAAACTTTCAAGAAAAATATTGCAGAACTTGCCGATTTTCATGTTCTGCAGCTTTCAAAATATCAGCAGGTCGAATAACTTTTAGCTAAGAAATCAATTAGTTAGGATTTGCAAACCAAAATCTTCCTCGACCTCAAAGCAAACTAGATTCCTGCCAATGCGGCCTTTGACATAGTCTGTCTTCCATTCAATAAAGGAAGATATATTGTGAGAAGCATTCTCCAATAGCAACCAATGAAAAACGAAAAGGATTCAGTGTCGTGGTGAACGGCATCCAATACTCTTCAGTAAAGTCTCTAAGATTGCTGCTAATGCTTTCTTTCATAGTTTAGGGATAACTCGACAGAGGATTCCTACATGCAAGTTTATCTACAAAGTTAGGGATAGTCTTGCATAGCTACAACGCTTCTTTCGTTTTTTAAGTACATTTCATCTTTCATGTCATCGTCATACCGCACATTGTGAAAAATAACCGCGAACTTCATTAGTCTTCAAAATACCCGAAGTCTCACCTTTCTCACTCAGAGAGGACGAGTTCTTATACAGTTCGCAGGAAATCTCCGCGGCTTTGGAGAAAATTTCCGGGGTAACACTCGGGAAGTTCGTCTGAAGACCTCAAGAAGTGCGGAGCTTCCGGGAACTACATTTGCAGCAACTCTCGAGCACCTTATATGGACCTTGTTGGTGTATAATACAAAGCCCTTACAATTTCCGTTTTTTTCTCTGAAGCCTTAGCCTCATTCAGTTGCTACGTGAATCAAATTATTTTTATTACTTCATGAGCGCAGAAGCTCCCACCCAATACTAATAACGTTCGATGAATACTATCCAGACATTCTTTTTGCATATTAGCGCTTTTACATACTGTTTATCAGTACGACACGGCATCCTTCCATCCCCCTCCCCCCCCCCCCCCAAGTCAGGGACGAACTATGACCACCATTGGTATGTTGTTTTGACTGAATTCGGTAAAACTTCGGTGTTTCCTTCTGCTTCAGTAATGTCTATCATAACACCAGGCTAAGTGTAGCGTTTCGATTGACTATTCCGTCTCATTCTTTATCGTCATCTTCAGCACAAAACTGATTGGAACGAAATGCCAGCTTCAAAATTCGCGCACGTATTCCAGGCACTTTTAAATATCAAAAGAGACCTCGTTAGTTCAATGTTGCCTCTGGATTCACAATTCGTCCTCCTTAGAGCTGACATGCGGCGATGCGATGCAATTCTCGGCGAAATCCAATGGTCGCCGATGAATTTTTTCCAAGGCGGTATCCATCCAAAACTTCGCTTTCCATGTTTTACTCATTTTGAGGCCTTCCCGTGGCCCACAGATATAAAGTACGAAATGTGCAAAACTCCCAAGATTCTGTGAGCTCTATAAAGGCACAGAGGACTTTCGGTACTTGGGTTGGGCGTTGATAGGGTGGGCGGGACTTGGTAGCACTTTCGTGGGCTCCGAATACATTTTTATTCATTCGGAGACAACATTGTAAGACTATACCAGTGTGAATGCCCCTCCTCTGAGGCCTGCATTCCGGCTAGGTGCAATCGGAAGAGCTCAGATTTTGCGTGGGAGCGGTATGCGTATTTCCAACACTTCAATTCGAAAGCTTCGAATTTGAATTTCAACCAAATTACATAAACCTAACCATGTTACGTTAGAAAATCCTAGATGTCTTGCCTTTCTGAAGATTTATTGTACTTACTGATATGGTTCCTCCCAGTTTCTGAAGAGATGATTTGAGATGTTATAGGGGTAAGTGGTGGCGAGTCAGAAATACAAAGTTTATTTGATTTCATCCCGATCAAACGGTGATGTTCATTGCTTCTTCAGTTCTCAATCAACCTGATGCAAAGTAAATTCACAGATCTTGAGTTCAAACTACCACAACGCATAGGTCGGTCCATACCTTCGGTAGTCGACCGGGCGTCAGAAGTGGAGATAGTTCAAACATCTGCCCTCATAAAACCTGAAGGTTGTTTATAGAAGTTCACAAAAGAAAAAAACGCAAAACAGATATAGGAAGCAAAAAAAAAACTGCTGAACCGGATAAAAACGCTGCAATGAGGTCTGAAATCTTTCATTTGGCGGCGTTTTGAAGCGCAGGTTTTCGCTCCAGGACCAAGCAATCCACAACACGGGGGAAAACGAGTAAAAGCTAAATTTTTCTGTGACTGTTTCAAAAAAAAACCATGTAACAACTAGTGGTTATCAAGAAGAAGATAAACAAGACTTCGTGGCAGGGCGGGTGTCATAGGCTACCTTTCGGTATCGATCGATATCGATTTTATCGATTTTTTGCAAAATTTGAGCTACGGGGCTGGGAGTTGGCACAGGGGGGTAATCGAGCATGCTTATTACAAACATGTTATTGACAGGGCCGGGCGGAGCCGGGTTTGCCAACTAGTTGGTTATAAAACGCAAAGTTTCTCTTTTACTAATTCGAAATGCACGTCAAAGCCAAGTTTAGTTTTTGATGGAGTCCTTCAAATTTTTACCCCGCATTAACGTCCCTGTTTCCTGGGACGGTGTCTGGATTGTTGCGCTTATTGTTCTGAGCAACAATCTCCCAAACTGGGAAAAAAATTTGCTGCGAAAACACTGAAACAGAACAAGGTAAAGAAAAACGCACTTTTTACAATTTTTCAGAAAAAATTCCGCCATGATCGAAGAGATAAGCACTGGGTCGTTGTTTGCATTATGAACAAAAGCAAGATCCAAAGAAGGCACGAAAAAACCGCATGATGACAAGGAGTACTGGAATCACGAGTATGCCATCATTAGGTTGATAACGCTTTAGTAAGTATATTCTAACATGAGAAATTTTCATACAGTTTTTTTTACAGGAAGAAATAGAAGATAGTACTCGTATAGTACTAGATAAAATTTTGATCTCTGATATCTGCACTATTGTATGTACTCAATATTTATGCGTCTCATGCGTTTATGAAGATCGACGTGTTTTCGTATTGTTTATTTTATCGTATGCTTCCGTATCGCAACCAAACTTACTTTTGATCTTCAGTGGTACTCTTGTGCTTGGCTATTATGTCCATCGACATTTTATTCACAGAAGGGCTGCCAAGCAATTGTGCTTGTCCAGTCTGTGATCAGGTATGTGCATTGTTACAAGTTCCTAGTCAGATTAGGTTTACATGTGCATCAGTGGCGGACCGAGGAGGGAGAGGCGGGGGGGGGGGGCCATCCCCCCCCCCCCGAGATTGGGTCGTTTCTGAAAGTTACCTACATGGGCTATAAAAATGTGCAAATGGCTTGTTTATTTTTATAAAAAATTAGAGTAACTTTAAAAAATTTTGGAAATTTTAAATTAGCCTTCTAAAAATTTTTTGCCGCCCCTCCCCCGTGGACCGAAATCCTAGGACCGCCACTGATGTGCATCTATCTCTGCTGACTGAGAAAGATTTTAGGCTCTCCGCGCTCCTATAATCACAGCATGTGGCCATAATTTCTGCAAATGTTGCATTACCACCAAAAATGGGTAGGCAGTCACAGTAAACATTGTCCTGAAAGTTATGGGGAAGTTTAGACCTGTACCTTGCCCAGTCTGCCAGACCGAGATTGCTGTCGACTCACTCAAGGCTGACAAAAGCAAGCATCGCCAGGTGAGTGAAGTCTGAGCAGTTTCTTTTGGATAAAAACAAAACTTCAGGTGCAAGCTCTCATTGTCCAATGCCCATATTTTTATTATGGATGCGAATGGACAGGACCGCTCAAGGACTTGAAGGCGAGTGGGTTTGTATAAATGTGAGATTTGACATACTCTAGAGTACTGTGTTGAGAGATAAGAGGCTCTCACCCTGAGTGAGAGGGTCAGACTGAAGAATTCCTTAACGGCTTATTCACAGTAAAAATCGAAGAGATCTTTGAACTCAGAATATCCGCACTTGGTTTTGAGGCTTGAAGCCACTTCCTTTTGCTCCAAAATTCAAAGTTAGAAGATAGCCAAAGTTGGGAACATCCCAAAAAAGGTTGGCAGAGGGGGCCTTTTCACTCAGAATTTCTGTTCTTGACTTTCTGCCCTTTATAATTCAAGTTCGATAATGTTATGAGCACAGAAATTTTTCTGTATAAGTAACGACATCACTGCAAAGACACTGTTGTAAGCGTTATCCGAAATTGACTAACATCAATATCAAAAAATATTTCATAGATTTTGAATTTCAGAAACACGCACAATGTTGCGACTTTCACGGTGTACCATGCACTAATGGTTGCGGCAAAATAGTACCAGAAAGCCAAATGACACAACATTTGGCAAATTGTCAAACGCGAGGAAAATGCCAGTATTGCAATGCGACGGTGAAAAACTCCAGCATGGAAAAGCATTTGAAAGTGAGTGCTTCTTTTCAAGCGAGGAAAAAGTGGATTTCACAAATGGAGAAGTTTCTCAAATTCGCACGATATAGGATCCTTTTGTTGCAAAATCCTCTAGCGAGTTCGGGCTGATCAAATCACAAGAAAAACTGGGTGCGCCTTGTACTTGTGAGATTATGTTGCAGCAATAACTTTTTATATAGACCGCTTTCAAAATTTTTTGAATATTCAAAGAGTACTACACTTCATCAAGCAGCAACCAGTGATCCAATCGCAATTAAGGCAGCACATATTATTTTCCGACCAGCTAAATAATGAATCAAATTGTCAACGATTTCAATTAATTATTGATAACCGTATAAAATTTTTGACTCTCGATCGGTAACTAGGCCAAATGAGATATTCCGTCATTTCGTTCCCGTCATTCCGCTGATTTCCGTTCAGCTATTCATGAATTCAAATCTTGTTTTCTAAAAAAAATCTTGAAAACAGGTGGATCTCTGAATGTGAAATGATCTCTAATGAACGATCTCCACAAGAAGAAATTTTGACATCATCGCATAGAATCAAGTCAACAGATAAGCTGTGAACATTTCGAAACTTTGTAATCACAAAGATTGATGTGCAACAGCATAAAACAGCGCCAAAAATCTTTCCAGAAATTGTTTCGCAATTTGGGAATTCAGCTGAGGAATATCAAAAGGACAGTTGTTATAATTGCATAGTCGGCTGACTCTTTGCTTGATTTCGTTCAAAAAACGAAAATTGAAGACCAATGTGGTTGAAGAAGAGGAAAGATATCTTAGTTTTCGTCTTTAGAAAAAATGTCTCTAAGATGTCGATATTATTTAATTTTTAGATCTGCCCTCGTGTTCTCATCAGTTGTCCTTTTCAATGCGGACTAATAGACCGACCACGGGAGGAGGTTCGACTTTTACATACTGCACGTTGTTCTTGTGGATTTTCATCTCTAGACAATTTTGGAAATAACACCGAGTGGTTATATCTTTAATTCCAGTGGTTATATCTTTAATTCTATATATTGTACAATACAGGGATCCCGCTGAATGATTATTGTATGGTATTATTGTATTTGTTTTAAGATCGAACGCCATCGTGCCAGTTGTCCAAATGTCGACAGTGCTTGTCCATTCACGGAGCTTGGCTGCGGTTACTTGGGTATGGTAACAGTTTGCCGCTTGTAATGAAGCAGGTAGCGCTTAAGGTGATAAATCTACGGTTCAAAAGCACCTGACGGATGAACCCATCAAGCATCTAATGTATCTTTGCGATCAAGTGACAGAATTGAAGGTAAGCACATCCCTTACACAGTAAATCTCACCTAGGCCCGTATGCACGTACATCCCCGCTGGGGAGGGGAGGGGATCTGAGAGGGGATGCGTCATACCTCGCTACTTTACGTATCTTTCTTCTTCCTTTTCTATCTTGCTTATAAAGGTTCTCATACCCGACTACCTGCGCATAATCGATGCCAGGTTACTGGTATAACTGATTAGATTTGTACTATTTTGTGTGATCCCCTGGGGATCCCCTGGGGATCCCCAGGGGATCACCTCTCATTTTCAAAGTCATTTATCTTCCTGAGAAATCAATGGAAACGCCGCAAAATTGTACCGAGGATATGCTACGGCACTGCTAAGCATGTTTCGACAGAAAAAAAATAGAATCTGAAGATTGTGAATTTTTCGATGATCCCTAGCTTTTGAGCCAGGGATTACCGAAGATTTCGATATCCTGAGATTTCACTTATTTTTACTTTAAACATGCTTAGCAGTGCCGTAGTATATCCTCAGTACAATTTTGCGGCGTTTTTGTTGATTTCTCAGGAAGATAAATGACTTTGAATATGAGAGGTGATCCCCTGGGGATCCCCAGGGGATCCCCAGGGGATCACACAAAATAGTACAAATCTAATCAGTTATGCCAGTAACCTGGCATCGATTATGCGCAGGTAGTAGGGTATGAGAACCTTCATAAGCAAGATAGAAAAGGAAGAAGAAAGATACGTAAAGCAGCGAGATATGACGCATCCCCTCTCAGATCCCCTCCCCTCCCCAGCGGGGATGTACGTGCATACGGGCCCTAGAAGACAGGGCGATGTAGGGATTGAATGTTAGAAAGGAACTTCATTGGCAAAATTTTGTTTGTGCGCCCTCCCAAAAAAGACGAAACCAAAAGAGAGTATGCAGACACTTTTAGTGTCCCTTATCTGCTTATTCTTTGAAAATTACGCTTTAGACTCTGCAAGCCTCGAACATCTTCAGTCTCCAAAGCCGCTATATCTTATGGCAGGAATTCCAAGTAATAATCTTTACCGTTCAGTCCAGAGAATAAGAGCGATGTAATAGCGCAAATCGCTTTCAATCCAACAAATCACTTTTTTGAGTTGAGGTAGAAAAAATTCTCATATATTGAAGCCAAACCGCGACTGCAGCAAATTTCTTGAGGTGGGGGGAGGGGGGGGGGGGGGGGGGGGGGAGCGAGGGACGAATGTGCGACAGACAAGAGATTTGCAAAAAAATGTTCTTCGAGTTTAGGTGTTTATAACCCATAAATTTTATTGAGAAAAGGCATGGCGCTAGCCAAAAAGAGTTTATCACGACTTCTAGTCGAGTAGTATAGTGTTCCCATAAGCTGGAATTAGCAGTGAATATTTCGATATGCATTTGCAGTGCATATGCAGTTTCATCAAATGTTAATTGCATTATTTTAGGGCATCCATATGATGCTGCAAACAGAAAACAATGCAATGGACGAACGATATGAAGAACTGATGAAAAGCGTAAGTGCAAAAATACAGCTGGACGATTTCTCAGTCTTTTACTATTTCCAGACAGTTACAGCTGCCAAAATGTACGGAGCACAAATGGTGTGGAGGATTGAAAATGTCAGACAGAAAATAAACGATGCAAAGGTATGTAACTAAGGGGTAATGCAATTCGTGATGACTCGACTGCGATACTATCAGACCTTGCTTCATCAAAATATCGTCAAAAATCAGAAGTCATAACCCCTCAAAAGTATGGCATCCTTTATTCTTTCTAGTACAAAGTGCACATCGGTGTCTTTTTAAGTCCACTCAATTAGATTTTTATGACCAAACACAATTTTTTGAGACGAACAAGCTACCTAGTAGTACGAGCTTGATCGGGTTAGAACCAGAAAACAGTTTGGGAAGAGGGAATCTCCTAACACCCCTTTTTTAACACTGTAAAACTTATAGTCGAACTCGTTGACGGCATGGGTACAAAAAAAACAATTCGCAAAATCTACAAAAGCAGTAGAAAAGAGTTGAGATCAAATTCTAACCAGTTCAATCACAGTATCCAGTAATCCAGTCTGCTTCTATGTCGTCTTTTCAACTTGCGTCAATCGGATGAGCTTTTTGAGTGAATAAGTTTCAGAGCGGTGCACGTCCCATCATTCACTCAGAGCCATTTGTTTCCGGCCGCCATGGCTACAAATTCATAGCCAGCGCATGCCTGTTTGGAGATGGAAAATGTAGGTTTCAGAGGGAATGCAGAAGGTTGCATTCAATGGAGCAAAGCTAAGACACTTGTGAAGAAAATGAGATGTGGTAATCGACAAATCAAATGCACTACAGTATCTTTTAGCTTATGCACTACATATCTTTTAGCTTATGGGTCTTCAACCCATTTATATAAATTTTCAAAAAAGATCATATCAAGAATGAACAAACTACCTCAAGTACAGAAGCAGTGTAGACTTGTTCAAAAGAAATGAAGACGGCTTCATGCCTTTTAGAGCCTCTCCCCTATTACTAAGGCAGTATAAAAACAGAAAAAATTTCCATCAACATTTCAAGTCTAGGAGTCTAGAGGATGGATGTACTTTGTGACGACACTTCCGCGGAAAGAACTGTCATGTTTTTGATGGAAACAATACCTAGGAGTAGAAAAACGGGCCGAATCGCAAGTTTGCAAGTCCCGCGCTCCATGGCCGATTCTAAGGCCGCGAGCATACCTCATGCGACAGCCACGCGATTTGGCAATTTGCCAGATGTCTCCAAATTCAATACTGGTATACCCTAAACGCACAGCATGCTTGACTTTCGTAGGTTGATAGAATGCCCTCTCTTCCGTACATTCAAAAAACCCCTACAATGAGTTATGAACAACTGGAGCATTGCCAAATGGCGTCGCGACTGAAATCGCGTGAAGTATGCCCGGGACCTAATGCGCAAGTGTTGTACATAGACAAAGCAGAACAGTTATCAGGACTCAAATCTACTACACTATGGAGAGAATGCAAGAGCTTTTCCATAAAGAAACACGCTGTTGTCTGATAAAGCTCTAAAATATTGAGCGAATAAAGACAATTATAGATCGCGGCAAATTCCTCTCCGTATATCTGACACTTGTCCGAGGCAAGTACGATCCTCTGTTGGAATGGCCGTTTGCTCTTGTAGTTTCCATCACCCTTCTGGACCAGGTAACCTGTAACCATTTGGTTTATTCAAATAATAAGTTTTTTTTTCAGAATCCTGATCCCAGCAAACGATGCGACATCTCATACCGTATAGATCCGCGAAAGATCAGGGAAAAGACGGAGTTTTTGGAGAGACCGCTGTTGGACAAGAATGGCTCATTTGGAGCGCAAACCTTCTGCCGATTGGAAATAATGGAGAACTACATAGAGGTATATACATTTATGAGATACTGACAACCACTTCTTGATCAAGATATCGAAATCAGGAAGTCCTTCAATGGTACAGAAAACTTCAGAATTATCGTTTCGAACCATCGTTTAGCATGATATTAGGTCATGAATAACTGCACTCGCAGGAAATTTCATGAAAAAATCAAAAGAAAAGCAAGCCTAGACAAATCTTTGCAAAGAGGCATTTTGAAGGCAACTTTTGGGAAGCTGCTTATTACTTCCTCAAATCAGAATGATTTGATTTAAAAATTAGCTTGATTACTTATCGTTAGTAAAATTACACACATCTACCGTTAGCAAAATGCTTCATTACCTAGACTTAGCATAAACTGACACCAGGGAAATTCGAAACGATGTCCCCTTTGATTTTGAAGATTTCGTAAGTCCTCTTCGACCAACCCGAAACGTGAAAAACCCATGACACGTCAACTAAAAAAACGTCGAAATTTTTGTGTCTTTTCGGCCACAAAAACGATATCCCTTGTGCTTTTTGTCCTAAAAATGGGTCCCATCCTTGACCCGGCGCCAACCGTGCCGAGCTCCCTGTTGGTTGCTCACAAATTTGATTTTCGAAACTGGTGAAACTGTTGTGCGCCATAAACGAAAACAAGGAAAATTCTAACAAGGAGAGGATACCAGTCGAAAGCACCAATCCAAATGGGACTTATATATCTTAAAGCGCTTGAAACGCTGATTCCAAATCTATAGCGTCTAGCTGCGGAAGGATTTTGTAGAAGGAGTTATGAGGGGTGTTTTTCTCTGAAGTTAAGACGCCCTTCAGCAGGCCTTCCCTTGTATGAGCACTGTAGAGTAGTACCGATTGGTGGCAATTGTCCTAGTGGTAAGTGACTTGTTGATAAGGAGAGTATCAAGGTTTTCATACTTTCGCATGCAACTTTATCAGTTTTTGCAAAATTGAGCCTTTAAATGACTTTGGAGCCCTAAAGCTTGAAATTTCTGACGATATTGATGATAACCGAAGAGTCAGAAGTGTTGAAAATCCAAAGTAATATGAGTATTATAATCCTTATCGTAATCTTCATTCAAATTACTCACCACTATGCCAGTCGACACCGTTTTGTGTTTCTATAGTGCTCGTAGACAGGTGACATATGAAGGGCGCCTCAACCCCAGAGGGAAACACCCCTCATAACTACTTCTACAAAACAGTTTCGCAGCTAGAAACTATACATTTGAAATCAGCGTTTCAATCGCCTTAAGATAATATATGTCTCATCTGGGTTGGTGTTTTCGATTAGGTATCTCTCCTCGTAAGATACTTTACGGGGAACCTTATGCATTCTAACTATAGAGATCATTCCATGACAGTGCCTGCTGGGCCGTGATTGATGTGAAAGAATTGCCTAGCATTAGCTTCAAACATTCCCGTTTGTAAACGTGATCTAGTTAGTCTAACTCCGCAAAGAGAGTATGCATTGTTCCAAATGACCAAACTCCAAATTTTTCGAAAAAAAAAACATAGCAGCTGAAAATCCTTGGAGAATAGGTGATGCATGTTTGCCTTGTATTTTCGGTTATATGATTGTTTAAGAGATCGAGTTTCCAGGACGACGTCATGTTCCTCCAGATCGAAATCGGTGAAAGCATTGATGGAGAGGATGATAATGGAATTCCCGAAGAACAGCTAGATTTATTCGCGCAGAAACCACCATGCACTCCAGACGTCCATTCGGTAATGTCACTTCCACTGGTGTCGACACCTCGCGAGGACGGCCGCCTTCCGACTGCGATTAAAATGCCGGACGAGCGTCTAGCCAGCCCTTTATCCGTCAAGAAGATTTTGCCATCACGAGACTCAATGTCCGAGCTTCCACCTCTGCCGGTCACAACTGATGGACTACCAAGCGTGAGCACCACATCGACCAGACCGCACTCAATGAGGTTGTCCAAGAATGCTGTGGCTCCAATGCCAGACCCATCGCCGTACGTAGTCTCGGAGAAGTCGGAGATTTCTGAGATAGCGGAAGAAAAGAAGTCCAAGTCAAAAGCAAGATGATCTATGCCAAAGATTGGAATAGATTTGTTTAGTTTCTAGATAGTTCTGTGGTATTAGGTTGTCCCATAATTTTTGTTTAGTCTTGAACCTTCAGAGAAGTCAGAGATACTCCGATATTTCAGATATTTCCCAAGGCACCCTCAAGGTCGCAAATTCTTGGCAACCAATTTTTCCCACTTTTTTCTCTATTAAATCAAAAAAGAGCAGGAATTATATTTATAAATGTTTATTGTGGAGTTATTGTGGAGTGCATATCTTTGAGCGAGCGGAGAATTATTTAGATGGGTATACAAATTTGCGGGCATAGAAAATTTCTTGGACTTAGCTTCAAAATTTATGTTTTAGCTTTACAGAATGGCGTTTAGAGATCGTCGTCAAGTCTGTGTATCAGACTTGACGACGATCTCTAACCGCCATTCTGTAAAGCTTGCTTTGCTTTATCAAATGGTACCCCACTTATTCAGAAAGCAAGACGAGCACGATTTATCGCGGTAGAGGGTCAAATCATGGAAAAAAAAACTTGTAAGACAAGCTAATTTATCGTACTGCGCTCGTATATGATTTTATTTTCTTCTGGACAATTTTGAATACTAGTACAAATAAAGTTGATAAGTCACAATATTTGACGAAATTTTATCGGATATACCAGAGTATTTGAACTCTAACTTCGAAAAGTCTGGTTTTCTTTCATGTTAGTCATTTCTTCCTGTATTACGACTACTGATCTCAAAAACTTTTCGCAGACTATTTTAGCTAAAAATACTTGCAATTTTCTGTTTTAGATATAGTTTACTAGCTGCTGATACCCGTTTCTCTCTATATGTCAGCTTTTCACCATGTATCAAAAGTCAGATGCGCCTTGAATGGTCAACTAAATAGATTATTCTGTGGAATAAAAGGAAAACGAAATGGAACGTGATGCAGCATATTCAGATGGACCGTCTATGATATTATATCTACATAGTTGAATTAGTTCAAAAGTTCATTCTCATTCCCTTCAAATCTTTCCTTACAACTAGTGAACCAATTATATAAAGGTGCTATCTGCATAAGCGTTCGCTTCGGGACCGCTACGCAGTTTCCCGCTATTTGCCGATTTTTGAATTGCGCTTACGTTTCTTTATACAGGGTGTCCCAAAAAATGTATCTAACGTTTGATCGTTAATATCTCTCCTCTAAAGAAGTCTTTTCCCTTGCTTTAGATACCAATCTGTAGAGCTGACTTCAACTTAGATTTGCATTATAGAACGAATCACTCATCTCTCTTCATTACTGTAGGATTACGGTAGAAACTTCAAAGAGGGTTTTAAGCAATGGAAGGCCAAATTTTGCCCCAGAAAGGAAGCAAAACAGCCTGAAAACTTTTACGCTAGGCTAATTAGGCTGCGTTCATACTGATTACGACAGCCGGGAACAGTTCCAGCACAGTGCTCGAACTGAGCGTTGTGTTGGAACTGTTCCCGGATTTCGTAATCAGTATGAACGCAGCCTTAGAGTTGCTAATTATGACTGTAAAGTTCCCAATTTATTATGATGCTTCATTAAAGAGTTATGTCAGGTAAGAGGTAGCGGCCATTTTTTCAATGTTCCTAGAAAGTGCGGTTACACCGTTTAGAGAGCTTCGTAATCTTGTGAATAGTTGAGTATTGAACTCAGCGTCCATAAAAAACCCAATACACAAGTTTTCACATCCTTTTTGAAAAATTGTGAAACGGCAGCTTTTTACACATTGACACCATATGCTTCAAGTTTCTACCGTAATCCTACAGTAATGAAGAGGGGTGGGTGATTCGTTCTATAATGCAAATCTAAGTTGAAGCCAGCCCTACAAAACGGTACCTGAAGCAAGGCAAAAGACTTCTTTGGAAGAGAGATATTAACGATCAAACGTTCGATACATTTTTTTGGGACACCCTGTATATTAGATTAGAATAGAATACGGCCAATGCTAATGATTCTTGGGCCACAAAATTGTTTTGAGATGTGCAATAAGAGGTACTTGAATATTCCAAACTCAACGAGCACTGGAAATGTGAAAGCATAACCTTGCAGAAATTTAACCAGAGGACAGCTACTGAATAAATATGTAAGCAGCCAACGGAGCAATGCCTTTGAACTTCAGTCTTTATGCTTTTCTTCAACACTAAGCTGCCCGAAATCAGAAGAAAAAGTCATTTCCATGTAGGCAAGAGAAGCATGCGAGATCAACGAACACAACTGAATACTTCAATGAGCTTTATGTCAGAAATCTCATAATGGCATTGTATTTTCGTAATCAACAACAATATCCTATGAGCTACCCTAGTGATAGTCAGCACAGCGACCATTAACAGTTAAAATAAAAATCATCTAGACGGCGATGATCGGCAAATACAAATTCTCAATTATAAACAATCAACTTTTGCTTTCTTCTTCAACTTTCTTTTGTTCCGTACTTTCTGTCTTTTGTTTCACTTCAATTCCTTGTCTTCGTAATTCTTCATCTATCCGTTCCTTCGCTCGATAAACCTACGGTAGGAAATTGTCTTATATTCGAAACACACCAAAAAGCTCACTTTAGACTGTAAGTAAAACGATCCTCCCTTAGTTTTATCGTTGATTTCGAATAAATGCTCATACTTCTTCGCAACTTCATCAGGGTCGATTGGCGGCTTGACATCTAAGATTTTCAACGATTCCTGAAGTAAAAAATCGTTGAATATCTTTTGTGGAGGTTAATCTCATAAAAAGCATTCCTTAACGAAGTCATGGAAAGGAGTGGATTCTTAGAAGATTCGGTAAAAAGGTCAACATAAACAAACAAAAAATCCCCAATCGGGATCAAATTGCAAGCGGAAAATCTTCACATTAGTGACTCCTGGAGGGGATTACTTTCAAAATAATCATTTCTATTACAAAATCATGAAAACCAGTGGATTCTTCGAATCTCCACACTAAAGATCGCTCAACATATCAGACACCAAGAATTCTTGAACTCACCTCTAAGCTTATTCCCATTCGAGCATTAGCATTAGCACTTTCCTTCGCCTCACTAGCAGATTGTCCGGTCTGAGTTGCATGCCTTGCTGCGGCTTGCTGGCTTTCTGAAAATGTCTCCATGAAATGTACAATCTCATAGAAGTCTATACACATTACATACGCCTGATTTCCTCTCTAACTGCTCGTGTTAAAGCCTTTGCAACCGCTTCACCTGCTGCGAGGACGACCTGAAATGACTGTGCTCATAGTACGAGAAATCAGATAAAGCGTTGCTTCTTACCTTCACCGCATGTCTCCAAGGCATGCTCAACGGACACTAAACTGAAAATTTCGGAATGAGAGAACAAGAGATGCACTGAACAGAAGAAAATTCAGGGATATGACCATCAAGAATTCAACACTGATAAAAAACTAAGGTTTATTTCTACCCGTACATAATAAATAGAGCTCAGCACTTGAGTCTCGACTTGACTTTGGCTTTAATGTTCTGACTTGACGAAAGTACTGCAATAGCTCCATCAAGAACGCTTTCTTCTCGGTACCGTCCCACATTTTACACAAGAATTTCCCATCCGACGAAAGTGGAAAGAGTGGCTGCTTACCAGATGGAGGTGCGAATAGATGGAATACCGTACGACAAAGATTTGTAAGCCGAAGATGGTCCGTAGCCGAGTCTCCTGCAGAGACACATAAATGACAGAACAGTTGCTCACTTATTTCTCTACATTTCCCTAGTCTATCAGAAAACTGCCAACACTCAAAAAACGGGATGCAGAAAGAGAAAACAAGGATTACAAATTTGATGACTGCTACATTTTCAAAATCAATCAATGAAGGTCATTACAATATTATTGGAAGTTTGACACATTCCAAATAGTACGAGGGTCGTTCAAGAAGCTTACCTGATGGATTAGGAGCCATGTCGCTCAGCACTACATCTACAGTCCGACCTCCCAGTTTCTCCGAGATTAACTTCTGAGTCGAAGGAGCAGTCACGTCCGACATGGATATGATGTCAGCACCAGGTATAGGAGCAACGACCTCGAAAATCCAGACCTTAAATCCTTTGCTATTCTCACAAAGGGAACAACTACCTGTAGATCGACACCAAGTAGATAACCAGGACTGGAACCTCCTACCTTACATCTTTCCAAAACAACTTGACACCAAGAGCCGGGAGCACATCCGACATCCAATACTGTCATACCTAAACTAAAATCAAATTTGAGCATTAGGTAGCACGAATGAGAGTGCAGCAACATAGGTCATAGGTAAGAATCTAAACCCACCAGGTTTCAGAAGCTCAAATCGGTCGTCAATTTCAATGAGTTTGAATGCTGATCTTGCTCTGTAGGAGTGCTCACGGGCTTTGATAGCAAACTCATCTGTCATCTGCCTTCGAAGATACTTCGCCGTATTTGATTTCGCTTTTGAAGCAAAGAAACGGCAACTTGAGGTACTTGGTAACCAAAATTTGTTCACTATGCACGCCATCTGTAAAAATTAAACCATCTCATAGAATCCGCTAAAATGCACAACTCCTGATAAATTTGATTGTTTGCTAGCAATTTCATGAACTGAACTCATTGAGCATTGTATATTTATTCAGATAAATGATTTTCATCCAGTAAAAACAATCAAGCGCCAATGAGTATTACCACAACAGAAAGTATGCCTCAAAGCTGAGGTATGATAATTATTATATTATGTACAAACTCACAACTAGAAGAACTCTATCTATAAAAAAAATATAGTTATCTCACTCTGGCATTGCTAAACACTGATTGACTGCGTGCATCAGGTTGGAGTTCTCCATAGCAGCTGCAACTCTCTCTTTATCGGCAAGCTGTCGGTTTATGGCTTCTTCTGTGTTATGTGATCCCTCTGTGATGGAAACGCGAACCTGACAGAATTAAGACCGTTCACCGATTTTCGTAGATTTGTTATAGCAACAAAATGAAAAGGTTTTCGTGTAAAGCAAAAGCCACCAACTTTGATCCTTGGATGGAGAGAACGACCTAACTTCACTCTAATAGCAAGTCCAATCAAAGTAGCCATACTGCAGTGAGGTATAGTTGGTGTGAACTGCACCTACAAATATATCGGCAAAGTCACCACGGATCCTTTCCTCTCTTCTCTAGCGCAAATCAACATAATACTGAACAAGACTATTTACTGCCTACATGAACTTCACGATAATCGTGCTTCGATTTTCAAAGATTCGCAGAATGAAAAATAAAAACCGATTGTGCAGCGCGATACTCGAACGGGAACAATAAACATCAAGCAGAAGACACGATATCGAAGCCAGAAGCCAGCCATAATTGTGGTAAACTCAAAACATACGGGTCGCTGTCGTTTTTTTTTGGCAGAGTAGCAACAAAACGGCATGCGAATTGTAACTACTAGAGGATGTAGACCAAACCATACGCAGTCAGATCTCTATGGCCTCGGACAGAGTTCACGCGGTTCTCCCACAGGACAACTGTTACGAGCCCATTGCATGCCGATCAACAAGCATCTCGGTTGTGACAGTTAGTCATGACTGGTCGTGTCGGAGAACTATCACAACCCCAATGCAAGTTTCGGTGTGCAATGGACTCGTAGCAGTTGTCTTGTCGGAGAATCGCGAGGCGATGAAATCGCGTAAAATCTGTTCGAGGCCTATAAAATGGCTTAAGCAACACCCAACACCCTCCACAATTTAATTCCGAAGGGAATTTCTCTCGATTTTGTCATTAATGCATCAAATATATTCATAAAAGTAATCAAAGCATAAAGGAAATATTCCGAAAAAAGCAAGATCGTTCAGCTAGCCAGCGCTCTTCAGAAAAAAAAGTGTTTGGCTGTCAAACTGGAAAAGAAAGCACAAAGAGATAGAGCTCAAAAATTGACTCACGTCAACGTACGTATGGTTGTTGTCTTTATGTACTTTTATCAGGTCTTCTTGAACCACATTCAACTGCTCCAGAGTATAAGGATGTTCCGGATCATTAATGTCTCGAATAAGTTCGAATACTTCCAAAGCATCGATAGGATCTTCGACGGATTCATCCCTAAAATATTCAGCAAAGGATATATGAACATTGAACACTCGCCAGTCTCGTCAGTTTATCTGTAAGAATATGTAAAAAAGGAGTGTAGCGGAGAAGAATCGTCTACCACTCAATTCTCTCCCTCTCTATGTTAAGGGATCGTTCATACCGCGCACAAAGGCGGACGAAGGCGGACGAAGGCGGACGAAGCCGGACGAAGGCGGATGAAGCCGCACAAAGGCGGACGAAGGCGCGTCTTGTCTCGTCTCGTTTCTCTCGACACACACACAATCACACATGCCTTCGTGCGCCTTCGTCCGCCTTTGTGCGGCTTCGTCCGCCTTTGTGCGCGGTATGAACGATCCCTAAGATATCCGTTAACAACTAAACAGAAAGAGATGAACGAGATATAGCTCATATGGCTTTATCCTCACAGATAGGTCAGCTAAAAAATTTTCTTGCCCCAGATTCTGCTTACTGTTTTACGTTCTCCGTTTCTTCCGTTTGAAATCTGCTTCTACAGATAAATATACAGTGCCGACTGACAATAAGCAAATCTTCGTTATGTATACACATTACGATGAGGCTTCGGCAAAAAAATGATGTGTTCAAAAAATGAAAGGAGACCCACATCAAGTCTGAAGTGTTGGCTCGCTCTCGCGATTTAACCGTGAAGATTTGTGGATTGGCGTTTTCCAACCGTTCGACACCCATGCTATTGAACTCTGTTGAACTCTGCAAACTCAGCGAATTGAAGAGAACTCGTCGATGAAAGGAAAAACATGTGAAACCGTCAAAAAATATGCTCTAGAGGAAAAAGCATGAGGCAAACGCTGTGCATTTATTTACGACTGTGGCGATGGACTGGTGTACTACATCTCTTGCGCTTTGACGCACGTCATTTAGTAGACAGTTTGGAAATGTTGAAGCGGTGTAGAGTGGTGATTCTAGAGTGACACATAGTCGAGTCATTTCATATGATCAGTATGCATTGCACATAAAGTTCATTTATAAATCGTGACGACGGATTTGACTGCGGTCTTTGCGCTTACAGGAGCATAAAACCCTCATACAGAAGGGTATCACCTCAACGCTCAGCTCTGTCACTTCCAGTGTCCAAGTAATATCATACCTAGACTGAAAAACCAGTCAGGGAGAGATCAAAACCAAGAAAACGCGGTGCCAGGAGGTGCGTGCGTGTCGCACGCGGTTGCGCCATCGTCACGATTTTCCGAATGCCCTATACGTCTATCTTTGACGTGCCCATCCTGGATTTGCATTGCAGAAATGCAGAGACTGACCGAATGGTTCGCTTACATCAGCAGGAGATTAATATTTAAAAACGAAAGAAAACATAGGAGAACACATCGAAAACACTTTTATTCAATTCATCGTACGCAAAGACTGGGCGTCGCTACGGACGCTGTTGGCGTGTCGCGGATCGCGCGCTCTTTCATCCCTCTTGCCGTCTGCTGCCTCTTCTACGCAGAAATTGTCTTAGTCGGAGCAACGACTCCAGTACGATGAATCGCCTATACCAGAAGAAGTGTCTGCTCAAAGAATCTAGGATTGGAATGCCAAGGGTAGACAAAGTCGAGTAGATTTTCCGCTTAATATAGTGTGCTTGCACAGAAGGTGAAATGCGGTAAAATTAGCGCGTGAGGAAATAGCTTCGACTGTGACGCCGTCCAATTGCGCGCGCAAAATCCCGGCAGTGCTGGCGCAGCTAACTGTTCACGCGCAAATTTTACCGCATTTCATAAACCGTGCAAGCACACTATATTAAGCGGAAAATCTACTCGACTGTAGTCACTATGGGTGTGCGGGCCGCCGGTAGCGTGGGTTGACAGTACGCGCGGGTCGCCAGCTCGAACGTATGGGCCGCTATGGGCCTGGTGCCTTTAACGCTGGCGTTTAGACGCCGCGGCTCAGCACCGAAGCCGAGGGCGGCCGGGCCACTGCAACAGTTGTCTGAGTGGTGCAACGGCACACAATCCGGCTCCGGGACTATGCGCGCCAGAATAGATTTGAAAGCGGTTAATGGGTGGAGGACTATATGTCGCCGAAAAAGGGCGGTCCTCGCGGTCATTTGCGACAAATACGCACCCTTGTACATGCGCGGATATGCGTTCCTGCAGGGAATCCGCGCGGGACTCTTCCATATAGTCCTCCACCCGCGGCTAATTCATATAGGACTCCTTGGATTCCTAGGATTGTAGGATTCCTTCACCACAGTCGCCACCCTGTTTAGTGTCATCACCTTCACAGGATAAGCCACCTTTAGGGCTTATCAATTGCAAGTCGAATGCACCACCTCTCCGTCTCGCGTGGCCGCCTCGCCTGGAATCTGCGACTCTGCGGACATGCTTTCTAAGTTTTCGCACATTTAATTAACCACTAAAGCTCCACCTTCTCCAGCTCGTGGTGGGAAAGTGATAAAGGAGCATGTTCACGAGAGGTGCAGAGTTCAGGCGAGGCGGCCGTGCGGGAACGGAGGTGCTGGTGCACACGACTCTGCAATTGTTAAAGGCAGCGTCCAGGCAGAGTTGGACGTATGGGACTCTAACGTGGAAACATTTTCGGGGGTCTAACTAAGATACTGCCCAAGCGGCAGCGCAAACGGTGCAGTCGCGGCTGAGAAATTCGTCCGCAAACCAGCCCCCGTGACCGTATTCGCATGGACTCGTGGCGCTTTCGCGCTCGATCCACACGAAACGATGGTGCCGAGCCATGAATCCATGCGAATACGGTCACGGGGGCTGGTTTGCGGACGAATTTCTCAGCCGCGACTGCACCGTTTGCGCTGCCGCTTGGGCAGTATCTTAGTTAGACCCCCGAAAATTGTTTCCACGTTAGAGCCCCATACGTCCAAATCTGCCTGGACGCTGCCTTTAAGCCCTGTATATCAATCCTTACCCTCTATCGCAACTCATGTGTCCCTTCTCGACATGGCATGGATTATACAGCCGCCTCGCTTCGGGCTTGCGTCACGTTGTGGATGCATCTTTTGGCGCAGCATCCAGCAATGGCCACGTGGGAACCTATGTCATGTTGTGTTTGGGTGTGTTTTCTCTAACCTGACAATGTAGCCTAACGCGTAGCCTCAGCGCCTCTAATCATAAGAAGACTCGACAGTTCATTATTGATCTATACTTGGAGATGATTGAAGATGGTTGAGCAATCACATGGTCAAACGTTGGAAGAACAACCAACTGGTTTCAAGTTTTATTGGTTTAACTCGATGGGACCACAAAGAAATATGAAAAGCTTATATAAAGTTCCATTCTATGAAGACAACACCAAGATGTTTTCTCCTTAATAAACAAATTAGCACAAAACGCATATCAGCATGCAAAGAACAGAAATACAAAAGTACGGGAAAGAAAGATACGTTTGCAAAAAAGCAATCTCTTGCAAGTATCCGTTATCAGTACAAAGATTCGAAGCAATTTCTGTAACGGAAGTGATTAGTAATAACAAGAAAACTCAACATGCTTATCTTAGCGCTGGCCATACCTCTCGCGATTCAGTCGCCATGCGATTTGGCCATTTGCCAGATCTACTCAGACCCAACACTCGCATATAAATGCTTGTATTCAACTTTTGTAGTCGATAAAATGTGCTATTTTCCGTGTGCTCAAATTGAATTTGCGACGAGTTATAAGCAACTGAATATTGCCAAATCACGTTGTGACTGAAACGCGTGAAGTATGCGCGAGGCCTTACAGGTTAGAGTTCGATTTTGTACGCCACACCCATCAGCAGAGGATAGAACATAGTTAGTACATAGTTACTACGAATTTAACATTTCCCCACTTTCTTTTTTCATAGCTCTTGCTTGCGACGGTATATCCGTAGCTGATTGAATACTCCTGATTAACAGTCAGAATCGTAGATACATACGAGCAGCAAAAGAGCGTAGTAACTTGGTGATTCTTCCGAATCACACTTGATTACCTGCACTACAGTCACTCTACAAAATTGCTGAGGGTGCTGGCTTTGAGAATAACAGTAAAAATCATCTCACAGAGAGATTAAGGCCATTCCTAACCGTATGCTACCCCTGGACATAAGAACAAGTCCAATGCGGTGAATCTACTGCCTAGCAACAAAATCACGCCTAATAACGGCTGCGAATAACGATGATTACGAACACTGTGCAGACAACTGCACTAGATCTTAGTGGAAAGAGCGTGAAAGCCTTCGAGTGATACGTAGCTATATTACGCACATTGCTCAGTATGAAAAACATAAAACGAGTATCACAAAGTTCCTTACAATTCAATGATATATACAAAGAAGAGAGATCAGAAAGTTGAAAAAAAAATAAGGAATATAGTGTGCAACATGAGACTGACTTATCAGTCACATTCCATAATATCATCATCGGCACTTTGATCTGTCACTTCTTCAATTTTCACGTTCGATGCTGGCCGAAGAATGCTTTGCGTAGACATTTCGCTTTCCGATTCACTGTCTGCAGATTCAGTAACGATATGTGGCGTAGCTGTAAATGCTGAGCATTATATGTAAAAAAAGGACACATTAAACACATACCGTCACCGAATATATTCTCGCCACCATCCACTTCTTGTATGCGCCCCTTCATTGTTGGATCTTCAAATGGGTCTCGGAACTCCTTCAAAGGCCGCCAGATAACCAACTCATTCCCTTGTATAGTGCTTCTGAAGCATATGTACAATAATTCAGTAAAGAGCATATATTTCCGCACAAAAAATATTCGGCTACGATTTCGCCTTGCACGTTGTCGAAAAGGAAAGTTATATACAGTGATTCAAGGGCTAGGCATACATCCGCAGTTCTAACGCCTCGCGATTCTCCCAACAAGACAACTGTTACGAGTACACTGCATGCCGATCATCATGCATTTCGGTCGTGATAATTAATTGCGATTGGTCGTGTTGGAAATCTACCAAAAATCAAATGAAAGATGATCAGCATGCAATGAACCGGTAGCACTTGCCTTGTTGGAAGAATCGTGAGGCTATAAAATTGCGTGATGTATGCCCGGCCCCTTGAGTGCAGAGCGAAAGAGATAAAATGCGAAAACTTTCAAGACTTATAATCATACAAGGATGTAAATGAAAAAGGTAGAAACCCATTCACCTCGCGGGAAGACCAAAATCGTCTTGCTTCATGCGCTTCAGATAGCCCTTGAGGTAGTCGTTCAGCAGCAGACCTCCATTAGCATTCTCATCAGGTTCTTCCACAAGACCCTCTACGTCATCATCCGAGTGCTTACTGTTCACGGCGTCCGAGTCATCAGAATCCGAAGTATCCCTAAAGGAGATACGACTAAGAAGCCGATGAAACATTACAATTCATGGACAGTGAAATCGAAAATTTTGACGTTTCAAAGCATTTGAGCAGTACTGAAATCATACTAACGAAATGAGCTTATAAGTCACACTCTTCCCAGTTTAGAGACTTCAACGATCAGCACTAAAACTGAATTAGTGACTAAAAAAACCGTACATGCTCAACCTTCCATTGCGCTCGCTTTCTTCGGAGATGCTGAAGCGTTCAAATTGAGCGCTTACCCTTTCGAACCTTCGCTTAGCGCGAGGAGCATCGCTGTCATCCTAAAATGATGCGGCTAAACTATGTCAAATGTATAGATATACACACAAACCAATGAAAAATGAAATGACCTCTCCATGCCTTTTTCCGAGCAGCTCGTGAGCACTATACGAAGAAGTGGAAGGCTTCTGAGAACCGAACATGTCACGATTGAAATAGATGGGCCGCTGTTCAGCGAGGGTCATGGCAGCATCGAATCTGCAAAATGATATAGTTTTCGATGTTATTTATTAGTCGAAGTCATACCGCGAAAAGCAACAGGAAAAAGAAGCTATTCTAAACACGCTCCCAGCATGTGGAATTTGAATCCTTTATGAAAAGGGATATTCTATATCGTCTGCGCCCCAGAGAGGTTCCCATAGGTACCACGTCATCTCGCTGCCTTTCGCACTTTCGAACATGTTAACCTCGCACTTCCGTTAAAATCTCAGGAGAAACGTGTCAAAAAGAGCGAAAGGCAGCGTCGCACCACGTACGCACGCTGGTTCACATGGGAACCTCTCTGGGGTGCAGACGTAGACTTATCACGACACAAACTTGAGCCGGAAGTTTTGTCCACATCTGAAAAGTGATAAATCTCCAACTTGCAGAAAGCTGGCCGCGGGACCTGCAGCTGAAGCAGGCCTTAGCAGCAGCAGATATTCTGCGGCAGACATTAACACGTTGACGACCTAGCCATTTTTGACCACATCAAAATGGAATGATGACCTACGGCTGCGGTTTAGAATGTTTAACAGCTACCGCAGTGCCGTGTGTTCTATATGACAATCAGGCCACCAGTGTTATCAACGCATAGAAGTTACCTGAGAACTTTTCGTTTACACATGATAAATTGATGCACGAAAGTGCTAAAAGGTGGTCAGGGCGTGCATACGCGCGGATGCACATGGTCGTCAACGTGTTAATTCTGCGCGCCTTCGCAGCTGAACAAAATAGTCGCTTAGTCTGGCGCCTACCTTACTATAGTCGGTGCCAATTATGTACGTAGCAGTGGCGGACCAAGGAGGGGGGGAGCGGGAGGCGCGAAATTTTTAAAAGTTACTTATATGTGTTATAAAAATGTGCAAGTGACTTGTTTATACTTGTAAATAATTAGAATAATTTTTAAAATTTTTTGAAAGTTAAAATTGGCCTTGTAAAAAATTTTTTTCGGGGGCGTGGCTGACGTCACGCCCCCTTTTTCCAGATTTCAGGGGTTGGGGACCCGCAAAAATTTTGAGAAGCACCCCAGAAAATTTTTCGGAGTTGAAACCTTCACTGGACAAATCTTTTTGTCGCGCCCCTCCCACCCCCCCCCCCCGGTCCGAAATCTTGCGAACGCCATTGGTGCGTAGGTTATGTATATCAAACAAAATTTGACTAGTTTCTCTATCAAACAGTTGTGTATAGAAATAATCCTCGATGTTCAAAAATTCAATTTGGTCAATTTTTTCCCGACTCCAGAAAAGATGCTCGAAAATATCGTCCCCCCCCCCCCCTCCCCAACGAAAATCCTAACAGCCACTGACTGATATACAGGCTAAAGATCTGACGGTATTCAGATTATAATACAAGTTGCTCTTGCGGTAGGAAATTTGCCCACAACATTTGCGCGTAAACAAATTGTCAGTGGGCGCCAACTTGAAAATGTACGCATTGCGGCCATTTCGTGCGTGCAAAGGCATGCGCCTTTGGTATAAGCCACTTCACCGGTTTGACCAATACCGATGGATGGAGTGAATCGGATAAAGTGGATCATGTATTATGGCGTGTGCCAAAGCCGGCGTAACAAGGGCAGTAATAGGCAATATTGTGGACAAACATGGGCACCATGAGACACATAAAGGCGATTCATTGCGCGCAAAGACTGCGGACGTATCGGCGTCTCTGTGATTTTCGTTTCTCATACCATCTGCTGTCTCTCCCAAGCTCGAGTTATCTTGGTCGGACGCAACGGCGCGAACGCCCGTAAAAGGGCTCGGACCTGGGAGGAGTTGCAGGTGCGCTCCATAGCCATTTCGATTAGAGCACCGTTTTTTCAACTGAAGCGCACTATCTCCAAACACTTCCACGCCGATCTGGGTAGTTTTTGAGTATACGTATAGTCTTTGACATCTTTGTGGGAATTTGACGGTAAAATGTGGAAAAATCATGTCAGAGGATCAAAACTTCCAATTCTTTGTTACGATAAGAGCCGCTTGCGTGCATTTCATGCGTAGAAAAAATTCTGTGAAACATCAAACCTGCTGCTTAACTTTGAAGCACAAACCCACAAGCCCGCCAGAAATTTGAAATCCTTGAGAATGTTTTGCTCGAAATACTTAAATTCTAAGCATGCTGGATTTTTTGTGCATATTCGACCGACCCTACATGCGTTTGGACTCTTGTCACATGTATTTCCACGAATATATACAATATCTATGTTCTCAATGGATCTCAATAATAAGTAAGATCTGCTCCAAGTCAAGGTTTCCAGATTTCCGGATTAGTATGAACGCAGCCTACGGCATGTGCCTAAGAACCCGTCCTACGAAAAACTACGAACTTGTCCCGAAGTGATGCTCAGTGAGAACATGGCAGCAGGCCAAGTTCTATGTTCAGCACATTGGTCAGCTCTCGCTCAAAAAAATTCTCATTAATTTCAATTCCAGTAAGTAAAGTTTCATAGTTAACTTAGTATAGCACCAAGTTTCAAAATTTGTTTGTTTCTAGAGAATTCCTGAGGTTGACAGCTGGGCAAATTAATTTTGTACATTCAAAACTATTCACTAACTGCAAAAATTCCGGTTTTTCCATTTAGCAAAACGTTACAGTCTATAAAGGTCACCAGCATAAAGTTTTATTTATTTATTTATTTATTTATTTATTACATGGGGAGATCCCATGTCTCACATAACAAACAAAGAACATCAAATACAAAAGAATGCATATACGAAGGTTGTAAAGAAAACAACAGCTTAAAACCCATATGTTAGTCACAACATACTCTGTCGGACTGCAGATAATCTTTTAAAATGCGCTTAAAAGAAGATAGCTTCGCAGGAAAAGATCGAATTCTTATGAGCCTATCCATATCACGAATAACACGACATGTAAAGAAACTTTGCCTGACCCTAAGTCTGGACCTGGGGATAATTAGTTTTCTTGAACCGCCTCTAGTATTAGATTGTCTGGTAGGAAAGAAATCCTTAAACTCCAGGCCACAATTACCAAACAAGATTTTATGAGCCATTAGAAGGTCACTTTCATGCCTCCTATGGGCAAGAGATGATAGACCTAATTTCCTATTACGAGTTTTACTATCAGGTATGAGATCATATTCGAAACCCATAATACGGATAAACAGTTTGCGCGTAAAACTATTTTGAACTCTTTCCAGGTAATTTTTGGTTTTGATTAGGTCCGGATTATATATCACAGTCCCATATTCCAACATAGGTCTGATATAGGTCTTGTATGCGCTTAAAAGAACCTTTACGTCTTTTGTTGAGAGGGCTCTGAACAGGTTGTAGACCGCCCGCATTGCTTTATCGGCAGTAAGCCTGCAATGCTCATCAAATGTAAGATTATCAGTCACCAGAAATCCCAGGTCCTTGATTTGACCCACTTCCTGCAGTGCTAAATTATCCAAAAAATAGACTGTATTTGGGTTGCAATGTGAAGGACCAATGTGAATCAGTTTTGTTTTCTCCCTGGAGATTGGCAGACCCCAATCTTGTGACCATTTATAAACTTCATCTAGCGCTTGCTGCAAACGCCTGCTATCACTATTTTCCATTACTGTCGTGTACAATTTGAAATCGTCTGCAAAAGCACAGCAGCTAACGCCAAAATTGACAGGAATTTGCGGGAGCTCATGGGTGTAGATATTAAAAAGAATGGGAGATAGGACACTCCCCTGAGGTACCCCACTACACATACTTCTAGGTTGAGAGAATGTTTCATTGATACGAACTATAAAGGACCTGTCATCAAGAAAAGCTTTGATCCAAGCAACAATACGGGGATGCAACCCAACACTAATCAACTTTTGGATTAATCTAGGGTGGGGTACCTTATCAAAAGCTTTGGTGAAGTCCAAGTAGATTACATCGATATTAAGACCTTTATCGAAATTGAGGGTCCACTCATTGAGTGATTGCAGCATCGCAGTGGTAGTAGACTTACCACGCCGAAACCCGTGCTGGGTGGAGGAAAGGATTCCGTGATTCTCCAAATGGTTAACTATTTGTTTCTTTAGTATTTTTTCAAACAATCTGGCGAAGATAGAAGTGATGCTAACTGGGCGAAAGTTATTGGGATGGGTGTATGGCTTCTTCTTAGGAATGGGTGTCACATATGAAGATCGCCATCTTTTTGGAACCTCCGACCTAGCCATGCTCAAGTTGAAAAGAAATTGTAGCGGACCAGCGATTATGTGCGCTATAGACTTGATAAATTGGAGCGGTAATAGATCAGGGGTGAGAGATGAGGACCTGGGCCAAGTGATCAATAGTTTATAAATCTCCTCACTGTAGAACCATGGGCCCTCTTCCATTGCTGCGAACGCTTGGTTACCACCCACAACCTCTTCAAATGCCTGGGCTTGGAAAACTTTTTCGAACACACTAGCGAAACATTCTGCTTTATCAAAGTCATTAATTAATACTGACCCAGCCTCAGACACTAGAGCACCAATTTTACTCCTTTCCTTAAGTCGGGAACCCACAAATTTGTAGTAGAGAAATTTATTGCCTTAGGAAACAACTTTCTTTTCCACAGCTGCATAGTACTTTTTTAATCGATTAGACAAGTGGGTATTTATGCGTCTGAATTGTTCCCAGTGAAGGTTACTACCGGTACTCATAGCTTTTTTCCATGCAAAATCTTTTTTACACTGTAGCCTTTGAAGGTAGTTTGGTAGTACTGTAGTACGCAGTGGAAGAGAGACCCATGGGACGAATAAATCAATAGCATGATGCAAGATGCATAAAAATATCTCGTACATAGCATCAACCGACTCCACCGAGTTGAAGGAGCCGTACCAATCAATACCACTGAGGTAATCGATAATTCCCTCATTATCAGCATGTTTAAAATCCCTACGAGTAATATATTCCGGGCTGTCGACGTAGTCATGAAGAGTAAATAATACTGTTGCGTGATCACTTACACCCATTGGAGCAACAACTCTAACCCCTGTAATGAGATGGCTATCGTTGGTAAAGACTAAATCCAACTTGTTGTGTCCCAGGGTATTTGAGCGCACCTCCTGTGAAAGCCCAGATAGCTGACACATACGAATGAAATCTACGGATGCCCCCCCCCCCCCCCCATACCCAGCAGGTATTTGTGCAGCGTGGCACGGCCAATCAATACCAGGGAAGTTGAAATCACCCATGAGTGGTAGGCCACTGCCGCAACTGAGTAAATCCGTCAAAGCTTTTATTAGTTGATGAGTCTTTTCTGCAACACATGAAGGGGACCTATATACCAAAATAATGCGCACCGTTTTATGGCCAACAACATCCAAGCAAACAATTTCATAACTTTCAGGTACTGACTCACTAAATATCAGGTAGGGGTTAAGATTATTTCTGATAACCAGGAGTACGCCCCCGCCTCTTTTCCCCTCACAGCACATTGGTCAGCTCTCGCTCAAAAAAATTCTCATTAATTTCAATTCCAGTAAGTAAAGTTTCATAGTTAACTTAGTATAGCACCAAGTTTCAAAATTTGTTTGTTTCTAGAGAATTCCTGAGGTTGACAGCTGGGCAAATTAATTTTGTACATTCAAAACTATTCACTAACTGCAAAAATTCCGGTTTTTCCATTTAGCAAAACGTTACAGTCTATAAAGGTCACCAGCATAAAGTTGCCATTTTCCACCCATTTTTTCTTCAATTTTCAATCTAGGCATCATCGACAAGCTTATCGAACAACATTAGCAATGATGATTTACGACTATGCAGCGCTTTTGAAGCTCATGAGAAAAGGCGACGATTGCTATCAAGCGCAAAATTGAAATATGACACATTCGATTTCTTTTTTTAGCTCTCATTGCTTCAAAGACGTCGATCTAACAAGTTTTCCAGCAGATCTCAGGAAAGAATTTTATGTTTTCGAGATAAGTTATGTAATTACAAGACAGTTATAGGTGTCTCAAGAAAAAAAAAAGACAAAGCAACACCGTAAAGGATGTTTTTGAAGGAGTAGGAAGGACTGAAACACAGCTGTTGCCAGAATTTGATTGGCCACATGCGAGCCGTAAAAAGAGTTCGCACACGAACACCAGTGCTAAATCCATCCCAATTTAGCGCTAGCAGCCCTAAGATACTTCTAAAAGCTGCACAAAGTGGATCCTCAAGTGGTGTGAACTCAAAGAGAAGTTAGAGCAGCCGAGACTAACCCAAAAACGGAAGTTCAAGACAGTTACTGACAATGAGTTTCAAGCGTAAATTCAGGCAAAGGTTATAGAGGGTAAATGCTAACTATGGCTGGGCTAGATAGTTGCATGGGTTGCTCAATCTTGCTACCTTAGATTCAATTCAAAACAGCAATTGAGAAGGTCAAAAACTCATAAAAATGAAATTAAGAACAAATTCGTAAGTATTTCGGTTAGTTTTCCAGCAAAAGCCACCAGACTTAGCAAGTGGTAACATCAGACAGATAGTAATCCAATGCACTTTATCTGGTTTTTTTGAAGACTTGTATAGCACTACACTGGAGTTTTAAATTGGTGACAGCCGGAGAAATCGCGCCTCTTGATCGTCTCCCCTTTTTTCGTTGTTGCATAACTCTAGTGAGTAGAGTAAAATAAGAACCAAAACAGAGGTCATATATAGAAGAACACAAAGCAAAAGTATTGTTGAGTGATGCATGAACGCCAAATCATGAGAACCATAGGGTATGATGATATGTCCTGACAGCTTGAGAAGAGAAAAAGTACATGCAAGCGGAATGAACCAAAACATTCTATTATTTTGCACATAGTCTCTCTCCCAGTCTTCCATCTCTTTGGAAAGTTTGTGAAACGCTAAGTGTTAGGAGATAGTGCGCTTCAGTTGAAAAAACGGTGCTCTAATCGAATTGGCGATGGAGCGCACCTGCAACTCCTCCCAGGTCCGAGCCCTTTTACGGGCGTTTCAACGGCGCCCAGTATTTGCGGTTTATGAATCGCCGATATGTACTTACTAGATGGCAAACCCGGCTCCGCCCGGGGCCAAACTTTGCACACATACACTTCGGGGCAGGGAGCGTGTCATAGTCCACTTTTCGTTATCGATCGATGTCGATTTCACCGATTTTTTGCAAATTTTGAGCTACGGGGCTCAGCCCCCTAGCTCAAATTTTGCAAAAAATCGATAAAATCGATATCGATCGATAACGAAAAGTAGCCTATGACACGCTCCCTGCCCCGAAGTATATGTGTGCCAAGTTTGGTCCCGATCGGTTCAGAAATAAAAATTTCTATTCCGCACATACGTACAGACAGACAGACATACATACATACAGACAGACATTCAGCTTTATATATAAGATTGTCGGACCTCTTATAAAATAACTGACAGTAGGTGGGAACAGGTATGGAAATTTCTACAATCCGTTTTCCAAATCCTGAAGATTTTTGGCACCGCATGGACACTATGAATTGACGTCAGATCTACTAATGCGGAATGGAAAGTGGGTTAAAACTTCTAAGACTATTCCTTCAAAAATTCAAAGCAAATGATCTGCTCATCATGAACTTATCCTCGATAATAAACCACCACTATCTTCTCTTGTCAAAGTGGCGTTTGCAAAGTACGTACATAACAGATATATTGAGATTAGTATTGGGGACTACCTTAAATGCCTAATCGAAATGAATTTTGACGAGAAGAATTCTGGAGCTATCAATCTCAAAAGCAAATAGACAGAACGGAGCAGTTGCTGTATACGTATCGTTTGTTCCCCGGTAATCCCCTAGGTACCATGTCATCCCGCTGCCTTTCGCTCATTTGAACGGGTTAACCTCGAGCAGTTCCATTGAAATCTCAGGAGTAACGTGTCAAAAAGAGCGAAAGGCAGCGTCGCACCACGTACGCACGCTGGTTCACATGGGAACTTTTCTGGGGCACACAGGATATCTAGTTATAACTGAAAAGCGCTGAAGAGTTATAGGAATGCGGATATGGGAAAGTGATCTACAGCAATAATGGTTTTGCACGACTTGATGAAGTGCGAGATGTTTATTTATACTACCGCCCACCGCGCGTCGAGCGCGTCGTGGAGATTTCTAGAATTTTCCCGAAAGGCAAAAAGCGCACGCTCAAATAGTAAGGGTATCTATCTAACAGGTAGGGAGGCTGATATCGTCAACACATTACGCCATATGAACTACAGACTGGTTTGATCGATGATCAAATGGCTGATCAGATGAGACCTCGCACTTGACGTCAGCTACGCAAACGCCAAGGATCATGAACTCTCCATATGTTGTGGATTTTGTCGTGTTGTGAGCTTTATGGAGGAGACATTCATCCATCTTTCGAGCACGCCGAAAAATTTATGAAAACTCTGTGACCTGATTAGTTGCAGAAGCGCAAGCGACTTCGCGCATAGTTACTATTACTTGGACAATAAATAAAGAACTAGAACTTTTGATTTCTATGAGATAGCTTATTGCAAGCAAGATGAGTGATCATTTGCCTATTGCAAATGAAAAATGAAATGAAACCAAATAAGAAACGGGCGAAAACAAGTGTCGACGGAGCGCCGTTGCCTCCCGAAATTTCGCATTGGGGCAAAATTTACAGCAATCGTTGATGAATTCCAGACTAACCGCAATCCATATCGCTTGGGCTTTTATTCGCGTTGATATCGCTCTAGGTGCCTTTCACCTACCGAGAACAGCGGTAGTTGCTCCGAGCCATTCCAATTTGAACTAGAAATCTTCTGTCGCTTTTGTTCTCGTGGGTTTCTTTCACTTGCAATTAAAATGTTTCTTTTGGTAAACAATATATATTTAGCCACAGCGGTTTTGTGTTTGTACGAATCTTAGAGAACTTGATCAAGCTTACGAGGCCGTAGCTTTGTCAACCTTCCCAGCGTTACTCATTCCTTTTCTTGGTTCCATTGAAATTCTGTTTCTGTCATTGAAATCGCTTTTGAGTGAATGCTTTGCTTTACATGAAACGAAGGGAGTCACAGGCATCATGATTTTGTTCAGCCTTTCCAGTTGATAAGCTGGAATTTCGGGGGCAAGGTCTCGCGATTTTTTCTTTCTCCTCTGACGATTTAGTGCTCAATTAGTGTTCAATGGGAACGCTAACGCCCGTGCTCAGAAGGAGGATAAACCGATGAAGTTATATTATGTTTTCAAGCACAGCTTAGCGATGTGATTCAAAGAAAATGGGCCAAGCTCATAACTCTAAATAGATTTAACATGTCAAAATTATCATTATTTTTTTGCACGCAGGAACAACTGCTTTATGAGCAGATTTCGGCGCAGATGGGACTAATATGGAAATATATTAGATGGAAACCAATATTTTGCTTTTATTATTGCGTGACCGGGCTTTTCGAATAACGCGCAACAATCCAAAGCTTTTCACTCAAAGGCAACGTTGGGCCAGTCTGTATGCCTGAAGTTGCTATATAGTACTGATTTTCAATGAATGAAGAGGCCTTAACTAATTGCAAGCCGTTGCCCAAGAGCAACTTTTACTCACAATCAGTATGTTGCTAAATCAATTGCGAATTATCTCCCTGTATCGTTCTGTTTTGCGAACTACAATGCGGTTTCACTTGGAGGAGTACGGTAGTTGTTGTAGAGTGATATTACTCAGACACTGGGACCGGCTGAGCCGCGGCCTCAAAAGGCCTTTCCGGCCCGTCCGCGGCCTTAATTTGGGGGCGTGGCCGAAGACCGGCCCAGCCGCGGACCTTAATTCATGTCGATATGATTGCACCGGCTGATCCGCGGACTGAATATGGCTTACCGGCCCAGCCGCGGACCGAATATGGCTTACCGGCCCAGCCGCGGACCTTAATTCATGTCGATATGATTGCACCGGCTGAGCCGCGGACCAAAATCTCTATTACGAAACACCGGCTGAGCCGCGGCCCATTTTCGGCTCGGCCGGTCCTAGTATCTGAGCGTAAAGAACACTTGCGTGATGTACGACGCATGCTCAGGCTGCCCTCAGTGTCCATAGCCTCCGTTGTCTTTCCAGTCTCCAAGGCAGGAACAAGACCAATATGTTGTACAACACTTGAATATGTTGTACAACACCTGGATAGCACTTTGTGTTGTCCAATTTTGAAGCCGGACATGGTCTCCGAAGCGGCCATGTCTGTGGCCTCAATTTTTGTTTTTCACAGCGTATATTTTACGTGCCAGTAAATAAAAAAAAACAGTCGTTTTGTATCCGAGCTAGAATGAACTAGATGGCCCTACAACCACCTCCGGCTGAGCCGCGGCCGTTTTCCGGCTGAGCCGAGGCCGTTTTTCGGCTGAGCCGCGGACCATTCACCGGCTGGTCCGCGGACGCTGCGAAATTCCAGCCGGAAATGGGCCGCGGCTCGGCCGGTCCCAGTGTCTGAGTAGGCTGGTAGTAAATGAACCTCTGTTGTATATATCTCTTGTGTTGTTTACAACAATCCTTAGAGGACTATATAAGAGCTTCCTTTTGCGGTAATATTCATTCTTCATTCTTCATTCTTCATTCTTCCATTTCTCCATTCCTGGTCTGTCATTGTACCAGTCGCCGATAAAGCACTGCTGTTATTCGTGTCCCGACTCCACAGAAAGATAGAAGACCACAACAACTGGCGATCAGCAAACGGATCGCGTGGAAAAAGACTACCCGAACCAACCCGAACAAGAATTGAAGATGACGACTACATCGACAGCATCACTGGAGCAAATGTTCCAACAGCTAATGGAACAGAACACTGCTCTCATGAAGACCAACCAGGAACTACTACAACGACTGCAACATCCTGCTACCCCACCGACATTAGCCGATTTCTCCGCACTCTCGTCACGAATACCATATTTCACCTATGATCCCGAGAGCGGCTGCACCTTTGAAAACTGGCTACTAAGATTTGAAGAAATTGTTCCTACATCAATGCCAGAGAAAGACCGCTGCTCACTCTTATCCGCGAAACTCGATAACGCCACACACGCCAAATTAAGAGGACATCTGGCACCGAAATTACCATTAGAGCTATCATTTCAAGAACTCACAAGAATATTGACATCATTGTTTGGAGAGAAGACAACGCTATTTCGACGTCGATGGAACTGTTTGCATGTCGTTAAAGACCCCGCAGAGGATATCGAGTCCTACGCTGCCCGAATCAACAAGATGCTGGTCGACGCCAAAGCTGACGAAATGAGAGGTGACCCGTTAAAATGCCTACTTTTCGTTATGGGATTGCAATCACCGTGCGATTCGCCAATAAGAGCCAGATTACTGAGCAAACTGGATGCCGAAAACGATACATTCAGGCTGCAAGACTTGATTGCCGACTATAACGCCTACCAGTCTGTGCAGAAGGATGCTGCCGTACCGCCTACGCCCGCTCAAGCTCAAGCCGTCGCTCCTGTCCGTAAGAAGAAGCAACGCCGACCCCAGCCGCAACGTACCCGACGCCCATCTGATAGCAAGGATCCGCCTGGACGTTTCCGCCGTGATGACGCGTGCTATATCTGTGGAAATAAAGGACACTGGGCCAACAACTGCCCGTCAAGGAACAGACCAGTCCGCCGTTCCATGAAGAAAGTTGTGAAGTTAAACGTACTGAACTCCCACCGTCGCTACGTGAATATCAAGCTGAATAACCTGAACATGAAGATGCAACTAGACACCGGTGCTGACGTATCGACAATCAACCGCAGGACGTGGATGGAATTAGGCTCACCAACCCTGAAGGCCGCTCCTGCCGAATTGAGAGCTGCAAATGGATCGCTGATCGAAGTGTATGGAGCTCATGAAATGCCGTTCACATGCAATGGATTTGATGGTGAGGGATTATTTTACATTACAAAAGACCTGTGTTTGCTAGGAATGGATGTGCTTCAACAGCTGCCGCCCTTCCGAGATGCTTTGTCTGCTATTTGCTGTGTCGTGGATGCCTCTTCGGTGCTGGACTACCGCCTTATGGCTGAGTTTCCAGAAGTTTTCAAAGATGAGTTAGGACATGTCAACAAGTTCAAAGCTCACCTCGTACTAAAGAAGGATGCCACGCCCGTCTTCGTGCCCAAACGAAAGGTTCCGTTTGCCGTAGAACCGCTCGTCAACGCAGAATTGGACCGCCTTGTCGCTATTGGAGTATTGTCACCTGTCGATTACTCACAGTGGGCTGCTCCTATCGTACCCGTCAAGAAGAAGAATGGAACAGTGCGCATCTGTGCCGACTATTCCACCGGATTAAATGACGCATTGGAGCTGAATCGACACCCCCTACCAACCGCTGAAGACGTTTTTACCAAACTAAATGGAGGAACAGTCTTCACCAATATCGACCTGCGTGACGCTTATCTGCAAGTAGAAATGGACGACGAAAGCAAAGAGTTGCTGACCATTAACACGTCAAGAGGACTTTTCCGCTACAACCGCCTCCCGTTTGGTGTGAAAAGTGCTCCCGGAATCTTTCAATCGTGGCCCTAGTTTTTGCCGTCAAGAAATTTCGCCGCTACCTTTATGGAAGAAGATTTACCTTGTTAACGGACCATCGCCCTCTACTCACCATCTTCGGGAGCAAGAAAAGAATACCGGCCTATACTGCTAATCGTCTTCAACGGTGGTCATTGACGCTACTGGCCTATGATTTCGACATCAGGTACTGCTCTACGACATCGTTTGGACAGGCCGATGCTCTCTCCCGATTGCTTTCCTGCCGGAGTGCGCCGGATGAAGACGTCATCATGGCTACCATAGAAGCTGATGTCTCCGCCACTTACGAGGAAACACTCGACCAGTTGCCAGTTACCGTGGAAGATGTACGTTCTGCCATGAAAAAAGATGTAGTGTTGATGGAGCTGTTCAACTGCCTACAAACAGGACGTTGGCCAAATGCACTTCCCGGAACGCCGTTGTTCAATTACAGAAGCTTGCAGAGGGAACTGTCTATTCACAACGGATGCATATTCTTCGGATCCAGGATCGTCGTTCCCGTTCTGCTAAGGAGGAAGGTTCTTCGCATGCTGCACGACGGTCACCCTGGACAAACCCGGATGAAGCTGCTTGCTCGCAACTATGTCTACTGGCCTAGTGTAGAAGAGGACGTTAAGAAGACTGTGGAATGTTGCCAGAATTGTGTTGTAGAGTGATATTAGGCTGGTAGTAAATGAACCTCTTTTGTATATATCTCTTGTGTTGTTTACAACAATCCTTAGAGGACTATATAAGAGCTTCCTTTTGCGGTAATATTCATTCTTCATTCTTCATTCTTCATTCTTCCATTTCTCCATTCCTGGTCTGTCATTGTACCAGTCGCCGATAAAGCACTGCTGTTATTCGTGTCCCGACTCCACAGAAAGATAGAAGACCACAACAGTAGTGCACGAGAGTTGACAGTGGATTTCTCGGCCAGTATATGAGCACCACTTGGGTAATGCAGCGCAAGCATATTTAGCTGAAGAGGGAAGGTATATGATTCGCAGTGGAGTTTCCCTATGAGGTGTATATCACTCGAAAGGTTTTTGAGCGCTGTTTTCATAACAACTTTCCATATCTGCTTATCGGTTTACTGAACAAAGTTAGAGGCACTTTTCCGTGTCCAATTTGCATGGTAGGGACTTTGTAAATGACCTAAATTCGTAGTAAATGCGAATTTGGTCCAAAGTTACATGCCCAAAGTTTGAGATATATTTACTGTGCATAGAAAAATTGATGACATTAGTTTTAGAGCTACTCTGCTGCCTTAGTCCTGCAATGAGCAACCAAAATCAGTGCCATTTGAAGCCAAAGAAATGCCTGTAACTTTCAGTAAACCGATAAGCAGATATGGAGGGGTTGTTTTGAGATCAGCGCCCAAAGACCTGTCGACTGATATACACCTCATAAGGAAACTCCATTGCGAGTCATATACCTTCCCTTGTGAGTCTTAATTATTCAGCGCATAAGAAGCGAAGATATAGAGTTGTTTGGCTTTGCCATCGATATCTTGTAAGTAGTGCACTGGTGTTTTATTTGCGATCATGCCGTTTCCAGATTGCCTTACATTTCTACAAATTTTCCGTCTAGATATGTATACGAACATTCGCGGAAGATCATGAAGTCAGAGCGAAAAGTTGAGGACAGCTTCAAGCTTTTGGAGAAGTTTACATCGGTTGATAAGGGTGAGCATACGCAGAATGGTTTTGAAACTGTCTCTTGAACGGCTTATTCTCTTTTTGCTGTTCCGAAGAACCCTTTTCAGATCTTGTTTGGACGCAGTCGAATTGCGACCCGTTTGCTGCTATTCTAGCTTTGTTGGAAAAAGAGGAGGTAACCTCCTTTCTGATCATCAACGATTGCCAAGAAGTATAGTAACTTCAGAACTTACCGGAATGTCCTTCTTCGTGTCGTTGTGGCCAACGGCCCTATCCCCATGAGATTGCTACTACATCTAAGTCGTCTTCTCACCATTTTGAGCCGAATACATTTTTCGACGTGAGAGTTCGTTATGGACATTTGATCATGCTGGTGTTTCGCGAGGCGAGTCCTTTTTTCGTTGTTTTTTCTCCGTATCTAATCCGATTCATAGATAGCACATGGATTGACATCCGCAAATGAAAGTGAATCTTTGGAAAAATCTATGGAAACCCCTGTTGTTTCGCTGAAAAATTCTGCACTATTATCATCTGCTTTTCAATTTTTCATTCTTACATGCGTGTCGCCTTACCTTGATCAAGGTCAGTCACTTCATAGAATCTGCAAAAAGCTTTAAATTATATTTTTGGTCATTTTAGGTGTCGGTATTCCATTACAGTTGCGATCGCATGTAATCAGATCCTGGGAGAAATGTGCAAGCGATCAAGAATTCAAGAGGGCCCAAGTACGCTTAGTTTTCCAATTGTCTAAAATTTGCCATGACATAACATTCAGCTTATTCTTGCTGGTGAATGCATAACGGATCTTCTTGACTGTGACGATAACGTTCGTACAACACTGCTTAGAAAATACTGCTCGGATATTGTATGCGTTTTCGAGCAGGTAGTGTTGATCCAAATTTTTTTTAATAGTTATGCGTATATGACTGTTGCAGTTTATAGTTGTTGTTATTGGATGATACCAGCTTGTCTAAGATTTATGAGAGAATCATGGGGTTGCTTGACCCACAGCTTTTGGTCTGCACTTACCTGGGTTTGCTGAAGCCGAGAGGTGGCGTATCGCCTCCAAAGAACTTCGTAGTAAGTTAGTTACGCAGTACGACTCGCATGCTTTTTTAAAAAGAGTATTTTGATGTTCGTGTGTTAGATAGGGTTATCCTGTCGTTTCAGTTGTCCATCGGTTCGCGTCTTACAAACATTTTGATGGCGAAAGGTGGTCTCGGAGTTACACTGTCATCGTATGAAGAAATCAGTTGGTGTTTGTCAATTTTGTCCAGAGAAATTACTGATTTTCGATTTCAAGATGGCGAACATTTTTGGCAAAACACTCCATTTTTGACGAGTCTTGCGAAGCAGTTTGCGCTCCCTCCAAAGAAAAGCAAGAAGATGTCTTATTATAGGAACATGACTGCTCAGTTTATTGAACTTATCACTGTGAGTCACTTTCCTCCACTGCTTATTATGCTTTTTATTACACATGGCAAGGCCGCTCTCTTGATCAAACTGCAATAATTCACGTCGGATCCATTTCGAGTTTGCTATGTCTTATTCAGAGGTGCGATAGTCGGAGCCGATTCTCCGCCTACCTTCACTTTTGAGCTGGTACGGGGTGACCACCTTCACTTTTCGGTTTGAAAAATTTTTTTTGCTGAAGCTCAAAAGAAGGAAAATAAGCAAAAGGGATGTAAAAGAAAGTATTAAGAGCATATATCTATGTAGTAGGTCGATCCAGGCAGTAACCGCCGAGAACCAGAATTTCGAATGATAAAATAATGAAAAATCGTGAAAAATCATTCCACTGTTACAAATCAGCTGGCTGAAGACCTCCGCAGTTGCGACTTCATAGGTTTTGAAGGGTAAGTGTTGTTCTATCAGACAGCGAAAGAATCAGTTTGATTTGAGGAGTGGCCGCCGAGAACGAGAATTCTGAAAACCCTTAAAAATCTCCTCAATTTTAGGTTGTTCAATGACAACTGACATTTAAACTCTTATAAATCCTGACTTTGAAGGTGTGTGATGTTGCGACTTCATAGGTTTTGTAAAGTGAGGTTTGCCTTATTAGAACATATCTTAGCTGTACCGATCCATTGAAACGTCGCCGAGATCCAGGCTCCTAAAGAAGCGGGTAAAAAACCGTTTTTCAGCTCATAACTTCTTCAGAATTGCATGAATCATGTTGCGACTTCATAGGTTGGATTCTCCTCATCAAGAGCTTTCAGATGATATATAATATGTGGGGGGTTCACGCCTTCCACGGCATATGCCCGGGGGTGGAGTACTCCTCTTCACTAATTCTCCACCCCGCCCATTTCAATGTATTGGCGGGAGGCCGCCAGTGGAGAATTAGTGAAGAGAGGTACTCCACCCCCGGGCATATGCCGTGGAAGGCGTGAACCCCCCACATATTATATATCATCTGAAAGCTCTTGATGAGGAGAATCCAACCTATGAAGTCGCAACATGATTCATGCAATTCTGAAGAAGTTATGAGCTGAAAAACGGTTTTTTACCCGCTTCTTTAGGAGCCTGGATCTCGGCGACGTTTCAATGGATCGGTACAGCTAAGATATGTTCTGATAGAGCAAACCTCACCCTACAAAACCTATGAAGTCGCAACATCACACACCTTCAAAGTCCGGATTTGTGAGAGTTTAAATGTCAGTTGTCATCAAACAGCCCGAAATTGAGCAGATTTTTAAGGTTTTTCAAAATTCTCGTTCTCGGCGGCCACTCCTCAAATCAAACTGATTTCTTCACTGTCTGGTAGAACAACACTTACCCTTCAAAACCTATGAAGTCGCAACTGCGGAGGTCTTCAGCCAGCAGATTTGTAACAGTGGAATGACTTTTCACGATTTTTCATTATTTTATTATTTGAAATTCTGGTTCTCGGTGGTTACTGCCTGGATCGACCTACTTTATTCGCAGTACGTTATGACAAAATCTACTTAATGAAATATGTAAGGTCTAACTGGGATTTACTTACAAATAGACCATTTCAATAACATATTTATTTCTTTTTATTTTATTTTTATGCCGCTATACTCATCGTATTTGTGGCCCTAAAGAGGGCCGTTAGGTCACACTTGTTGGCCCTCAAGGAGACCGTTGGGTCAGAGTTCTTCAATTATCCGAAGTCTTCTCCCTCCCCCCCCCCCCGGTCGACGTTTTTGGGAGGTGAGTGTCCGGCACTACCACCTTCACTTTTGGCCGGCCAGTGGTAGCTGGAACCACCTTCACTTTTGGGGGGCCCGGCTCCACCTATCGCACCTCTGGTCTTATTCCTTCGCTAAAAGCGCTTGACATTTCAAATGGCAAAACTAGCTATTCTATGGCAACAAAACAGCGAATCAACATTGCTAAATATTTTTCATCTGCATATGCTGTTGACAGACTGCTAAGTTCTCCCGCACGAAAGTTGCTGCTTTGTTCTCCATGTTCGTCGAGGAAATGCGGAGTAGGGAGCCCGTTGCTGCTGATATATTCGTTGATGATACTTTGTTTAAAGTGTGGGAGGTTAGTGTATTCATTTTTAACTTTTGCGTGTGGAAGAACATCATTCAGGCATTGCCATCTTTGCCACATCCTGCGTGGACCAACGATCATGCTACTTCTCTCATTCTGCTGCGCCTATGGAGTGATGGAAATGCGAGTGCGCGCAATTTGAAGGCAAATCAACGTTTTTTGCCCGTATGTATCTCTTTTTTCTCATCCTACTTTGAAATGTATTAATCTTAGTGCGTTGCCGTTCTTCTGTCTTTGCTGTCAGTTTCTGATGTCGACAAGAAAACTTCCCTTACTAGCGTCGTCGATGATATCTTTGCCATATGCAGATCTGCACTGAAGGATGTTGAAAACCTGGCAAGTTCTAACTTTCACTTATTCTTCATTGTTAATATATTTTCAGTCTGACCTTCTGCTTAGCTTTATCAGTGATCCTTCACCTTCTTTTGAGATTACGCAGCAGCGAAGCCTTGTACAAGAAGTTGATATGAAAATCTGTAAGTTGATGATGATTTCGGTTGTTTTATATTAGTGGAATGTCTGTGCAGCTTTGTACGGAAATGTGGCATTGTCTCGAGCTGTACTTAACAGAGAACAATTGCTTGCGAGAAGAATCGATTCGTGCTTGTCTTTTGTAAAAGTTGGTATTTTTCTATAAAATAGCGAAAATGTTGTGTTCCATTCTCTTTGCTTTCAGAGCTTGGATAAGCCACTCTCCAGTCACCTACTAGTTGAAATTGCTTGTAAATGTGTTCAACGTTGGAGCATTGATGTCAACGTGCCTCGTTTTATCCGGGACCTCTCGGCAACCAGTGGTGAGATTTTCCTGTTTTGGTTAGCCTTCGTTTACACAGTGATTCTGCAGTGCTGCCTCAGTCCTCTTGGCACTTCATAGCTGGTGTATTCTTCGAGCAGATACAGGACAGCGATATAGATTGCGCTGATAGGAATACAGTCATATCTCTACTCAGACTATCTCAGGTACTTCTTTTACATCATGTGCGTGCATTAAACGCAGTTAGATTGTTTGCAGGAAATTATACGCTCTACAATGCAGTATCTTCAAGAGCGCAGTAAAAAATTGAGTTCTCTGGATATCATTGCTGTTGAGAGTGAAGAAGATCGTCAGCTTCACGTAACAGAGTTGCAAAACGCAAAAATGGCTGTTGGACTGGCTGGAGCAGTTGTCGTGACAGCCTCATTGGATGAAGAGGTATTGCGGTTGGAAGTATTGATAGCTTAGTATTGATTTAGATCTCCTCTGAACTCTCTAAAACTTGCGCGGTCATGTCGTCGTTTTCTAAGCTGGTGAACGATTTGAAGTGCAGCGACGAAGATGTGTTGGTCATAGGGTCAGATGCGCAAAAGTTGGCCAGCTTGTTTGAGAAGGAGCAATCATCAACTGAGGTTACACACTCTGTCACGAGTAAAAAGTAGGTTTTCTTAGTCACTTATGTAATAGCCACATTGTATGGCCTTGACATTTTTTTTTCAAATATTTTCTGCGTACTAATCATCCGTTGTTGCTGCTCTTGGAAATGATTTACGTTAATAAGCGTCATGACAAACTACTAATAATCACAAGTAATGTTGGCTGCGTAGGATCAGAAAGCACCGTAGTTTCGGATCTAGACTTGAAAATGTAGTATTATATCTATATCTGTCTTGCAATGGTTGCATGTTTCAGGGAGTCCGCTGTGGATGTGGTGGAAAGTATGCGAGAACGTATAACACAAGATTCTCCTGTAGATCGTGGTGGAGCTCTTCTTGACGTAGGTCGCTTGATACGATCGCGAAGTCCCACTATATTGTTGCAGCTCGAAGAATGGCTGTTTGAAGCGATGAAAGGTAGGGATAGTTGTCATTTGTAGAAGAATACCTTCATAGTCCTTTTTTTGCATTCTCTTCAAGAATTTCGGTAAACACAAATTTTCGTCTATAACAATAAGTGTTATATATACAAGTTTGAATCGTTATTTTTGTACTAATCTCCTTCGTTCCCACTATTCGCTTCTGCAGAGCTCTATCAAAGATGGTTTCATGATTCAGGAGCTCTCTTTGATCACGACTCTTATGTGTATTTGGCTGCTATTAATGCGCTTGCCGAGGCATCCTGTTACAGTTCAAAGTATCTGCGCGAAATGATCTCCCTGTTCAAAGATTTCCAAGTTCCTTCAACTTCTTCTGCTCCGCAGGTACGTCCAGGCGTTTTCGGTGCCTTAGCTGTTCTGGAATCTTTTAGGCTGATCCCATACAAGAGTCTGATGCAGTTAACGGAGAAAATCCTGTCAGCGTCGAAGTTGTCGTCCGATCAAGACTCTGCGAAGCGATTGGAAAAGTATTCAAAGAGCTAGGTTGGCGATTGATAAGATTTCTATGTTCTGAGCGAGTGAATGTTACCACTCGATCAGGATTTTTTTATTGACGTCACTGTTTAAGGAGAAATGGGCCCGGTTTGGATGGACGAATGTGCTGGCGATTTCTTAGCTTGCTTTTCCGAAGACGATGAGATCCTTAGGGCTAGCTCAGTACAGTCCTTAGCTGAACTCGTCCTAGCTTGCCGAGGCAAAAATATAGAGAAATATCTAAACGAAGTAGGCTTTATACTGGAAATTTCATGATTCCTCATATATTTTTTGCAGATACTTCTTCTCGTCGAAAACGCGCTTACATCTGAATCTAGTGCCTTAGTAAGGCGTGCAGCAGTGAATCTTCTTCGTCAAATTATCAAATCATGCGACACCATGATTTTTGAGGTATTCTTTGGCATTTTATTAGGGATTACATATCGATATTATCCATAGGTTATTGGCTCCCGGTTACGAGATTTGCATCGGCAAATTCTACACCTATGGCGCTTTGACCCTGATCATGTCGTACGACTGCACGCAGAGTTGGCTCTTGAAGAGATGAAAATGTCCATAAAAAATGTCGTCATGGAGGAGACGTCTAGTACTCGTACTATCAAAATTTGATTCTTGTTATGCATTGTTGATAAATTTCACAAGATTTCATGTGGACCATGTGTCGCATGGTGTTGTACCTAATACTGTGCAAGTTTCGCTCGTGATTGCTTCTGTACGTATTTGATTTTTTATCAGGATTGGTTGATGAATAAAGTGGACGTGGCAGCAATTGCAGCTACTGTGCAAGAATTTTATCAGACAAATAATGCTGAGCGTCGAAAGCAGTTGGATGAGGATCTTTGTCAATTTAAAGATAGTAAGTGGAATTTCGATTTGATCTTTCTAAATAACTGTCTTTGCTTTGTAGGGTTCTCCTGCGATGATACGGTAGCCGCCTGTATCTTGTTAATGGGTGGTCGATATCCGGCAAATGTGCAATATTTTGGAGCTATATCTCTGTATGAGACCATCAGACAGCGATATGAGGAATGCGTGGCAAATATTGCTCTTGTAAGGCTTTATTTTGATATGAGTAACAATTGTAGATGATATGATAAATTTAGATGGAAGTGCTGAAATCGTTTCTTATTGAAAACCTCACTTCGAGTGCTCATGTCCAGCTGCAATCCATCACAAATAAACTGTCATCTGCATTAGCAATACTGTCTCTCTACTGTATCCCGGATGTTTGGCCTGATCCTGTGGCAACTCTCACAAATATCTGGGCAGCCCAACCGGAACTGCTACTAAGGTTGATTTCAGAATTCACCCATGTAAATAGCCCAGCCACTAATCACATTATATTCAGGGTACTTGCCGAGATTGCTGCTGAATTTTCAAACATCAAAATGCCACTTACTCAACGAAGCAAATTGAAAACTGAACTGCACAGAACTTCCGAGGTAAGAATTTGGATCAGCTTTATGTTTATTTTGTCTCAGCAAGGATTTCTTAGTATTTTGCTTTTTTTGTTTTTTTTATTCAGGTTCTTTGGTTTTGTTCGTTTCTTTTTTGTTTGGTTTTTGCTGCTCGTGCTATGTCACTATCTTTATGCTGTTGTTTTTGGCTTCATCAGTATACTTAAGGACATCATTCGCATCATTTCTACTGTCATGGGGGCTGAAGATGCTTCCCCTTCCACCCGACAAGCTGCTGTTGAGTGTGTCGAACAGTGGATCAAATTGCCCGGGGTTGGGTTGCAACAGTGGGCTTCTGTTCTATCCGTAGTTTTTGGAGCAGTTGCCGAAGACAGGTAATTTTGCTGTGCCGTTCGGTGTGCCTTCGTGTAAATAAAATAGCATGTTAAGTGCCGCACTAACAAATCTGCTCAACATCCTTGCGGCTAATGATGAATTAGCATCCACTGATCAGCTGGTCAATGATTTATGCCACTATATCACCACCACTGTTGCTCAGGTATTTTGAATAATCAAGACTTCTCTCCATCGTCCAAGGTTTTTTGTAGAAGTTGTCGACAGACATCGCTGACGATGTTGACAGTGATGAATTCGTGTCTCTCGTCTCCGCCATCTGTACCGTCGCAGTCACTGCTATCCCTACGCTTCTAAAAAATGCCAAGAAAAATGGGCCAGAGTTGCTTTGGTGAGTGTGCTGTATACATATATCGAAGGTAATGTCGTTGTCGATACATCAGAAATTGCTATCGTCATATTAACCTCATCTCTGTTGCAAATATTAGGTTGAACCGAAAGTTCTGTCGCACCATTTTCAAAAAATCATAACTTCTTTCGGTCACGACGATTTTGCGCAATTCAAATTTTATCTGAAAGCGTAAAGCATGTAGTTTCCAATAGCTCCCTAGGGAGTTTCCGACATGCTCAGGTGGCAGAGATAAAAATGAAAGAACGAGATCATCCGAAATTCAGGATTTTTAAGCAAGAATTCTAGAAATTCAGAAACTGTGCCATAAAATCCAGAAAAGCCATTATCCTAATTTTTCTTACATTTGATTACTAACTGAGTCAAGTTTGTGCTGATCGAGCCCTTCCCTCAAAAGTTGTGATTTTTTGAAAAATAATGCCGAAAAATCAATTTCCTAAGAATTCCTAAGAAATGGATTTTTTGGCATTTTTTTCAAAAATTCATAACTTCTAAAAGAAGACCTCGATCAGCACAAACTTGACTCAGTTAGTAATCAAATGTAAGAAAAATTAGGATAATGGTTTTTCTGGATTGTATCGCACTGTTTCTGAATTTCTAGAATTCTTGCTTAAAAATTCCGAATTTCGGATGATCTCGTTCTTTCATTTTTATCTCTGCCACCTGAGCATGTCGGAAACTCCCTAGGGAGCTTTTGGAAACTACATGCTTTACGCTTTCAGATAAAATTTGAATTGCGCAAAATCGTCCTGATCGAAAGAAGTTATGATTTTTTGAAAATGGTGCGACAGAACTTTCGGTTCAACCTAATATATCTATTGTTATATTCTTGTCCTTCAAAAAAAAAAAGACTGCAGCCGGTCTAAAAAAAGTTCTATGCCCGAGCGCTTGTCGCAGCAGACCGTGTGTCTCCCAACTGCATCCCATCAGTATGGAGTGGCTTTCATCGTGAATTTCCCTTGTTGTATACTAAGAAGTCTAATGGAAAAACGAAGGGTCCATATTCTCTGGGAAAAGCCACGGCGTTGGCAATTGTATTTTGAAGAACAGTTATGGCACATAGAAAAAAAGTAAAATATACCAATAATATCTTCATGAATGCCCCGCATTTTCATTTAGTGAACTCTGTTCGCTCCTGGCCAGTATCAGCTCCTGCGATGGTTTCTACGCCGTAGATGAACTGATTTCGGACATGCCTGCACCCTTTTTCACAACTCTTCGAGAACATATCGGCTCAATTGCTTCATGTAGCAGGCAGGACAACACTCTTAATGTTGGTCGCACCTTCATGAGGTATCTATTTTAACATTTCATGTTTCACTTTGAGGTTGCAACAGCTGTAAGTTCTTATTATGCGGAAGTCTGTCGAACCGCAGTGGCGAAGATGTCGTTCCCACCAGACGAATGCTTCAAGCAATACGACAAAGTGCAAAGGGAGCAATTTTGCAGGTTTTTGACTGTGCACCTTGAGTTCAACTATTGTGTTTTAAATGCTCGTATGTTTCTAGATACCGGTTAGCGAGGAGTGAAATATCGATAGATGCATATTTTATGACTGGTAGAGAGACGTTACAATTTTTGAATCAGGAGTTGGAGCAGTCTATAGCCAAGAGAGATTTGTGCAGGTAACCCGAAAAATCATTCTTTTACTGTCCTACTTAGAATCCTACTATTAAGGATAGAAGCTATTATGTACCTCTGGGAAAACGTGGCGGATTATCTGAGCGAAGCAGATTATGCCGAAATTTGCTTCAATCTCGAACTATGCACCCGACTGTCAGGAATAGGTGAAGGAGTGGACGCAGATAGACTAGCGAACACTATAATGCGACATCTTCATGCGCTTTCACATCTCATACAGGAGCACGATAACGTAATCTCACTTTGGTCCTTTAATTATTCGAACTTTTATCGTACGCCTCTCCAGGCCGCTGAATTCGAAGGTCATGTTGTATGCTTGGTTCTTCCATTTGTTGCACGGAAAGGGGTTAGCATAGAGGCACTTCGTACCCTTGACAAGTTTGTCTCAGAGCGGTCTAATGGGATTAAGGTCAGCCATCTTCGACATTCAATCAGTTATATTCGTTTCGAGTTGAAAACGGAGCTCTTTCCTTACCATTGTTATGGAAGATCAGAGCTTGTAGTTGAGATGCTGTGAGGAAGTGATATTTCAGCGCGTGGACAATGAAATATCCCAATGTTGTTATTCTTTCTTCATGGATGAAACAAACAACCAAGATTTGCGTTTACAAGCACTCAAATGCATTGGTTATGTTCTGTCAACGAAGTCGCAAAGTGATGTCATGGTATACTTCATCTGCATACAATTTTTTTAGCACTGTAATCCTAGTAAATTCTTCCAGAATATTCTGAACAATGTCGTATCACATCATCTACAAGGAATGGAGAATGGGGATGCTGTCCTTTCACAGGGCAAAATAGAAGAAATAAAGTTTCAAATCAGCATCTTCATGTGCTTGTTCAGTAGCTTGAACAGCAAAGGTATTCAACATTCATAAGTTAATCAACTCATTCTCCGTTATTTTATTCCATTTTTTAGAAACCGCACGTTCCGATGAGTCTCCGATTGTGTTAATTTTTCGACAAGTATTCCCAGTTTTCCGGAATTTCCTCGAATTGAACGAATTACCCACTGCTGTCGGTGACAAGGTATCTCAAAGCAGACAGAACCGCCAAGCTTTGCAAAAATTCTCCAAAATTTAGGTTTGCGATGCTGTACGCAGTGCTGTCTCAAATTTTCCTGCGGAGCATCTGCCTGAAATGCTGCCCATGGTCTCCGAACTGCTTTCTAGAGCTCTTTTCACAAATCCTTCTGCTGGATGTACACTGGCAAAAACTGTAGTGTTGGCACGTTTTACGTTATCTGCAGTATACCGCATTTTCGTTGTCACTTTTTGAATAGAATTGCTTGCAGGTGTTCGGACACAACGCTTCTACTACTCCACCATTGTGTAAGTGCATTCGGGAATGGTTGGAGTCCTTTGCGCAAACCTTGCCATCTCAATCTGTAGAGGAGTGGTTATCATTGATATACCAGGTAGGAGTCTCAGATTTCCCAGCTATAAAATCAAGTACTAGCTTGCTTCTCATTATTCATCGTTGTCCTTTTCTATATTCTGTTCAACTTACGCGATCTTTACTCACAGACTGCTTGATAAATTTTCAGTTTTTGTTCTAAATGTCATTCTTGGGGATTCTAGTTGGTTTAATCAAAGATGCTTTTTGAATGTATTATTGCATTTCCTTCATTTCAACACGTAGTGCGTCTTAGAGGGCGTGAGAGGAGCATTCTCTGAGGCTCTCAGACTTTCTGTGGAAGGAGACATTCTGCATCTGTGCTTTTGAGAGAGACATCCCACCCGGGCAACAGTTGCTCCACAAGCAAAATCACCTTTTAGAGGCGGATGCTTAGGGTGCCTTCATACCGCGCCGGCAGCCGCCGCTAGCAGCCCATAGCAGCCCGTAGCAGCCGCTAGCAGCCCGTTGCAGCTGCCAGCAGCCCGTAGCAGCCGCCAGCCGCCGCTAGCAGCCCGTAGCAGCCGCCAGCAGCCCGCAGCAGTCCGTAGCAGCCCGTAGCCGCCGCTGGTGGTTTTGTTATAGTAGCGCAGAATCATCGGAAAACTACTTTGAGTGCTCCTGCCTATTCTTCTGTTGCTGCCAGTGGGTAGTTCAATGTCACAAATCATATTTGTGTCCATTTCATTACAATGTCGCCTCACGGTCATCCTGTTAAACCATATTTAGAAGTTTCTTTCCGGTGTGATTCCCTCTGACTTTGGATGAGTCCAGTTTCTGCAGGTGTGCAATTTGTTTACTTTTTGAGTATGCTTTTGCTTCAATCTTCTTCTTGGCTATCGGTGCATATCTGAATTGCATTTCACTATTTCGCAAGTTCGCCGAACTCGCGGGTGGGTTCTTACAACTTTGACAATGGCTCACATTCGTTTCAGACAAGACAGATTGCAAAAGTGAAATTTGGGCACCGATATGCAATGTGCGGCAGCAATAATGAACACAAATGTAATATGTAAAATCGAATTACACACTGACGACAACAGAAGAAAAAGCGCGGAAGATGAAAAGCGTAGGCAGGAGCAGTCTAAGTAAGATTCTGATGATTCTGATAATTTTGCGCCTCTATAACAAAAGCGGCCAGCGGCGGCTACGGGCTGCTACGGGCTGCCAGCGGCGGCTGCTGGCACGGTATGAAGGCACCCTTACGTCGGCCGTTTCAACATTCAAAATTGCTGCTTTTACGTTTTCGGGAGCTCTAATGTACACTTTTGGACTCAGCTCACAGAATAGAATGATTCAAATCGAAATATCGAAATGACGAGACAATCTTTCAAGCAGATCAGTCGTCTCCGCTTCAATCAAAGCATCCCCTCCAACCGGCATCTTGCGAGTGTCTCACGTGGTGTTCGCGGAGGTTTGGCTTGATCGGTCAAATCGGCCCATCGAGAGCTAGGCGCAGGAGACCTCGCGCTGAAGATGACGGATGCGTAGGTGCTCGCAATAGAGACAAAACCATTGAGACAGAATGTAGGCATATCTATCATCAAAGTGGCTCCTTCAGAAAGTCAAAGTGCTTTCGAATTTCGCGCATCCACAGCCTTTTGCAGATTATGAAGAAGAACTATAAAATGTTGCGAGCAAACGGCGAGGAATCACTATCTTCCATTTCAAGTGCAATACTGATCGCGGGACAGGTATAACCAAAATGCTTGTTTGTTCATCTATGTTCTTACCAGCATGGATTCACTGTTTTAGACTTTGGCCGATTCTCGGGAGCCATGTGTTGTTCGCTTGGCATCGCAGGTACTAGCGATCATAGCAACTCAGTGCACTTCATACGGTGATGAAGCTCCAAGACTTTTGCTAGCAAGGCATGGACCAGAACTTGTCAAGGTTGGTCGTTGGCATTGTTCAATAAAATTTAGATGATGATGCTGATGTAGTTCGACTTTCACTTGTTTTTAGACTATATTCATACGTATACAGACGGAACTTATTCGTGCAACGGTTGAATCCCTCGCGGAGGTGCTATATTTCTTTGCGAAAGAATTTTCTGCTGAGACGAGGTGATTACGACACATCGATTACTCCATCATCAATCAAAGTTTACAGAACTGTTCTAAACGGGATGGAAAACGGTGACTCTCCTCTAGTAGCTGCAATGTTCAGAGAGATCGGAAATTTACGTAATTTCAAGCAGATGACTTTGAGGCTCAATATGGCTTCATTGAAAGACATGCGCTCGTAGATGACTCATAGAACTCGTACAATTTGTGGGTTTCTTGCTGCTTTTATTCTCTCTTCACTTTTCAGTTGGATGTTGCTACACTTCTTATATGCAGAAACTTTTTGTTATTACTAGTACGAATGGCATTTTTTCTTTTACGTCCAAAAGTCGTTGTTCCTTGTATAAAGCTAGCCTTCAGTGCAGAAAAGTTATCGTTAGGTCAAGTTCAAAGTGTGTGGAGATAAGGCAGTCTGCTCGCATAAATTTTGTCCAAAAAACCCTCTGATTCATGCAACTAGGCTGCATAGTCTCCAACAAACTTTATGAGTGGAAGCCGACGATAACTTCTCACTCTGCAAAGCTCAACTTGAAAGCAAAGAGTTTAGAGCTAGCTGTTTAAGTCTTTCATCATAGAACGAGTGGTTATCGCTCACTGAAATATATGCATCAGTGTTGTGTTCGCTTGAGTAGTAAAAAAGACTGCAGCTTTCTAGTTATTTCAGGTCTCCATTCTTACTCTTTAGTTGTTCGTCATTGCACCCAGTCTATACGTTTTGATTGTCTAATTTAATTACGTTGTAATCTTCGCATGCGATATTTGGCCATACTGTTTTCATTACTATGTGTCTGCTAGTTCCGTATACTCTAGTGCCGTTTACGGGTGAGATTGTGCGCAATCTATAAAGATTCTTATTCGCTTGAAGACTTTTCCAAATGATAGACCATCAGTACAGAAAGACGTTTATTGTTGAGAAAATTCTTTTTAACCCCACAATCAAACTATCATGAGGCTGAGCATACCTCGCGTGGTTCCATGGGATGAACGCTTTTGGGGCATGCCTTTGTAAAATTAAGCAAACGTATCGTCCTTTCTTGCGCAAAGTCAAACTAGTCATGGAAACATCCAGTACCAACTTGTACGAAGTATGCTCAACACCCAGCGTTGTAACTTACAACCATTGACGTCATTTTGAGCAATACATGTGATACCCAAATGATATTGATATGAGGGCTTTTAATCACCAATTCCTATCAAGGTGGCATATGCAGTACTGTTCTGCTGCTTGGCGAGATCTTGTACACGTGCAATGAAAGTGGGCAGTATTTTCTGAAAATGAGATACTATTGCAGATACTAGGCTTCCATGGTGTATTTGAAATCTACCACAGTCGGAAATAATGAGTCGGCAGTGTCCCAACAAAATTTCGTTTTCCAGATTCATCTTTTCGGAGCCTTCTCACCGCTGAACCCCTATATGGACTTTTCAGCGAGCGAAAATGGCAAAAATAAGCTTTTTCAAAGCTTTTACGTCCGCATTCGCTGCAAAATGCGTGTAAGTGGGCGGGTTTGGAACGAAGGGGCGAGGTCCGGAAGACTTCTGGGGGTGGATTTTAGGCCTTCCAGATGCGCTTTCTCGTTCCAAACTTCACCGATAGATTAACTGGGGGTCTGCTATTGCAATGCTGTAAAATCCCGGCACCCATCATTTTGCCGGAACGCTGTCTTTAATTCAGATTTGTGTGCCTGAACCGATCTGAGTCTGAGGCAATGACCAGGCAATGACCAATTATCGGAAAACAGTTGATATGTGGTGATGAAAAGTGCACTTATGAACAGCCACAGAGATTTTGTACATTGAAAATCGGCATTTTAGTTGACCCGTGTAAAAATTCGAATACCTGTAATTTGACGCGAATCACGGCAAACTGAGTGAGACTGTCTGATGAAGGTGTTTCATTGGATTCCAAATCCGCAAAAAATTCATTGCATCTATTGCAGAGATCGTATGATATTTGAATTATAGAAAGGATAATTCCATAGATTTCCTGGAAAACAAAATGCTTACTACACGAAGATGCTGTAGAATATTGTTGATTATTGAAATTTTCTGCAACAAACGATGCACTGTTAGCTGTAGTGGCGCAACATGACTGAAAATATCAAGGCAAAGCAAAAAAGTTCAGTTAGTGTGTTACTTTTTTTTGATGAAAACGACTACATTTGTTCGAAGATCATTATAACCTCTGAGTTTTAACACTGCACAGATAAAAGAAAAAGATTCTTTTCGCCTGTACCACTTCCACTATGTTTCTCCTACGATGGTTTACAATGAAAATTACCTCAGTATCGTTCTGCAAGAAGAATGATGTAGTCAAACCATCCAGATATTTGAGATGAGCATCTACGATCGAATCGTAATCTATAGCCTCGTCTATCCAACAACGAAGTTTCTTGAACCATTGGTTCACCTAAGAAAGCATAGAATCCAAAATTCACTCGCAAGCTCGATTGTCAGTAAAAACATTAACAGGGACAACACGCACCATTTCAACTATATATATCCGGATTCGAAGGAGAACTCGTTCAGCACATGTCAGCAGACTTGATATGAGCCGTAACGAAGAAGATTCTGGAAAATTATGAGTCGCACTGTGAAATCAAATGATTAATTTTCTTACCATGTTTATTTCTTCTTCGAATGGGTGTCTCTCCCATAGAAGTGGTACTCTCAGAAAGCATGAACAAGCACATTTCGACAGGCCATACGAATTGAAATAGTGCTTCATATCTAAAAGCTCTTTTAGCGTAACGCAGTAATGACTCCCAAAAACGAACTTTCTGTCTGTCTCACTGAAGATTTTCAAGACTGGTTCTGCAGGATGATAGAAGGGATGAAGCGGTTGCACAAACTGCAGACGAGACGACGTGTTAGGCGAGTCATTGGCCGGAAATTTGCAGTTAGACAAAACATCAACAAAAATAAATTACCAGTGAAACACCTACTGATGACAATGTATCCAAATTCACACGGAAAGGAAATCGCTTGACGATGGGTGACATGGCCGCTGCAGCCACTAGCGCATTGCTAGCGTCTCGCTGTGATAGCTTGCTGCGAAGCCCATGAGTACTCTCGCTAAAAAGTTACCTCATATTAGTTGAAATTTGCTGAAAAGATCTATACCAAAATTTCTGGTAGAGACTGAGTGAAAACGTCGGATCATGCAGCAAAAGAAAACAACGAGCGGCATCAAAGTGATCCATTATGTGATATTCCTTCACAAACGAACGCACTACATTGCCACAAACAAGGCTGCAGACGTCGCTTACAACTCTTTCAAGCTTGTACCGTTCACCTAAGAAGGAAAGTTGGATAGTGAAGTAGATAATGTCAACTGGTACCACTTACGGAGGAGATAAAAGGCTTTCGGGGTCAATTGTGTCGCGATTATGTTCTTAGCTTTATCCAAATTCTCAGTATTTTTCTTACAGTCCATCGATTTCCACGATTTTTCAATCTTCATAATCTACAAGCGAAGAACAATCATCATTACTATGAAAATTCCTAGGAGCTAACTTACATAATTAGCAGTCCACGGTGACAAAAACGAGGGGATCTCCATCAGGTGATCAACGTCCATCGGATATCGCTGAAGAGCCTTCTGCAGTAAGATTTGATATTGCTTTCAATTTTCAAGTTTGCTTTTCGCAAAAAGCGTGACATGAAAGAAAATCGAGAAGTAAGAAACCAAAAAGTCAACAAACACTCGAACCCACCTCATCATTTTCCTCGACCTCACAGCCACTTACAAGACGGGAAATAGAACGGCATAGCATCTCCGAACATCTGTGCATTACCTGGTCAACGACACTGAAAGAAACAATCAATGAGATCTGAGATAACTAAAACAGAGGATTCAAAACGCCAGCAAAACTGTGAGCCTATTAGTTTCAACAACACGTTCAGCTCAGCAGATTTTGATAAAAGAGTTATCAAGCGTTGGAAAATTTTTGAAGTAATTGAGTGAAGATGACATGACAGCGAAAACAAAATACATAAGGAAGGTCTTACAAATTTGGCCATACAGAACTATAAACGCTATGCATCCGTTCCAGAAGCGTTGTTCCTCGCTCACGACTTAGGTTATGCAAGCGACGCAATTCTGTCAGGCGATCTCTCCATACTTCAACAGCAGCAGCAACACGTATCAACGTGAGTGGCCGACACTGTAAACAGCAAATGTGCGATCAATCAGCTCATAACACACTGCTTACAATAACGGGAATTTCTCCAACGTCATGGATATACTCCTCGATGATGTCCTGTGACGACGTACAAAATGCCTGCAGGATATTATACAAACTGTATCAAGGCTTAATGGTAACAATAAACGAAAGAGAAAATAGTTCCTTTGGAAGACTCGCCTGTACAAAAAAATCTTCGGAGTTCTGAGACTGTAACCGCACAATATCAGCATACATATGTGCCAATGTTAAGATACTTTCTACAACAGATTTTTGCGACTGAAATAGAGAGGTACATAATGTAAGAATCACAGAAATTATCTTCGTAAGATGGACCTTTAACAAGGAGCAGGACTCCAGTACACGCATATATCCCTGAGCGTCACTTCGAAAGTATGATCCTTCCAATCCTACTAAGGCACCACATAACTCCGTACACAACGCTTTCTCAGCAACAGCTGGAATAAATCACAGAACTGAGACCAAACGACGTAAATAATGCTATTAGATGAATAGTGGCATATATCTTATATACAGGGTGCCTAAAAGTATGTATGCACTGTTTGATCGTTAATATCTCTCTTCCCAAGAAGTATTTCGCCTTGCTTCAGGTACCGTTTTGTAGAGCTGGCTTCAACTTAGATTTGTATTATAGAACGAATCACATATCACTCTTCATTACTGTAGGATTACGGTAGAAACTTGAAACATATGGTGTCAGTGTGGAAGAAGCTGCCGTTTCAAAAATTTTCAAAAAAATGTGAAAACTTGTGTAATAGGGTTTTTATGGATGCTGAGTTCAATACTCAACTATACACAAAATTACGAAGCTTTCTAAATGGTGTAACCGCATTTTTTAGGAACATTGAAAAATGGCCGCTACTGCTTACCTGGCATAAATCTCCAATGAAGCATCATAATAAGCTAGGAACTTTACAGTTGGAGTCAGCAACTCTAATTAGCCTAGTGTAAAACTTTTCAGGCTGTTTAATTCCTCTCTGAGGCAAATTATGGCCTTTTATTGCTCAAAACCCTCTTTGAAGTTTCTACCGTAATTCTACAGTAATGAAGAGAGATGGGTGATTCGTTTTATGCTGCAAATCTAAGTTGAAGCCAGCTCTACAAAATGGTACCTGAAGCAATGCAAAAGACTTCTTGGGAAGAGAGATATTAACGATCAAACAGTGCATACATACTTTTGGGACACCCTGTATATACGTTCAAGTTTCCCATTAGCCTGTGTAAAAACTCTTCTTTCATCTGAAACAGGAACCTTTGTACCTTTTTTACAAAAACTATCAACTTTCCGCAAATCCTCAGACACCCTTCCCTCTTATGAACAAATCAGCGTGCTTGCTTCCAACTCAAAAACGACTTCGCTCGAAATAAACAGTAAGTTGAATCGGTACGTTTTTTTGATGAGTACCACACTAGTCTTGATCTAGTGACAGTAATACTTAGATATGAGTTTGGCTTTGGATGAGAGTAATGAAAACGAGAAACAGCTAAACTGACTAGCAACAGTTCCCATTCTCGATTGTAAAGGAGCTCTTTCCATACTAGATCGATGACGTAACACTCTGGCATGATCATTCGATTGTGTGGAGTTGGCAGTCGAAGATGCGGAAGCAATTGATCTGAAATCTTAGTGATTCAGCTTTGCAACCATGGATAACTCGAAGGTCATTCCCATAAATATGAGAAACACCACGACAATGGGAATGGTAGAAAGATTACCCAAACAAAGGATTGTTGGCAGATGTCAATGGAGTGCTGATGGAACTCGTGCTGTTGTAAAGAGAGGGCGTTTGTGGAGAGCTCACAGAAGCACTAGGAATGTGGTTGTTGTAGTCAGATCGAACGTTATCTAGAATAAGTACGCAATTCGTCCACAACTCAGTTTCATAATTTTGATCTTCTTGCAAATTTCGAATTTTTCTTTCTACATGTGGCTACTAAGCGACAGAATGACCTTTTCACATTAATGTCTTCGCATAACATGCGTAAGAAGTGAGTAAGAAAGAGATAGTACCTATTTTATGCAGCTTTCCTCTGCTTGCTGAACGTCTGCTGAAGTAGGGAGACATGGGAGATCCTCTCACCTCTTGTCGCTCGCGACCTCTTGAGTAAAATATATGCTGCTGGAATATTCATTGAATGAAGTGTGAACTTTTTACAAAGTGAGGCTAGTTCCTATTGCAAGCAAAGTTGTTTGAACATGAATAGTTTATTTTGTGCAGTTCATCTCAAAATCCATACGACTATCCTGACAAGCTTTTTGATAAAGCCTGAATCAATTGCGCGCTCGAAAAGAATGCAAGGTCTGGTAATGGTTTGAGATGAAAACTGCCACGCGTAACGGCAAAAGCAACTCCTTCGCTGCAGAGTCACTACCAAGTACATAAGCATGTGCCAACGGTGCCTGCTTTGTCGCTATCGTTATCTACATGCCGTCACTTTTTTAACATTCAAGGTTTTCGCGCTGGTGACAATGAAAGCTGGGGTCTTGAGCGTTTATCGCACTTGGGGCCCCAAGAGTGGCTACGGTCAAGGCGCCTCCCAGAATTTCATTTGCTTCCGTCGCATCTTGTAATCGCTGTGGAAGGACTATGGGAACGGCTATAGGTTGTCGATGTTGTCAGTGTTGTCGGAGTTGTCGGGGTCAGCGACAGTTTATAGAGCGCTTGAAACGTGGAGGCTATCATAAGGTCCTACAACGACCGGCAACCTCGACAACACCGACAACCTAGTATGGCCGTTGCCTATGGACGAAAACCCCTCTTCAGAACGTCTAGGATTTTCCCATATATGAAAGACATATCTGTGATGACAGCAACGCCAAAATCTAATGGGAATCAAAATTCATTCCAAATGCAAAGCATAAGCATAATGAACATAATCTAAAATTACGCACCATTCTGCATTTGAAAAGCACCTCAACCAAAGCATCCACATCACGGATATGTGGTGACGCACGCAAAGCATCGATGGTCCGCATTAATAGATTAGCAAAACGTGGATCCTTTGCATTCACTGAAACGCAAAGTATGCAGGTGCCTTATTAACTCAATGCCATTTGAAAAAATTCATTTGAAACGATCTAGATTCGCGATGCTCAATCCAAACCTGATATTTGATATTTACCTCTAAACACTTCTAGGATCTTTCAGACAAGACTACCGCAGTGTTGAACATAAGGTCTCTAGCTCAGCCGAGTTGGCAATCTCAAAACTTTTGTAGAAGGAAGAAAACATACTCTTAGCGTGAAATCTAGCCACATCTTTGCTGTCCTGCGCGTTACCATTGCTTTGAGAGAATATGTTCGCACATTTCGTTAATGTGGCTGAAGTAAATGCATTTACATGTCTTGCCGTCATCCATATAGTAATCTTACAGATATCTTGACATTCGAATGCAGCCGCCAACGCATTCACTGCACTTGATTGTTTATTTGTTTGCGAATTCATGCTACAACAATGTTTTGCCAACAATTTATTTCGATGTTTCGACAGATACAGAATGGAAAGGTGCTCCAGTTACCTTTGAAAACAAGTGTGATTAAGCTTTATTCCCGATAAACATTCACTGTACACCAAATATAAGGAATACGAAGCAAAATAAGATACGAAAGCGTTTCCGCAGATATGGTTGAACAGTTTTCGAAACCGTTCAACCATAAGCGCTAGTTCTTTTTGTGGCCGAATTTTTTCCTCTCATAGAATAAGTCAGTTTTGGCACTACCCAGATTCACAATCTTCGGACAACCGTCCCGATCCTAAAAACAATCAGTATACGCAAATGGTAAACCTCAACTGTTACCACACCTTTTCCATGATTGTACATTCCTTGCAGTAATATGCCTCACTCACACCAGGACCTCCACATATTACACAGCGACCCTAAAGAAAACAATGTTAAGAACATGGATCAGCACTGATAAGAGCATTACTATAAAAAAGAGGATCAAAGAGCTGATAACCTGGTACGAGCCATAATTACATTCGTCGCAAATTCGAACCAGGGAACAAGGCCTGACATAAGAATCACATATCACGCATCGTCCATCACCTAGAATGAAAGTCTGATGATGAGCACAGGCTTACTATGTGCTTTAAAAATGCGTTTTTTTTTGTATTTGAACACAGGGGCTATTTCATGTTAGGGAACGACCATAGGTTGTCGGTGTTGTCGGTGTTGTCGGTGTTGTCGGAGTTGTCGGGGTCAGAGACAGTTTAGAGAGCGCGCGAAACGTGGAGGCTATCATGAGGTCCTACAACGACCGGCAACCTCGGCAAACCCGACAACCCCGACAACACCGACAACATCGACAACATCGACAACCTATGGCCGTTCCCTTAGACCCAAAAACGCAAATCATTAGTTTTCGTTAAGGTTTTGCACGTGGAAATTAGACATGCTTTATAAAATAAAAATAAAAAGTGACACCATACTTTTATGGGGCTAAAGTATATGCGATATGGATTCAAAAACTCAGTAAAATGCTGAACTTTGACCCTAATATACCGCCTCATACTGGTGTTACGGTAGATAACACCAGTATGAGGCGGTAGGCATTTTGACAAGCTTCATTGCATACCGTAAGTATGCAATGAAGCTTGTCAAAATCATCAAAGTTATGATAGACTGCCGATCCTGCCCCATCCTGCTTATTTACCTTAACCCCTGAAAAATCGTCATGCAAAATGCGCGCACTATCATGTCAAAACCGCTCGTCCGCACAAGTCTGCCAAGATCCGTGCTCTTGTATTCTTGGCCTTTATAAAGTGTATATAGTGCAAATATGGTCTAGTAACTGATAAAAAAAATTCAAGAGCAAGACTACTGCGGTTTGATGATAGTTGGCATGCCAATCCATACTATCCGATAATCTATGATGAGCTCACTATTTTATTCTTATTACGTTTCCAACACTTGGTGTGTTTGTGAGAAAACGTATAAGAAGATGTAGAAGTGGAAATGCCTATTTCTAAATCTACGCTTCTACACCACTTCGCATATCAGCTGCTAGTCTTTGAATTAAGCTCCGCCAATCTTGAACTTACACTTTTCACATAAGCGTCCAATAGCAACACCTGGCTGCTTTCTGCAGAAGATAAGATCTGGATGATGTTTAGCCATTGAAGTTGCTGCTGGCTACTACCTACTGAAAACACCTACTTTGAACAGAAATACGGAAAGATGTAAATAACGTGAACGGGGATTGTGCAACTGTGGCACATCGCACGTCTTCGCATTATTAATATTCTCGAAAGCGCAGGAAGTAGCAATGGAGCACGCAAAGTGTTCGCGGCCAACATCAGACACACGGTCAAACAAGATTATAGAAGTAAAACCTAAATCGAATGTTCTGCTACTATTTTAGACCCTTTTCACCTACAAACTTGTTCAAGTAGAAACGAACCTTACAAGGAAATGATCATAACTCGAAGAATTCGAAACGCTTCCATGGTGCATACTCCGGATGCAGCGTAAAAGCGTTCATTTTGAATCTGTCTTCAGTATCCGCTAAACGCTTTTGTAGACAAATTTATGAGCAATTTCATCGCAATGAATCATACAAAAATTGAAAAACAGAGCACATTATTGCCTTTTAGCTCATCTATAGTATGGGCATATAGAGTAAAGTAGCTGCGTGTTTTGGCAAAACATTTAGCCGAACATGACTTTGTGCCGCCAAATTTGCGCTTTGCATGCACGATTTTTTAACAGTAAAATGGCTTCTTCGTCTCTTGCAGATAAGAACGACAGATTTGGAGTCAGCGTTCTAAGTAGCTTCTAACTGTATGCAGCTGTTTGGATCGGCCACTTCGACTTTTGACCATTTCCTATTAGTAAACGATTTGAATGGCATAAAGTAGTTTAGGGGTTTCAAGCAATTATGGAATTAAGAGAATCTTTCGCATAGCCTCGCGGACGCTGATACATACTAAGGTCATTCGGAAAGTTTTTTCGTTTTCGCACCTTCAAATTCAAACAAGCACAACTTTTTCCAGATCCAACCTTTTTCTTCCAAATAAATTTCATTGTGTTCAGCGGAATTCTGGTAACATTGGTGTGGCATTTTTGTGCATTTTTTTTAACGAAATCATCTTAGGGGAATCAATAAAACCTAAAAAGGCATTTTTGACAAGCTGATTTTTATTAAATCCTATTATTTTTTAATAGGCACCGAGGAATTGGGGAATTTGGTGGCTGGTAAAGGAAAGTCCATAGAGTTCAAAAAATAAACAAGAACCTCGGTGCGCAGTCAACCCCTTTTGTGAGGGCCACTTTTCTTACACATGGTTTGACGGCGCCATGGGCAAAGATGGCACCTTTCATAGATTATACGTGCACGTCTGCTCAGCTCTAAAATTTTAACAAGCGGTCTTTCGAGCGATATTATACTACTCTGCTCTTACACCACAATCACATCTCAGCAAATTTAGAGCGTGTAAGACTAGCAGGATTACATTAATTTGAGTACATAAACCTTTTGGATTGACTGACTGTTCATGGCCATGCTTGCAATGCTGGTTCCAAATGATTTACCACATTGTTGCTTCTTTTATTTATTTATTTATTTATAATACACGAAAGTGTGCCAAAAATAGAAACCAAAAGAACACAAAACACAGAACACAAAACACTCGGGCTTGGATCACATTGTCCCCTGCTGGATGATCATGTCGCTCTCCATCTCCAAGAAGTGAGTGGGGCTCCACCGAGATCCTTTTCCCTTACCCGAACGCATGGGGATGTAATAAATTACCAAGGCCTGGCTGACCAGCTTAACCCAAGGCGGACGAATCCGTCAGGGACCCTGGGCGAGCGAGAAGGGGGGATCTCAAGGCAGAGGGCTCACTAGTCTTCGATCTCCTCAAACGGCTACCCATGCAAAGAGAACTTTCTGAAGCCCTTGGAAAGATTGATGTACTGTAAAAAGCTCGTTAACATGTAAAAAATCAATCAAAAACATCAAATTCTTTCAAAAACTAGCTAACACCACTTTAGAAACTGTTTTGACACGCATGGCTCAATCTCCAAACTGAGCATACAGAGTTGACAGAATCAATCGCTTATCTGCGTACGAAAGGTCGCTCGAAGTGATAAGAGGGGGCATCGACCAACTAGCTCGAGGACACCCACAACTCACTACACATGCAAAAAAAGACCACACTGCCTGTGAAAGGAAAGTCCACGAATTTCTTTGATTGCTCAATTTTTTGAAGAAAATTGCTCGAAAGTCACAAAAAGAATGCAGCAAACATACGAATTGCCTTCGAAGCAAGAGAATTTGTGCGGAAATTGCCGAAGATCTTGTAAATCTTAGTGTTCAGAAGTCAACTATTCCCAAAGTCTGCATAACATCTATGGTGGCCAGCTTTTTGCGAAATTCTAATGAATTTCTGCAGGAAGTTATATCACTCGGAAGCTGACTAAGCCACCTTGCTGTGCGGCAAGCGAAAGAGTTAAAGGTTTTCGAACAAATCCTGTTCCCTAATTTGCGGTATCCCATTGAAAAACCTCCTGTTCGGTTTCCGCAAGGTCTGAAGACCCAGAATTTACTCGGTCTCAGTCTGGTTTCCTAACGAATAATGCGAAAGCAGAATACTAAATCATTGCATATTCTTCTGTATCTCAGACTACGTAGACCTAGAGCGGATAGTCTCAAGCCATACGCAGGCAAAGCTTGAGGGTAATCAGAGTTTGGATAGCATCTGTAAAAGACAATTCTAGTAAATGCTTTTTGGACTTTTTCTAGCTTTTCAATACGCTTTTTCAAAAAAGGATTCCAAACGGGCGAAGCGTATTCAAGAAGAGGTAAGACATACGTCTTATACAAGCGCACCAGGAGTTTTGCATCATTGCTGTGAATGTTCCTCAAAATAACAAAAAGGACGGTCAAAGCTTTTTTAGTGACTGATTCATATTGTAGAGGAAAATTGAGTTGATCGTCGACAAGCACACCAAGATCCCTAGTAACGTTACACTGCTCAAGAACTATCCCGTCACACACGTAAGTCTGTGGTGGACAATCTCCCAGATGCATGACTTTCGATTTAAGAGCATTTACTGGAAGGCCCCACTCTTTTGACCAAAGCACCATCTTCTCTATGGAGTGAGAAATTGCCTCGTGTGCTATGTATTTTTCTGTTTCATGATAGCAAAAGTATAACTTTATGTCGTCTGCAAAAACTTGAATTTTGATATCAGGGTGAGTCTTCAAGAAAGAAGGTAGTTCTGCAGTGTAAGTGAGAAAAAGGAGGGGCGACAGTATTCCGCCCTGAGGCACTCCACTATTGCAAGGGAAGCGGCTTGAAAAACTAGACCCAACACGGATAGTCATACCTCGATCTTGTAGGTAAGATGTTATCCAAGAAAGCAGTTGACCACGCACACCATAATTTTCAAGTTTAAAGAGCAACTTGGTATGGGAGACTCTGTCGAATGCTTTAGAAAGATCGAAAAACACAATATCCACCGATTTACCGTGATTAATTGCATTGATCCAGTCAAAGACTGAGTCTGAGAGCAAAGCAGTAGTGGATCCCCCAGGAAGAAAGCCGTGTTGGGCTAAGGGAAAGATGTTGTTTCTTTCTAACCATTCACAAAGAGTCTCTTTTATGAGCGTCTCAAGAACTTTTCCAACAGGTGCAGTGATGCTGATAGGACGGAAATTAGAAAGGACATTACTGTGATCACTCTTAGGTATGGCTGTTACAAGAGCTTCTTTCCAAACTTTTGGTACTTCTCCGAATAGAAGAGACGCATTGAATATGAAAGTTAAGAGGAAAGAGAAGGCATGAGCACATCTACGTAGTACAATTTGTGGGATTCCGTCATATGCGAGAGTTGTTGTTGCTTTGAGTTTACTCAAAATGTCATAGACCTTCGAAGGTTCGATATATATGCTTGGACAACAAGAATCTACGCGAACACAAGTGTCATAGAAAAGAGCTTCATTATGTCGACTGCTTGAGAGATTGTTCGTGAAAAAACAAGCGAAGTAATTCCCCAATGCTTCAGCTTTGTCCTTTTCGCTTATAAGCAATTTCCCTTGCTCATCTATTAGGTTACTAATCTTTTGTTGTCCTTTGGTGATACTTCTAAGAAACCAATAAAGCTCCCTGAAGTTGTATCTAGAAAGACGTCGCTCCCGATTTGCGAAGAATTTTTTGATATGATAACTGATATCTTTACAAACTTTCTTGTATAGAGCATCGTGCAGCGGGTCATTCAACTGCGAGAAAAGTCGAGACTTTTGTTCCAACAAGTTTTGAATATGAGCAGGATATTTCTGTATCTGCAACGGCGAAAAACGAAAGGGAACGTGCTGAGAAAATATCAGATAAAGTTTCTTGCAGAAACGCTTGTAAAGATCTTCAACGGATTCGTAGTTCTCAAAAACATTGCTCCAAGTGATTCCTTCAAGAGCTTTACTGATTTCTAAGAAGTTTGCATTACGAAAGTCTGGATATGGAATAAAAGCAGTTTTACAAACAATGAATTTAACGTTGAATCCAACCACATTATGGTCCGAAGAACCAAAAGGTGGGAGAGGCTCTGCGTTTTCAATTACGTTATGGGAAGAAAATATCAAATCAATGGCTGCCCCTCCTCTAGTTTTAGCTGTACTTGGCTTTTTTTTGTTATAATTATCAATCCAGGCCAAAAAAGAATTGCTCCGTCAAATTATGAGAAACGAAAGCAGAGTCAGCGCGCCCTTAATCTGCGAGTGCGAGAATTTGTAAGGTGTATGCCACTAATATCTTTTGGTATTGCAGCTTTAGCGATGGTGGCTTCAAATGGGGCTAAATGACACTACAAGGCCTGCTCATAGTTTTATGCAGCTATATTTGCGATTTGCTTCAAAGGACTCTATGAGATGCTCGTTTATATGGCAGGAACACCTTCCAGAACAGTGCAGAACATTAACTTTCACTTCTCTAGATCTGGACTTTTTAAAGCAGACTTCAACCAATGTCAAGAAAGAGGTGGCCTTAGCAAATGCATTGCGCACAATGATGGCTTCTTTGACTGCCTTACACCCAAGATTGAGCTTGAAGAGTGCAACTATTCGAAAATCGCGTTTTCACACGTCGAATTTATAGCCACGTAAATTTTCCTACAAAGCATTTTCTGCAAATTCGGTGAGATCATCAAAAACTAGAAGACTTCCTCTACAATTTCATATACAGCAATCCCTATCAGCCCTCTGGCTCTCTCTTGAAAAATGGC